GATGCAATTACATTTGCAAATGTTCTTTTGATCTTAATGATTACTGTCTCAATGTTGGTTTCGAGATGAAGCTTTATAAAAATTGGTAACGAACTCTTTGGTAGCATTTGTTTGTAATGATGGCTAAGGAGCGGACACTTTCAAAAGTTTCAGGTCAATAATTATTTGTTTATTTTTACATGGTTTAAGGCGCATAAGGGACAATCACTACAGCTTTGTAATCTCCTAGGCACAGCCAAAAAAGTAGCGAATCCTAAGCTGTGACTATGGCACAACATCTAACCGCAGGTAGACCTTAAAATAAGCCCAGTGTTTACTTTGAGAAAGATTCTTTTTTTTTTCTTACTAAAATAAGGATAACAACATCAATCAAAATGGCCTTAAAGGCAATTTTTGTTCGCTGGAGTTTTTAAAAGAGACTTGGTGTGCTCATTATAGAACGTGTATGAAAAGCTTCAAAACGTTGACATTATCATTATTTGATTATTGATAAAAGAGAATTGTGTAAAAGGAAATAGATCTACAAAACACGAAGATAATTACCGTATCGTAAATCCTTGTGAATGTGATTTCAAATACCCTGTCCTTTTTACCAAAGGGCTAACTGACCTCCTGTCACAATAACTTGTATAAATAATAGCAACTGCCATTACCTGGATTCAATTATTAAATCTTTTAAGGTTACAGTCGAAAGTTCCTCTCGTGTCCAATTCAGATTCAGTTAATCAAACAAACAAGAAAAAACACATTCTTTGTTTTTTATATACTAATTTATTGCTGTTGCCATTTTTCTATGTTACACCCTCCAACGCAATTTACACTCAAGAAAATTACACGCTTTTATCCAACACTACTTTTGCATCCTCTCCTGCCATTATGAAAATATTTGCCGTAGATGTACATTTTTTGTTTTTCATTCGTACCCCCCATTACCTTTTCAACACGTCATTTTCCTATTTCTTATCATCCTCGTATCATCAAGTCGAAATATACCTCTATTTGTTTTGAATATCAGACTCATATCCACGAAATATTATTTTTGTATGCGTTGTAATCTTCTGTTCTCTCGTGTTCTACATCCCCCTCTCGTATGAACCCGCTACTTTTTGTTACATTTGCTGTATGTTTGATCTCACCAATATGTTTTGACGTTGACTTCTCCTGGTCTCCTTTGGCAATTAGACCTATTGTACTACTTGTTGTAAAATAAATACGTCGTAAAAGGAATAATTCATCTTCTTCTTCTGCATCGTCTAGAGACAGCCTATCACAATGGCTTATGATTCCGAATTGTCCTTTGGGATCCTTTACCAAAAGGTGATGGTATCTATCATGATAATGTATTGTCGATATGTTGCAGTTCTAATTTTTCTGACCTCAAGGTCAAGTAGCCAAACGTAAATCAAAGTAAAGGACAAAATACCTAATAAACAGTGGAAAATGTTTTAAGCTTTGAGAACCTAAAAACGAAATTAGAACAAAAATGATTGTGAACCCCCCATGCAAGCATGTTTACCTGTTAAACCTGGTTTCAAAGGTGTCGTGGCAGTGGAGTTCTTCCTACAATGTTTCTTCTGAGAATGTAGGAAAATGAAAGACGTGCGATTCTTTTTTTGTTGGCGCTTAAATAAACGTGTTACAAAAGGACATCAGGCGGTCTTCAAATAATATTTTCCGCTTTTGCAAAACCTTTGTTATACGCAGAAACGGCGAGCATAGAAGGACTTGGTGGCGTCAAGACAATTGACTGTCTACCATAAAGGCGAAAACTGTTAATTTACATCAACGTCGTTCTGAACAAGATCTGGCTTACTCTCTTGCGATGATGGTCATTCCTTGGCTGTTTCTTTTTGGTCGGTGTACAAAAATAAAAGGAAACGCAGCGTTTGAATTTCAACCCCTGACACTCCTTATGTTGTGACCGATAAAGGCACTCGTTCGACGTTATAATCTGAAACCGCTTCAGTTACACCTCATGTCCTATATTCCACCTCTTCCATGTTTGGAAAAGAAAATTTTGGAAACTGGTTTCTAATTATTCACCAAGAAGACATACAACAAGCTTAAATCCAACAAAAGGCAAACCAACACGGGAAATAAAATACTCCAGTACCTTTTCTATGTGATAAATGGACGTAATTTTTCCCTCTCTTTTTATTAAACCACCCCACTACGCATGATGGACAGTGATCAAAAATCAGAGAAGGCATACATCGACACTGGATAAATTGCTACAGCTTAATTACATAATCAAGGCACAGAAGGATTTAAAGGGGTTCAAATCAAATCAAGATGAAGTTCCTGCAAAACATTTGGTATCAGTACCTCTATTTACGTGATTGTATTTGCATTATGTGAAATCAATAGGCTCATACATACTAGTAGGTCGTAAAGATATAAACCATTTGAGGTAAGTTATTTTTTTAAAAAAGTGATTGTGATACTTATCTTCTATGAAGCCGTCTTAATCGAAGACCAGTCTCAATCCTGGATATAATCCCAATAACATGAGAACTAGTCATATATCAATTCAATACTAAATAATACATACGGTCGAAGCAGAAGAGTCATGATCGACCAAAATGTTATACATACACTTATAGAACATAATTTAAATTCTTTTGATCATGATCTGCATATAAACGAGTTTTTTCTTTTTTTCTTTTAAAAAAATATAGTAAGTACATCGGAACATCACTTCCTCATAATCAAGTATAAAGGTACTAGACATATTGTTATATATACATCCCGCTGGTTGTTATGGCTTAACTTACTACCTTATTTTTTGCGTATAAGGTTGCTATCCACTTTAAATACATGATTGTCAACTACAGTGTAAGTCTATTTTAAAAAACTTGAAACCGTGTTTATATTTTTTAATAGTGTCTTTATTAGTTTAATTGAGCTTTATTTGAGGTAAGTCATATACATAGTTAGGTACAACTTCTGCATCTGTCAGTCTCCATATACCACCAGAACAGCCAATACTTTATTGTGAATGGTGTCCGGTTTTTGTGATGATGTTTGTCATTCTTACAATACACATATTCCTACAAATAGGTGTTCCATAGTGTCTATACATGTATAAATTCTTCACCGATTATATCTTCATTAAATAAAAACCAATATAAACATTATTTTTGCCCTTTGTATTTTACTATATCCATGAATGTTATTTTTTGTAAAAAAACCATCTGGTATTGTAAGTATTAAAGCCCTAGTTTTATTTAACATTTAAAGAATATCCTCCAATACCATCTTCTTAAATAATAAGGTTATGATGAATTCATTCGCTAGAAACTGGGAGTAGCAGTCGATTTTCATGCAAAAATGGACCGCTTTGTCCGGTCTAATTTTTTTGCGGCCCAAGTTAGACTGCTACCGCAAAAAAAAAAAAAAAAAAAAAAAAAAAAAAAAAAAAAAAAAACTTTTGGGTGTTTGTTATTGATACGCTGGATGGACTTTTCAACGATGATGAACTTTCAAATAAAATTATATTCTACCCAATGTTTGAGACATGAAGAAGGTGTGGATTAAATCAAAGAAAGATGGGAGTATGTTTGCTAAATGCTTGGCGCGTAATACATGGGGAAAATACTCAAAATCAAAAACTAAAAGACAGTATAAATTAAATGAATCAGATATACAAAAGGACTTACAAGAAACGTGTTCTAAAGCGAAGCAGCTATTGTTCGTGTCGTGATCGAGGCTAAATGTACTTTATAAATGACTCCAGATCCGTACTTTTTAAATCTTCCATTTGATAATCCTAAATATAATTTATATTTAATAATGACCATCTATTTTATGTACAGGCGTGATCTCATATTATCATCCTTCATACAAGTCTAAAATATACATTTAAATAATAACATGAACAATGTATGTTCTCAAATAGCTAATTATTTCTTGATAAGTGTTGAGTGATACTTTGTAACACCCGGTTTTTTTTTATATATATATCAAGGATATATATAAAAACTACCATTTATTCAGTCTAAAATTGTAAAGAAATATTCCGATTCGACGAATGATAATTATACATTGGGTTTCGTTTTTTAAACTATGAGCCGGAGGAGGAGGGAAGACTTTTTTTTTCAAATTTAGGGTTAAAGAATTAAGACAGCCAGGTAAAAAAAGGGGGGGGGGTGTTGATCATCAAAAAGGGTAGATACGGGAACAAGGCAGATTTTTTATGAGCAAAACGTTTAGGCGATACAAAAAAATAAAAAAAAGCTCTGCGGCTGCAGCAGCAGCAGTAGTAGTGTGTGGCACATGATGGGTATGGGCTTTGACCGGGCGGATCTGATGTTTATTGGGTTATTAAGTGTTTCGGACCGGGTTATGTGATGAGTGCGGAGAAATGATGATATAAATCAAGAATCCGCGGGTGCCTGAAAAAAAAGATAAGAGGTATGAAATTGCGTAACAAATGATATGTTGCTATGGCAAAAGGACGAAATAATTTTTTTTTGGGTTGCACATTTACAGTTTTTTTTTTTTTTTTGGTATAAATGAGATGAATAAAGTTTTATACTGCTTAAAAATTCCATACGTCACATTGGCTGCGAAAAAGAAGTTTCTATGGATGATAATGGTGTGCGTGTGAAAAAATAAAGAGGATGAATAAGTAGGGATCAAAGGGTTCACTAGTGGAGTGGGATGATTGGGGAGAAGTTTATGCGTGACCTGATTACACAACACAACGAAAAAAGTATGCTGACTATTTTTTTTTTTTTTGCAGAGAATTCCACACGCACACAAAAAAAAAAATAAGTATTTGAGAAAAAGAGCTGAAAAAAAGGGAGAAAAGGGGTTATATTAAGTAAACCTCTATGAGGGTAACACTGGTGAGAACCCACATGGAGCTGTGACATAACAATACAATTTATTATCTGTGTGACCGAATATCCAAACAAGCAAAAAAGTTCCGAAAAAGCAAGGTTGAAAAATAAAAAGGATCAAGAGGGACCTGTAAAGTAATCATGCCACAAGCGCGGGTTTTTTTGGGATGGGAAAAAAAAAAAATACCTTTTGGGAGCAGTTTTGTGTGTATGTTTTATGATAAGTATCTATGGGTTGGTTACTTTACTTTGTTGTTGGGAATGAATCACTCTTCTATGACAACCAATGTTATATATATAAAAAGAGAGAAGGAAGTGTGTGTACGGTTAAAAAAAAAAGAGAGAGGAAAATATAGTAAAAGGAGATGCAGTCAAAGTGAGCACAGTGTAACTTACAAATACAATAAGGTGAGGACCCTTCTGTCCCTAATTTTGAAATAGGATGGGTGGGTAAATGGGAAGGTGGCTGAACAAAAAAAAAAAAAAAAAAGGCGGGGTAATATAAAACGGGAAAAAAAAAAGAGATGATAGTGAAACCCAATAAAAAACCTATCCCAGCCTACTCCCCACAATCTCTCTACTTTTTTTTTTTATTTAGTTCGTAATCAATAAAATATATAATGTCCTTTTGGCAGTGTCGCCGACGATCGGAAAAAATAAGGCCGTGAGAATTAGCTCATGCTAACTCCGTCTTTCCCAGACTGCTAAACAGAATAAAAAATAAGATGAAGCATGGGCCAAATGTTGACTACATTTGATTTTATTTTTTATATTTGATTGAAATCAACCCGTCGTGTGTCATTAAAAAAAAAAGTAAACAAAACGGTACAAGTATAAATAAAAAAAAAGAATAATAGTTTTGGGACGGGAAATGGGATAGTGCGGTAATTCATGTGATGACTTGAAATAAAAAAAAATCATCCTTTAGGTAATTGACGGGAAAAAAAAAATTCAAATGATGGAATTACTATATTTGGAAAACTTGATTCATATGAAAGGACCCGTTGCTCCCTTAATTTTTTTTTTTTATTTTTATCTTTTTCTTTTTTCTCAATGTTGAATAGTTTTTCGAACAAGCAACAATATCAGCCATATTCACCACCTTCACCGCCATTTTCATCCTTACTTAGTCCACAAATGACGAAAGCATCTTTACTATCCAATTCATGGTGCCCACCTGAAGCAACATCATTTCTTAACCTTGAAAAAGTTGTTCAAACATATGCCTCACAACCAGAGTTATTAGAATTAATCTTATCAAGTAAAGTTGAAGAAGATAGACGACGTGGAGAAGAAGCTAAACTGCGTCGAAAAGAAATCGATTACATGTTACAACAAAAGAAGACAACCCCAGCTCTACCCTCCATTTCACATTATGAGCGAAGAGTTTCTTGTAGTTCTGTTGAATCTTCCTCACTACCTAGATTACAGATGCGTAAAAACTATGACTGGAAACCTTATCAGAGAAAGAGTAGTATTGAAATGTTGTTGATTCCTTCACCCAATTCAATGGATTTAAAACTACCGTCATTAAACAAGAAGAATATGAAGAGTTCTCGGTCATCTTCTTCTGCTGCTGCAGATTCTGATGATGATAATGATGATGATGATGAAATGGATTTTGCTGCTGGTTCAGCTCCTCCTTCTCCTCCTCCTAGTAATGGTGGTGATTCAATCCATAAGACTGTACATAAACGTCGTAGACGTGAAATGCAAGCTATTACAACTATTATTGAAACTCGGGAGTTTCCTTACTATGATGACTATCTCTGGAAGAACAATGGCAATACTGTTCATAAGAAGACTGGTTACAAGAGCATCTATTACAAGTGTTCAAATAGCTCCAAAGGTTGTCCCGTCAATAAGACAGTGACCTTTAAAGAAAATGGTGAATATTTAATCAAGTACAGAGGACAACATTTAAATGAATGCAATCGTATCAAACGCATTACAGACCTTTAACCCTTTTTATATATATATATATGTCATATACCCTTATCACAAAAAAAAAACATCAAAAAACAAAAAAAAATTTACCCCTTTTTTATGTATTTAAGCCAAACAAAAAAAAAATAATTACGTCTTTTCTCCATGTAAATATTACTTATTAAAAAACTTTATCTTAATTTCCTCACCTGATGTAATAATTTTTTTTTTTTTTTTTTTTTTTCACATGGCACAAAAAGGGAAGGAGACGAATCCCCTTGTTATTTTTTTCTTTTTGTTTCTTCTTTCACCATTCAAAATAAAAGATGCTCATCAACCGACCTAACAACGTTCTCGCTAACCAACGTTACTTTCAAGCCCCTTCTCAAGCTCCTCTCTGGATCAAGGGAAAGAGAGATAAATTAATCGTCACAATTGTCTTTGCTGGTCTCGGTGTTGGTGTTATTGGTTCTCTTACTGGTGCCGTCAAGTGAGTTTTATTAAGTGTCTATCGTTTCTTTTAGATACTAATCCCTTTTTATTTTTTAAGGATGGTTATTGGCAAGAAGGATTAAAAAAAAAAATCACTTATGTTTTGTTGCAAAATAAACTTTTTTTTTTTATTATTTTCAAAAATATATATTTTTAGTCTTGCATATCAGGTTGTTCACCTCCTTGAGATTTGTTGGTTTTTGCCCATCTTAATCCACATGCATTGCATAAGCTGTAAAGAAAAAAAAAAGCAAGAAAAGGTTAAAAAAAAAAACAAAAAAAAAACAAGAAAAATACGTTACGTTTTAGGTCCTCGAGGACCTCTTCGCCATTCAGGAGCGTCTGTGCGACCACAATCTGTACAGATACGTTCATGGTCATCATCTCCTCTTCTCTTTTTGCCAGACTTTAACTTATCCAAGGTTTCATTTTGTGCACCCCCTTCTTCACCAATAGCAGGAGGAACTAAAGTATTGAACAATTCTCCTTCGATACCCATCGAGATACCACGAGAACGTTCACCCAAATCAAAGTGTAAACCAGTGAAAAGTGAAACGGACTCAGACACACCATAAGAGTTCAATACACCTTGAGCATAGACACTAGCAGAGGGAGCAAACAATTCTTCAATATCATCTTCATATTCTTCTTCATCTCCAAAGTCGCCTTCATTATTATGGGTAGCAGAAAGATCATCACGCATCGTACTGGGTGTATGTTGATGACTGGTTTGGGGTGAAGGCTCCTGTTGGGTCAATTGAGCCTTACCACTATTGGCCTTTTGTTTAGCCATCTGTACTTGTCGTTTCAACATTTCATTCTCCATCTTGTAATCCAAAAAAGTATCCATCATTCGTGTCATTTCTGCAGGTACACTACGAGCAGAACCAAAGAATCCTTGTTTAAAGAAGTGACCACGGGTTTCGAGTGTCGTGTATTTACCATCCTTTCTCAAGAGGCGATACGTGACTCGCATGATCGAACCGTTCGTTTGAGCTGTACGAAATTCACGGGTAAAGATATCAATATCATCCACATGGATGTATTCTGTAAAGCTATGACCCATTAATTCAGCAGGTTGGTAACCAAGGAACTCACGTGAGGCAGGAGAACAGTAAAGTACATTGAGATCACTTGACAAGACATGAATGACATCACGTAGTTCTTCCAAGACGTTTTGTGACCAGTTCTTTCGTCGAGTGAACTCGGGTGGTCCACTAGCGTGAATATTACCTCCATTACGAGTAGTTAAAGCTTGCGAAGCAAACTTGTTAATTTGCATGACGGACTGACCAGATTCCATTTTTATATTTATTTATGAGGAGAGAGAGAGAAAAAAAAAACAAATGAAAAAAAAAAGGACAGACTAATTGAGGCTATATGGGTCGTTTATATATATCAAAAACTGACTAGTTGATATATTCCGAACTCAACTTTTTTTTTTTTCTCCCTGCTTTGTCCCCCCTCTCTCTCTCTCATTTGTGAATGGACTGCATTGGAGTCAAAGCACTGGGCTTGAATTACCATGTTAAGAGATAGATCTGTGGGAGTTTCCGTGTACCTGTAAAAAAAAAAAAACTTGTTTAAACTATATAAACATTACCCCCCCCCCCTCTTTTTGTCTAACAATGTGGCGAAACATAAACAACAACAACAACTTAAAACATCCTCCTTATTCGTCATTTATAAAGATGTATTAAATTTTTTTATTTTTAAATTATGTATTACAACAAAAAAGTTATGTGTATTGGTGAGAAGAGGTGCTGTACAATGGAGTGGTGGTGGGGGGGATGGGATAAAAGAAGGGGGAAAAAAAGGGGGGGGGGAGGGTTTGAGGTTTAATTATAAGGAAAGGAAACCATGATTTTTAGCCAACGTGTTGATCATTTCAACCCAAACTGTAGATGAATTGGGTGGAGGGTTTGGTAATGTTTGATAATGTCGATATACTTTTTCTGCTGTCTCTAATTGTCGATTATCTACCATGGCAGTCATGATAGCATAATAACTTCGAATTAACTCTGGTTTAGCTTCCTTCATATCATGCCATAATCCTCGTACCGTTTCGAAATCAGATACACTAAACGCTCCCCATACCAATAAATCAAACGTATACGCATCGGCTTGTACATGTCCCTCCTCTTTGAGTTCTTGGTAAACGAGTTTAGACACAGGATACCAAGCTTTCGTTTCGGTTGAGAAACAACTCAAGAGTGCATTGTAATGATAAATTGTGAATGCATGTTCTTCTTTCTTTAAATCATTCCATAACTTCCAAGCATTCGCTGGATTCTTTTGGTGTGCCTTTAAGAGTGTGGTGGTTGCCTTGGCATCCATCCATTTGTTTTCTTTCAATTGTGTATAAATCATTTCCAGTTGTTTGGTATTCCCTTCACGTCCATAGGCTTCAGCTAATAAGGTTAAAGAAGCTGCATCGGCGGGTATACCCCCTTTGCGAATCCCTTCCAGTAACTCAATGGCCCTTTTTTCATTTCCCGAATCTAAAAACACTTGAGCCAGGATGGTATAAATCACGAGGTCGGCCGTGATCCCTTTATCCAACATGTCACGAAATAAAGTAAAAGCCTTTTCGAATTCAGCATTTTCCGCATATCCCTTGATCAATGGAGCATAATTGATGGGCGTAGGTAAAATATTGTAAGGAGCGACCGACATGCCTCTCAGGATATCACTTGCTTTATCCATCTTACCTAAACGGGCATATCCATAAATGAGATGGGAGAACACAAATAAATTGGGTTGAATACCCGAATCCGTCATCTCTTTAAAGATACGTTCGGCTGAAATCATGTTGCCTTGCCAAGCTGCATTACGAAGACTGAGCGCAAACGTGTAAACATCCGGATGTAAATTCGAAGTGTCCAGGGATTGAATCATAGCATCTAACATGGGTACTGATCTTTTATAGAATGGACCGGCAGATTGAAGAATCGTATTATAGGTACGGGTCGAAGGGGGTCCTGAAGTAGCGTGAAAATCAATTAAACTTGCCCATCCATCAAAACCCGTGGGATCGTTGTGGTTGCCATCGTTTGAGTCCTCTTCTATCTTATGTCTCGATAACAGGATATTGTGTGAGACAGAGTCTAATGAAGCATTACCCGAAGCCAACATGTGTCGAAGATGAGGGGTGATGAGATTGGCTTGTTGAGGGTTTTTTAAAGAGCAATTCAATAAGGTATTGTAAATGTAATTGTTGGTTGGGATGCCTTTTCGTTGCATGACATGATAATATTTCAGGGCTTCCTCCACTTGACCTTGTCCAGCATAATAATGAATGAAACAACCATAGGTGACCGTATCTGGATCAAAATCGAGTGTCACCATGGTATCATACATTTGAAAGGCTTGATCGGATGCGTTGTTGTCTAAATGATACTTGATCAGCATATTAAATGTATATGTGTCTGGCTTGATTTTAATCTTTTTCTTTTCGGCTGCTTCGGCGGCGGCGGCGGCTGCTGCCTCCTTGGCCTTGGCAGAACCACAACCACAGTTGCCACAACCCGATTTTTTCTCGGGTAGATCCAGCGTGGCCATGATATCTTGTATTTGTTGAGATTGGTTGGAAGCTGTATAGGATTTTAAAAGGGTGTTGACGACTTGTGTATCTGGTTTATGTCCTAATTGTAACATGACCTTGTAAAGATTGGATATACAATGGATGGTTGATTTCAGGTCATGGGTTTCCTTCATTCTAGCATGACGTATAGCTTGATCTGATAAGCCGTCCAGGACACAGATAAATGTCTTTTTATTAGGCACGATACCCGATTCCAACATTCTCTCCATCCAAGTGTTTGTCAATTGTTTTTCGCGTGTATTTCTCGACTCTTTTAAGTATCCGTTCAACAAAATATGAAAGGTGGATCGATCGGGTGTCTGAATTTTTTCATAAATCTTTTCAGCGGCCTGCAAATGATGGGATTTGACTTGAGCGGCTAATAACATATTGTAGGATGTGGTATTGATTAAACCTTTACGGGTCATTTCCATTTCGAGTGTTTTTAATTTGGAAAGACTTCGCTTTTGTGAGATTTCATCCATATGTTTGAATCGACGTACATGGATAGATAATAAGGTATTATAGTGTTCGACGGTGACAGGTGAACTACAGTAATGAGGTAGGTTACGAAAGATCGATTCGGCACGTTTGATTTGATCCAGGTCACCATACATTTCAAGTACCTTGCAAAATTCGAGGTTATCCCATAAAGGGATATGGCGTTGATGAACGAGTCCTGCCAAGGTCTCTAGACGCCCAAAATACAATCGTTGGAGTTTTCCAAAGTCAAGTGGTAAGCGTCTCAGGTTGGTTTCAATTTGTGTATACAGTGATGTTAAAAGTAAATGGGCTGTTGAGTGTGGTATATGGGTAAGATCACGAGCGGATTTATCGAGTAATTTCCAAGCTTCTTCGTATTCATTGTTTTGTAAATGAGCATGAAGTGTGAATAGGTCGGTCGTAGGTAATTGTTTATTCACTTCGTTGCTCACATGCACTGGAATCCGACGTCTTGCTGTCATCTTTTGTTGATCCAAGGCGTCAATTTCGTTCAAAAAGCTCGACACTAGAGAAGAAAAAGTGTCAATACAGTTATTAATAAAAAAAAAAAAAGGGTACTTTGGGGGGGGGTCATTTACCTTTGGAAGATCGTGTGGCCAAACTTGAAACAGGTCTAGTTTGACAAGTGGATAAAAAAGCTCTCCATAAGCGTTGAGTGTGTACAACTTCTGAATGCAGGTGCTGACACCGCATATGAACCATATATATATTTTATGTAAGAAAAAAAAAAAAATGAGAAAAAAATAAGAAATAAGAGACTACCCCCCGATGATTTTTGGCCCCAGCTGTATTGAAATATGGGGCCATTCTTTTTTTTTTTTTTTTTTTTTTTTTTGTGGGTTTCCCCTATTAATATTTTATTTTTTATGAAATTTGATGTCACGCCCAAAAAAGGGTGGGAGGGAGCAAGTAGGGATTTAAATATTGACGCGAGAGACATGTCTGGGGGGACAATCACTCGGAAAATTGAGTCACCGGATCGACCGGACCAACCGACGTAGCCAGACTGGCTTGTCGGTATTTATTTGATAAGTCATACCTTTTAAACGAAATGATGTTAGTATCTGTACAAGTATATGTGTTTGCCGTCGCCATACTTATGTGTATTATAAAAGGTACGCCTAAATGGCGGAAGCGGCTGAGCATCGATCGAGACTATGGAAGAAAAACCAATTAACCCAATGTTTTTTGCACCGTTTTGATCACGGTTAATGGTTGTTGATTTTGAGGAGATTCTTCTTGGGCACTTCGAGTTGTTGCAAACTACTGCCCCTTTGAGCCTTTTGATTTTGCCGTTTCTCCTGACAAGTTGCTTACTTGTGCAAGAAAAACATGAGCTGCATGTTACTGTTGACTTGTACTCATCAACCACCGCAAAACTGTCCAGTTCTACACTTTTTAGTTGTGTTATGAAAGGGTCTAAGCTTCTTCTAGTATGACCCTTTATATAAGTCGAAACACCAGACCAGTTTCCCAGAAATGATATGACGCTACGGTTTTTACCAGAGTTACCTAAAAGTCGGAACAGTTTCTGCCTATATGAGGAATGCAGATGCTGGTAATATCTTTTCAGACGAATACTCCTAGTGACTTGACGCTGGTTTAGATACGACGGTGTAAGCTCCTTTTTGTTTTTAATTTTTCTTTGTCTCTGTATCACGTGCTTGGTGTCTAGTATAGCGCTATTTACTCGCTTTGCCGTCAGTTCAAAGGTCACTTCATTTTCGACATCATGGTCACAATTTTCCAGACTTTCCAGTGCGCTATACCTATTAATACTTTGAAACATAGAAGAAGATTTGGTTGCACTGATTGAAGCAGTTGTTACAACACCTGGATCTAAGCCTTGAATAATTGCTTGGCCTGATATGATGCTATTTTGTGATTTTTCAGAAAGACATATACCAGCTGTTGGGGTTGGTTCATTCTGATTATGTATCCCTTTGTTTAAGCAATACATTTCTGAGCTCTTGGTCTTAATTGATTTATTCAAAGAAAGAAGTTGACTGTATATTGCGTTACATTCCTTGCGGCTAGTCTTCAAGTTTCGATAGAGGTCTGAATCACAAGTCATTGTACCTAACTTTTGGTTTTTTCTAAAGGTCTGGCCAAGATCCATTCTAGTATTTTCTATCTCACGAACGTTTTTACTCAAACGGACTTGCAATGCTTTTTCTTCTTTGATTTCTTTGTGAAGACGTTCGACCTTCAGTTTCCTATTTTCGGTATTACTATCCAAAGAGGTAAAACTACTTGTAGAAGTAACGTGTGGCACTTCTTCCGTTTGCAAGTTTTTATACCCAAGAAAGTTTAAGCTGTACTTATGACAAAACTTAAATGAATACATTGGGGTTAGTTTTTGTTCCTGGATAATTCTTTCAATCATGTTTAAATTGAAAAAGTTTGAAAAAACCGCCTTCTTGTCCTCTATGGATTTGATTGTTGCCGAACTCGTAAACATATTTACACCATCGAGCTTGAAAATGTTGTACTCTTTAGCAAATAAAAGATATAAGGTCCTGGTATCAACATTGATAGACATTTTTTGCTTTTCTTCGATCTTTTTTGGAAACATTCGGTTTTCCTTAAATCTTGTACCTGTCGGACCAATAAACTTGACCAACGAGTTTCTGATTTTGCGCATCTGAAAAAATCTGAAAGCGTTTTTCTCATCTTTTTTACAACTTATTAGTCGTAACTTGTTGACTATTCTTGCAGAAGTGTCTAATGCATGGGCGGGTATAGATTCTTGCTTATCGTAATAAAGTTGCTTTTTGATATAGGCTGCGTCTACATTTCCTTCGATGGAAGGGGACGTAATCAACATTGTGCATACTGCACACAAAGCTTTAATCTCTTTGGCTGACAGGTCTTTGACATCGTTATCATTGGTATCTAACTCAGTAACATTATCAATTATTACTAAATCTTCGTCAATCTCATTAAAATCTTCGGCGTCTTCTTTGTGTAAAAATTATAAAAACGAAGCTTTTTAAAAACAATACGTATGACTGTGTCCCATTAATTATTACCTTCAAATTCGTTGGAATTATCATCTTTATTTACAGGTGGTTCCAAATCTGAACGGCCCCTCTCACAAAAATTGAAAACACCGTCGATAAGTTTCTCCACAACATGTATTTTGTTCAGCTTTCCTGCGTTATATTTTGCAATCGCGTCAAACAAATCTATCATGACCCTTTTTTGGTGTCGCTTTTTAACTGTTTTGAGGGATTTTTGTGAATTTTGTTTCTGCTTCTTTGATGCATGTGGATGGCTCAGACGATGAGATTTCTTAGGACAAAGATGCAAGCGTAAAATAAGGGTAAGCGTGACTCTCAAATCAGAAACAAATCTTTGATAGGTCCACATGTTTGAAAAATTGGTAAAGAACTGTTTACACGCAGAAACTAAAGTTGGTGTGGTTGTAAAGTCACAATAGTTTTCGCTTGATATTTTTCTTGATACGTAGTCAATCACCCTATATGACGAGTAAAATAAGTTAGGAATCACTGCTCTCAATATAATAATTAAGCATATCTACTTACGGGTGTTTATACTCGTGTGGTTTTTTTCTACCTACTGAACTGGAAAGCAATTTCCAAAAGCCTTCAAACGTAAATATATCACTTTGTTTTAAAAATGTTTCATCACTGTCATCTATAATCGCGATTTTCTCTTCGCCAGTTTCAATTTTGAGTGAGGGCAAATCAATGAATTGAAAATCAAAAAAGGTGCGCTCTCTAGAAGGAAGAATATCACCTGATGTAATACCGTCAACCAAAATCTCCGTTGCTTTCGAAAGGCCCGAACAGCATTTATCACAGATCTCTTGCAGATCTTCGAGCTTTTTCAAAAAGATGCTATAGTCCAAGTCTTTATTAATTACTCGTTTTAGGCTTCTACTGACTGTTCTATAAGCATTATCTTCTACATCTTGGTCGTCATTTTCATCGATTGCCGTATCTGTATCCTCAGGCGCACTATCTTGTATTGATGATTCTAAGTTTAAACCCATAATAAAGTCACTGATACATTTATCGATGCTGATTTTGCCATTTTGTTTGAGTCGATTGATTTTTTGTTGCACCCACAATGCTGACGTTGGTATATCTTCAAGCTTAACGGTCGGAAAGTGATTTTGCCTGATCAACTGCTCAATCTTTGTTTTTACAATACCAGCAGAGCCTGTTGGAAACTGTTTCGTTGATAAAGTTGACGAAAATTTTTGTATATTTTCAGATAAGGTTTTGTGCTTGTCAATTTTGAACTTGGACCATTTCTTTTGATATAATGTGTTCGTTTCTTCCACAAGCAGCCTTATTATTTTATCATCTATAACAGAGGAGACGCTTTGTCTCTTTGCTCTAGGTTTTTTCTCGTCTGAGGCTCGTTTTTTAGCTACGATATTCTTGGGAATTTCACTGGTGGGGGTGGTATCACCGGACATATCTTTGGGTCTGTTTTTGAGTTCCAATCCAAACCATTCAACAGTACCAGTATACGAATTAATTGATTTTAACACACCAAAGTACGGTAAAGAGCGGTCTTGACGGTGCTTGTTGTTGGGATGAATTATTGCTGGTTTGGACCTACTTGAAAAGCAGTAGATTGTATACCCATAGACTTGACTAAAAGCGTAAAGCAATAACATATCTTTTGGAATAGCAGTAAGATTTGGATGCCTATCTGAATGCAACACAAAGCTATTCTCAAATTTTCCATTAAGGACCCCAACCAAGTATTGTATGGGTGAAGTAACCATCATTATGTTGATATTTTCGTCCATGTTTTTACGAACTACATGTATTTTATGTTTCTCCAGAAACTTGACAGTGCTCTTAATACTTTCATTAAAACTATGCGTATAGTTATTCATTGCATTAAGAATTATATCACGAAAACTGTTATCAATAGGCATGGTAGGAGAAGTAATGTTTATGTCAACATCTTTGCAAGAAAAACGAAGCAGCTGCTCATCTAGTTGCCCTAATCATAGACGCATTATGAAAAACAGAAAATTATAGGTAAACGATAATTTTATGTACCTTCTCTACCCTTTCTCTTGTCCAAGCGCTTTGTTACGGAGGATGCTTTAATTGTTTTAGGTCAGTCATCTATTGCTTTACTAGAAGCTAGTATCTACTTACGTTCTCCTGTGCTATTGTCGGATGGTGAATGTTTACGCTTCATTAACGAGAAGAGCACGAAAGAGAAACAATACATTGGCAACTTTGGGTTTTATCATTAAAAAAACCAGTCTCCATTATTCATTTTATTGGTTCATACGATGCCTTTGTACAAATCACCAGATAGACACGTATAAAAATACGGGACAATGTTCGTGTGGTGAATCGCATATGGATTATATACAGAAAACAAATTCATATCTCGATATAGTTGATAACCGCATATAACTATTATCAAGCCCATAGGAAACTGTTAAAATACGGTCAGTAATTTAGGGTTTCACTGTAAAAGAGCAACCTGGGTAGATGAGGACTATATGTCATTGGCATCATTAGGCAGCCAAGGTAAATATAACAACTATATATTATGTGAATCATTTCATCAATCAAAGCTACTGGCTAGACACCTTCATTTGATGACTCGAATACAACACCTCCAAAAAATGCTTCACCACCTTTTACGTGATCCGAATAAAGCGCAATTGTCATTTCATATCCATAATCATCTTTTGGCTATCTCATTTTCTGGTAGGAGTGGTTCTAATACTGGAAATTTTCGTTTCTCTTCTTGTATTCAGAAAGCAGGTATTCAGGTTCAATTGTATCATGATGAAGTACGTGAAGCTCGCGAAGTATCTTTTGAACTCTCTCTGGACCAAGTTTCAGAAGGTCTGCAAATACTTTTGACACTCTTCCTCAGTAAAGAAAAACAACATAAACTTAACTTAAATTCAAGAGGGAGCTGTCCAATGATTTCTGGATCATGTGTGCATTATATGAAGCATCACATTTTGAGTCACAGCATCTATATTGCATTGATTTATAAAGCTAAAACAACTAGCATTTCAAATAAAAGGAAGGGGGGGGGGAGCAATTTAGCATACACAAGGTATAAAAAACCTTTTCCTGCAACACCTGAACATATCCACAATTCTTCGAGCGTGAGGCTTTTTATTGTAGCCTTTTGTTCCAAGCTTCTTGATACAATTGTTTCTAAAACATCAATCCTCCCAAACCTTTGCGGGTAATCCAAAGAAATACTCGTGGTCTACATAAATAATTATATTTTTTCTTCAGAAAAGAAAAAAACGACACCAGCCCTATCCAAAAAATACCATTGTTTTATTCAGAAGAATATCGTTCGTTTATTAAACTTTGAAAGATCTCAAGATACTCGATCAGTACACTGTTGTCAGCCATCTTCCCCCGGTTGAATCTTTAACTGAAACCTCAACTAGATTCTTGACTAAATCTTCAATCAATTCATCGACTGGTTCTTAGACCAAAATGTGACATTGACATTCTTAAGTATTTTTAACTACGAACTATCCCATATTTCTCGAAAAATTAAGAGCACTTAGGCAACTGGATTTGTATTTATGATTGCATCGTTTAAACTGTTGACAATTCTGTTTAATGTGGGTTTTTTTCTGTCAAATCGTTTTGCGGAAAAGAAACTTCGAGGCTTTGTAGGTTTTTCCAACTTTTCGCTTGGCCATTTAAAATTATTTTAGAGGAATCTACATTTAGTAAAAGTGTAAAACACCAGGAGTTTTTTATATAAAAACCGTTAATTTCACTGTATCCAATTATATTGTTTTTTTTACTAGCGAAGCAGTTTCCCCCAGACATGTCTCTCGCGCCACTTTATATGACCAAAAAAAAAAATGTTGAATTCAAAAATGTTGAAAGGGTTGAATTGCTGATACAGGTTAAAATAGAAATAAGCGTCATTTCCATCATGCGGTGGATACAGGTTTTTGTTTATTTTGTGCTATCCTACTATCCCTTGGTTACTTCAACTTTAGGGCCTTGTAAACATTTAGACAACTGTTTTCCAATTTAAATACGACATATCACAATCAAATGACAGAACAGAATAAAAGTAAAACCGTGTCATTGGGAAGTCTAATACTAGATAAATTACAACGCTTTTTAAAACATGTTTGACAGGTAAAAAAAAAAGTAATAAGTGTGACAGAACACACTGATAAGAGGTCGCTTATTTTTACATAACCCGTCTTTTTTTTTTTTATGTGCATTTTTCTTTTTCAATCAGAACTTTCCCGGGTTTTAATCTACATGATTCTGACAATTTGAAAAACCTAGTTTTTAACAAGCAGGGTGACTGATTGCCCTTGAACTGAATCCTATGTCATCCTTCTCACTTGAGCAGTTACCTTGGGAATAGCACGCTACTCTTTTATATATATCTGGTATTTATCCAGAGAATGCTATTTTAGGAACTTTTTTTTTTTTCCCGCCTGAAAATAACAAGCCGGTATCTATCTATGTTTAAAATGATGCAAATAAACTAGTAAGATATCACACACACACAAAAAATGAACATACCAGTACAATACGATTGATCTTTTTTTTTTTTATGTATAGTACGTAATTGACAAGTTTTAATCTTGTCCCGTTGAAAGAACCCGTTTCTTATATGAGCTGTGGGAATCCTTAGAAAAAAAAAAAAAAGACAATTTTGGAAAGTGTTTATTTTACGCCTCGGTTATGGGTAAATGTTAATACATGAGATAACATTGTTGGGTTTGTTATTTCCTTGTACAAAACATGCTGATAATGACAACGCCTACAGTCATCTCTGGTTTCCTTTACAATAGACTACATGATTTCAAGTGGGGGGGAAAGGGAGGGGGGAAAAAAAGGTACAAATTTTTTTACGTCATCAATTTTTTTTTGGGGGCGCACGCAAAAAAAAAAAAAAAGGTGGTTTTTGGCCCGCTTTTTTAATTTCTTTTTTTTTTTTTTTTTTATTCAATTTGTAAATTATTAAATTGTTGACGAAATTGTATTGATCCGACTCTTTGATGACCTCTTGTGGTATCATAATTTGATTTGGTGTCCAACATAAGCTCACCTCGTTTTGCGGATTCAATCATTTGTTCTAGTTCTCTAATTCTGTCTTGATATCTGCCAACATCTTCACGCAATTCTTTGATATGATCCACCGACAGCTTCAAGATTGTTCCTTTATTAATAGCTCTTCCGTTTGCTCCAACTTGATTGCTCGATACTGACATTACATTCGAACTGGTAGGTGCAGAATCTAATAATCTTTCGGGTAAAAGTGTGCATAATTGTTTGTCGTTCCTAATACAATTCCAGTTGATTCCACTCCGACATCCAATGTGATACATGCTCTCTGAGCCACGCTTTATTTTTCCTTTTTTCAATAAACAAATATGTCCCTTTCTTCCCTATATCTTTCTAAGCCGCGCATCGTGGAGTAACTATGGAGAATATCAATCATCAACAACATGGTGAATCATCGCAACAACAACAACAACAATTATACACGCGAGAAGACGTTGAACGATTATTTAAAGAATTCAGACGTGAAGAGCAGAGAAACGCAGAGGAAGCATCACAAGGAGCACCCCTTCCTTTGGTCATATCATCCGAATTGGAAAGCTATAATACGCAACAATTACGAGACAACTTTAAAAGATACAGAAGACATATACAAAAATATCAAGATGAATACTGGACAATTGGAGAATCAATCGATAAACCACTCATCCCAGAACTTAAGAAGGCTACAATGGACGTATTCCAAACAGTTAGTACCCTATATAAGGGCTCAGAAAATACAAGAATCCAAGCAAGAGCAGCTACAGAAATCTTTGAACAATTATCATACCTGCAGAACAGAGTTCAATTTGCCTCAGAAGAAGACAGAGATATGTTCAAAAATACTATTGAGCAAGTCCAAAAACTATCAGTCTATGGCTGGGGATCAGCTTCTTTGCAAGACCGAGAAACCAAGGCTTTGGCTACCAAATATATACAACTACCAAACACCCTTAAACATTTGGCGTCAGGAGAAGATGAGGGAAAATCAAGAAACGCCTTTGGATCCGAATTCATACAGGAGCTTAACAAAGCAAGATTTGAACAGCAGGTCGTCAGGGGAGCAGCGTACAATGGAACGAGAGGACGCGGTAGTTTTAGAGGACGAAGTTTTGGACGTGGAGGATTCAGAGGATTTGGAGGAACTTATGGACATAGTGGATCCCGTGGAAGAGGTCAACATTTTCAACCAGGAGGACGGGGAAGAGGTGCCCCCTTCTCTCATCAACAAGACAACACCTCACCTCCAGCAACCAGCAACGAAGCCAACCAATAATTCAACAACAAGCTCAAGCTCAACAAAATTTACAACAACAACTACAACAACTCAATCGACAGCATCAACAACTCGCGAAGATACAACAACATCAACAACATCAACAACATCAACTCAATCAGGAACATCAAAAACCGAATCAGCAACATCAACATCAACAATTCAGGCAACAAAATCAAGAGCAAGAACGCCGAAATCAACAAAAAGAACGCCAAAATCAACAAGAAAGCACAAACAACCATTACGTTATTCCGGAAGACGGAATTTACCCAGGAGGTCGACTCAGCAAGTTTCAAGACAGGTGGAAGGAAATCACTCCTCATCCATGGCCATTATCAGTTGTATCCCAAGGTTATCAGCTCCAATTTGCAAAGAAACCAATTCCATGGAAATCTCATCGAATGAGGATGTCGTTGGAGGATCAGCAAGCAGTGGATGTAGCAGTCAAGAAATTTCAAGCCGCAGGAATAATAGAGGTGTCACCAACCCAAAACAAACAATTTCTGTCCAATCTGTTTACGATTCAAGAACCGAACAAGAGAAGACCAATCCTGGACTGTCAGAAGTTGAATCAGTTCATACAATGCAACCACTTCAAGATGGAGGGTGTTCCTGCCTTGCGGGATATAATAGAGAAGAACGATTACATTTGCAAACTGGATCTCAAGGATGCTTATGTAGTGGTCCCAATCCACCCCCAATCCAGGCCATACTTGACATTCGAAAACAAGAATGTAGTGTACCAATACAGATCCCTAGCGTTTGGACTCAGTGTCGCACCGAGAGTATTCTCAAAGTTGATGAGATATGCAATCGAACCATTGAGGAAACAAGGCTTTCGGCTGGTTTATTATCTGGACGACATTTGCCTGTTATCAAAATCAAAGATGGAAGCAGAGAATCTATGCAAGGTAGTAATCAAACATTTGGAATCGTTAGGATTTATGATAAATCGAGAGAAGAGTATACTGACCCCATCGCAATCACAGGAGTTTCTGGGGTTCCAATTCGACACAAAAAGGATGACCCTTTCAGTACCGCAGCAGAAGATAAAGAAGTTGATACAACGGGTGAGACAAGCTCAGAATTCGAAAGTTCCTCGGTCGTGCAGGTGGATAGCAAGCTTGCTTGGCAAGATGACTTCAGTAATACCGGCAATTGGAGAGGCTTTGCTTCACATACGGTATCTCCAGCGAGACCTGTCGAAGAGTCTGAAGGGGAATCGCCAGAGATGGGACAGCATATGCAACTTGTCAAAATTAAGCCAAGAAGAACTGAAATGGTGGCAGGAGTTCATGGTGTTAAAGAATGGCCTACCAATCCACAAGATTCAGATGAAGGATGCAAAGGTGACAATCTATGTCGATGCCTCAGACACAGGGTTTGGAGTGAGTTCACCTATGGTAACAACAGCTGGATTTTGGACTCAGGAGGAAAAAGAAAAATCAATCAATGTCAGAGAGTTGAAGACAATATATTTTGCCTTAAAGCTCCATGCCGTAAGATGCCAAAACTCTACAATAAGGATATTTTCGGACAGCATGACTGCATTGAAGTATACAACAAAAGCAGGGGGGACTACTTCTGTTTTTCTCCAGGATCTAGCACTGAAGATTCAGGAACTTTGCAACAAGTACAAGTTGGAAGTTCAATATCAACATATCCCGGGGGTTCTAAATGTAGCAGCGGACAAGTTGAGTCGGCTGAAGATGCCGTTATACGAGTCGACAATTCCAAGGAAAATGTTTCAACAAATTCAGCAGCAATGGGGACCACTAAAGATCGATGCCTTTGCTTCACACCACAATCACCAAGTAAAGAGATATTGGAGCTTAATTCCGGATCCAACTGCAGAAGCAACCGATGCCTTTCATCAAAGGTGGATGAAGAAGGGAATGTATTTGAATCCGCCATGGAAGTTGATTCCAAAGGTGATCCAGAAAATGAAGAAAGAGAAGATAACAAGAGCAGTACTAGTAACTCCGTATTGGCCAACCCAATTTTGGTTTCCTATGATCCTGAACCTGAGACACCTAGCTCCTCCTATAATCATGCAGAAGAACAAGAAATGGAAATTAGCCGCTTGGCTACTATCAACAAAGTGAGACAGAAAATAGGAATGAAGAAGAGAACAGCAAGGTTTTTGGAGAAGGCGATTAGACCAGCAACTCACAAGGCATATGACAATGGTTGGAAACGGTGGAAGAATTGGTGCAAGACTGAAGACAAAGATCCTGAAGATTACAATGTCAATAGCGTATTGGAATTTTTGGTACAGAACAACCAACTTTCCTACACATACTTAAATGGGTTAAGATCGTCAATTGCTTCGGTGTTCAAGGAGCTTCATCCCGAAAAAGATCCTATTGCAAAACAGCCTATTATACAAGATTTTTTTGCAGCAAAACGAAGGTCAGAAATAAGAATACCATCGCAACAAGATCTGGAAACATGGGACATGACAGTTTTAACGGATTACATAAAGCTGACGTATTTCAATACTACTAGTTTGGGGCTACAAAATTTACAACAAAAATCAGTGCTTTTGCTTTGTCTGGCGACAATGTGGCGACCTCGATCTGATATTGGACGTCTTCAATATAGGGATGTTACCCTGAGGTTCAGAGGAGACGGCTCGATAAAGACGCTATCAACTCTGGAGAGTGCGATTATACATGTAAGAACTCCAAAAGAAAGTCAAGTCAAATCCATACAACTTGGAAGATTGGAGATGGAGGATGTGTGTCCAGTGGCAACACTTTTTTGGTTCTTGGAAAAAACAGCTCATTTGAGGTCAGGCCTGTCAAAGGCGCACACTCTGTATCTGGCTTACATTGACAAGGAAAAATCCAAGGTATCATCGATTTGTCCTTCAACACTGGCAAACTGGGTTAAGGTAGCTATGCAAGAAGCGGGGATCGACACCAAGGTATACAAGCCTCATTCTATTCGGGCCGCATCAAGTACGAAAGCAGTTCAAGTGGGTAACAGTATTCAGGATGTTAAGACACATGCAAACTGGAGCTTAAATAGCAATACATTCGAGAAATATTACTATAAGCCTACGGCTCAAGAATCATCAAGTACCAAGATTACCAATTCAATTTTTTCAACGGAGAACAGTATCACATTGGATGTCGGAGTGGAATCAACTGGAATTGTATTAGGAACGACAAACAATACTATAGTTGATGAAACGAAGACAGAAAATGTGATACATGCCCGCCCTTGGTATAGACGTTTGTTTGGAAAAGACCAATAATTTAGTATCCCACCCAGGAAAAAAAAAAAAAAAAAAAATTGAATAGGTTTAGCTTAGCTAGAAAGATATAGGGAAGAAAGGGACATATTTGTTTATTGAAAAAAGGAAAAATAAAGCGTGGCTCAGAGAGCATGTATCACATTTTCTGTCTTCGTTTCATCAACTATAGTATTCTACATTTATAGATCAATAAAAAAAAACATGTGTACGTAACGCCCCATCCCACCCCCCTTCCTCCCCCTCTAACCCTTTTTTTTTTTTTTTTTTATATATGCATTTATATATATATATATTACCATGGATACGTTCGTTGATATTATCTCTTCTTCTTCTTTCAACTGCATTATGAGACTCTCTTCTCCGGCGTCTCTTTTCAAACATTTCTTGCAAGCTTTTTTATATATATATAAAAGATAATGAATATTTCTATTTATACATATTAAAGAAAAAGAAAAAAAAAACTTACTTTCTTTGTTGACCTTCATCCTCATCATTACCTGTAAAGCCATCAAGATGACTAGATGAGGTAGAGGGAGAGACGATCAAATCTCTGTTATTACCATGAAAGATAGGAGATTGACCAAAAGAGGAGCCATTTGAATCCATACTTGTTCCAAACCAGTTTTGTTGATTCTCGTTTGAAAAGGCCATACCTGCGTTACGATGTGAAGGAGGGCTCATGGCAGAAGCAACCGTACCAAATGAATTTTGACGTTGATGATAGTGTGATGGATTAAATAATCTGTTATTGTTGCGTTGTACTACAGGAACCGCTCCGACTGTTGTGTGTGGTGTACCCGACATACCTTGATTCGTAAAGTGATCACTTTCAAGGTTATAGTCTTGTTGATTGGGTGAGTACATTTTTATACTTTTATTTAAGAGAAAAGGGGAGGGTTAGAGAAAAATAAAAAGAATAAAGAAAAAAGGGAAAAAAATAAAAAATATCCCCTTTGTTTTCATTTTATTTTATCTTTGTGAAACTGCGTGAGAAATACATCCAAACAACAATAGTTATGACATAAGCAAATCAGCGGGCTCAAAGCATCATGCATCCAGGAGAGGAGAGCAAGAGAGAGTAAAGAGAGATGGAATATAAAAAAAAAAAAAAAAATGTGGAATTCGGCAGTTTAATTATTAATAATTTTATTAAAAGGCGCAGTTTCTTTATTTTTATCATCATCTCAAGACTACCAGTGATTAAGACTGGGATAAGCAACTACCTCTATTCGTTTGCTTAATTTTTCTTCCTCCCATTTATCAAAATAGTTTTTCATGGACTGTAATTGGTTGATATTGACAGTGGGTATGATATGAAAGATCTTGAGACTAGCAATAAATGAAGCTAGTTCTCTAAAGCTAGAATGTTCTGAATAAGGTACACCAAACAACTTGATGTTGCCTCGATCGTAATATGGTGAAATGTGAAGGGTTCGATCAGATGGCGGTAGGATGATGTGACTTAGGGGTGCTAATTTCATGTCCGATGTTTGTGAGCTACTCGACTTATACGTCCACCCCGTAGGTTTAAATGCAATTAAAGAATCAAAATGGGTCTGGTGATCTCTTAAATAATTTGACATGATCTGTTGACATAGAAACATGAGTAACACGTAAAAAAAAAAAATAACTTTCTTTTCTTTTTTGACATACATCACCACGGATATCTCTCAAAAACCCAACATGCACTTGTGCTTCCATTGGATTACTAGTCATCATGGACTTTAACTCTTCATCTTCTTGGCACAGTAAGATCTTGGCTTTTTTAGGTGAGGCGTATATTTTGCACTTTAACATTTTAGCAATATCTAATGCAGAAAATATTAAGCTTTTTGTATTATTGTGTAACAATAATAACTTACTAAAAAAGACTCGCTCTTTCCCGATTGTATATGTGCCTACAACAATCAACACTCGTGATTTATTCGGAGTACTTGATGGATTTAAGAGATTCATGGGATCAGGGGTTTTTTTTATCCAATTATCTAATAAGGAAGCTTTCTTTGTCTCTATTTCTTTTTCAGGATTCAACTCTCGCTTCACTAACTCACATACGGCATGGATACATTCTTCTTGAGCAGGAAAAGCATACTGAGGATTTAAATAAGTGGTATCTAGATATAAGCAATTGATGGGTGGATTGTCAGGTTGACGTATGAGAGGATGTAAACACATACGAGGGGATGCTCTAAAATCCCCCGTATGTAAATGGCGCACTTGAGAGCCATCCGGCATTTTTACAATAAATAGAAATAAAACAGAGCCTGGACAATGGTTAGCGTCGATTAAAGCAATCGTCACATTGGAACCGGGAATAGGATAAAGTTCATTCATGGGTAAAGGGTGAACATAACGACGATCCACGCCTAGTTCCTGTTTCACAAGATTCGCTGTCACTTGTGAGCAATAGATCGGCCCATGAGACCATTTGGATTTTAAACCACCGTAATGATCAGAGTGATAATGTGTTAAAAAATATCCATCACAGTCAGATATCTTTCCAAAATTAAATGCATCCACCGTAAATCGAGTGTCTAATACTAAATTTAGTATGCCAACATCATTGCTTTTTTTTTTTTTTTTTAAAAAAAAATGTTACCTCGCACACGTTTGTAAAATGGACACGGTCGCTGTTTGCTAATGGGTGGATTCAATGCGTTGTTCGTGCTTCTTTGTGACAAAGGTGTAACCACTGTACTTGATGATGAGAATAAACTTTTCCAAGATGATGGTAGTATCCTACTAAGCCCTGATGCGGCCTTAACAGTACTTTCATTATTATGCTGTACTACACCAGATGAAGTCACATCTTCTAATTTGACACTGTCCTCTCTCTCTTTACCCTTTTCCTCTAAAATCGTCTTGAAATTTTCTATCTGGTACAAATCATGAACATCGTTTTCTATCGGATAGTCCTCTGTCACAACATTCTCTATCATGTCGCATTGGTTCATCACAGTTTCTTTGGTTTCTACATTGTGCGCTTTTTGGCTGCTGTCAACTGCGCAGTCAGGTGTTGTCTCGTTTGACGTTCCGGCCTTTTCCTGTTGAGAGTCTAAGCAGCCATTGACATGAACCTCCATGGAAACTGATTCAACAGAGATCATGGTGCAGCAGAGTGGGCATTGCTCTTTTCTCGCTTCCAATGTTGACAATTGCTGCTCAATTTGGTCTTGGAATGCTGTCTTAATCTTTTTGTTGGGTGGTGATTTAAAGTATGAATCAATGGAGAAATACTTGGATTGAACAAGTTCTTCTTTACGGCCTTGTTTTCTCATGATACTGAACAACAATAAAGGTTTTTTTTTTTTTTCTGGAAAAAGAAGTACCTGTCTAGGTTGAAGAAAAAGGAAAAAAAAAAAAAAAAAGAATCGTCACAGAACGCTTTTTAATCTTGCGATTACTACTTCACCAGAGAAGCCCAATACCTAACTAGCATGATAGGTTTTGCAGGTATCTTTCAGAACAATTCAATACAAGATCTAGGTATAGTTTTAGCTAGAAATGATTGATCTGAGGGTTGGTTAGAATCCAATTGCAATCAGTATCCTTTAAATCGTAACTTTTAAATATAACAGGTAAATCTTCTCCAATCGTTAGTTTACAAATGCAATTGATTTACAGCATACTACTCTCGAGGACATCTTTGTTACCATCAAACCGTATTCGATTGTATGTAAGCCGACATTCTCTTATTTGTGGCCACGTGCTCTTTGATGGGCGCGAAATAATGCCTCTTCTGATATTTCATTTCCAATGATGCATTTTGTGCCTCCCGAGTTAAAATCATACATTGGCCTTGACAATACCAATGTGACCACTATTCCATTTTGTTTCATTATTTTGCAGTCCAGTTTGATGGTTTAGATACGAAATGAATTGACAAGTTGTGTATTGTTTCAAAAGGATGTCTCATATTGACTCGAAAAGAAAAAGTCACGGCTTACAATAAAAGAAAAAAAAATATTTTTTTTTTTATTTTCGTTATTTCTATCAATGTGTTGGGGGAGGAAATTGATATTTGAGAGGGTGAGAGCAAATAAAAATAAATCCAGAGATAAGAAAAAAGAAAAAAAGAGAAAGGGCTTATTGTTGGTAGGAAAAGACGTTCTTTAAATCTAAGGCAAGTTATCAGTTTTTTTTTTTTTTTTTTTTTTTTGAATTCTTTTTTTTAAAAAAAAAATCGACAGGTGTTTAACTTACATCCATCTTGTTGAGAGAGACGGTTAATGGCGTCGTCACCTTCAGCTTCTTTACGGATAAATCCGGAAAGAGCATAAGTAACAAAAGAGTTGGTGGCGCGACCTTCAGCATCAACATCAGCGATATTGAGTTGAATGGAAGCGTGATCCTTGGCAGTAATCAAGCGATTAGTGGCAGAGCTAAAAAAAAAAGTCATGGGGGTCAATTTAAATTCGCCCCTCGATCCTTTCAATGATCTTTACCACTTGCGGGGGATGTAGAGATCGATAATGCTACCCTCTGAGTTCTCCATTATGTTAGGTTTGTCCAAAAAGTTAAGGTAGGTTAAACCGGGAAAGGAAGTGAAAGAAAGAACTCGAATTTTTTTTTCATTTGCAATTTGTTTAAATTGCTGTAAAAAAAAATTTGTTGTAAAGGTTGCCACTCCGCTAAATTCTCCAGATTCATGTTACGAGCACAATACTTTACCCTCATAGACATAGCCTTGGCTTCAACTTTATGAATGAATGATTCAGTCCCAACGAGCATATGGCTTGATACGTCGAAAAAAAAAAAACTTGTCAAAAAATCAAATTTTGTGTAGCAATGCAATGATTCAGGTACATTTGACCAACATTTTAAATTTAAAATTACGATTAACAACCTATCCAATGAAATTCTTCCAGTCACGTGCTTTGTCACGTGAATATCACGTTTTTGGTCACGTGACTTTGGAAACGACCTTGAAATAAATAATAACCAGACATGTAGTGGTTATGATAAGGATCTGACTGTCTTTTATGTTTACCTTGTGTAGAGTACGAGAATAAACAATATATAAAATGATGGTTCAAGGAGACTGTAAAGACTTGATATCAGATTATACAAACAGAGAGAAGAGATTAAAATGCACTAGTAAGCAATGGAAAGCTGCCAAAGAAGTTATGTATCAAAAATAATAGAATATAAAAAATATAAACTAGGAAAAAGATAACCTTTATTCACTATCAATAAAATAAGCTTTTATAGCTGTCAAAAAAAAATATACACAAAAATATAAATACAAGATCAGATCGACCATTGTCAAACAAATAAATCATAAGTTAAAAATACGGATAAAATAAATGAAAGTATAAAAATAAAATGAGGGAATGAAAATAAATCAGATGTCAAAAATTCAAATAATAACATCCAAGAAATATTCAATACGACAATAGCTCCTCTTCTAACTGCGACAACTAGCAAAAACCGATTCTCTGGATTTATCAAAAATAGAAGATGGATTTCTCAAACTTGACGTGACTTCTAGAAAATTCATTCGGACTTTTAACACCAGATCTTCCCAGCGCAACAACAACAAGAAAAACAATTTATTCCTTAGACACCACTGAACTTCTTCCTCGCTCATTTCGACATTAACCTTCATAACACCTTCCAAAATCTTCAACCACCTTTCTCCTACTTCTTTACAATATATACTGTAAAACAAACACGTGAAAGTCACGTGTTTTAAGACTTCAAGCGAAACACAAGACCAAAATACGACCGTATCAAGTACCCCCCGCCGAGCTTGAAGTCCCACCTTTCAAAATGAAAGGTCAACAAAGCCAAAAGTATTAACACGAGAGTTCAACCACGACTGCAATTGTTCATTTGCCTTTGACACACCGACCTGTGGCACCATATGCTGAACCTCCTTGTTATACGCCTTTAGTAAGTCGCCATTCACTGCATGCTTCAACCTTAGACTATTCTTCCCAGTCAACCAGTAAGTACCATTTTGGTTCACCTTCATAACAGTATACGGTCCTAACCACTTATCAGAAAACTTAGTCGTTGGGACTACATCCTTCAACAAAACTTGATCACCAATATCAAACTTTTTACGAAAAACGACACGCCCATCATAACGCTCCTTAGCCTTCTTCTTTCGCTCATCTGACCTTAACCGCGCAATTTCACGAACTTGAGCCAATTTTTCTTCAACCAAAATAATTCTTTCACGCAATTCCTCTTCTTCTTCGCCAATGACAAAATCAATACGTGGAGCCACCCAAACAGCAGGAGTTCTCATTTCATACCCAAACAACATATAACTGGGAGTATAGCCAGTAGCAGAGTTCTTGGAAGTACGAATCACCATTAACGCCATGTCTACATACTTATCCCACTCAGCCGTATTTTCTCGATCTCTAGCAATCTTCGCTAACACCGAAACCAGAGTGTAGTTTAAACGTTCACACATACCATTACATTGAGGTCTATAGCTCGTCGTCATTATATTCCTACACCCAAGCTGTTTCAAAAATTCATGAACGTAAGTAGATATGAAATTTTGACCTCTGTCAGAAAGAATCCAACGTGGAACACCCCAATCCTTAACAATACTAAATAGAAATTCCCCCGTTGTTACTTCATTTATATCGGGTACAGCAACTGCAACAGGCCACCTCGTCAAGTAGTCAATACCAGTCAAAATATACTTGTTTCCACGCGTAGTAGATTGAAGAGGACCAATAGCATCAATACCAACCAAAACAAACGGATCCTTAGTAGTTTTGAATATGACACCCGGATTTGTACGAACATTCTTGATACGAGCACGAAATTGACAAGTATCACACGATTTAACCACAGACTCGACTAATTTACGACCATCATGCACCAAAAAATTCTTTACCACCTTATCCAACGTATTTGAGATTCCCAAATGACCTTCTTGATGTATGTCAGTTATTTTCTGTAAGGCGTTACCTTCATGTAACAACTCTCTTCCAGTTTTCTTTTCAATCAATACACCATCATCACCGATCATCAACAAATTTGCACGATAACGGATTCTTCGAGAAATATCCTTGGTAGCATCTTGCGGGTAGGACCCATCAGTCAGAAAATACAATAAAGCCAAATACCACGGTAAAGAGATTAACCCCATCACGACGAATACAGAAATACAATTAAACAACACCAATTTAAAGGGAGCTTTAATCCAGACTAGAAAATGAGAATATCTAGACAACTTGAGGGATGGATAATTTAAGGGAAAGGATCCAAAGTAAGAAGGCAAAGTGATTATAATATTTTAAAGAGAAGAATAAAGATAAATTTTATTTTAAATAAAAATGAGAACTATTTATACAATCTTAAATTATAAGATTCATTTCCAATTTTGATCGTGCCATTATTTTTTCTGTCAAAAATAATCAGACCACACAATGTTTTGACACATTATACTATCTTAATAATATCATCAAGATTACCAATCTCGAGATCCACAATTTTTCTTGACAAAGGATCTGCCGGATTTTGCTTCCCAGGACGATACCGGATCTCAAAATCATAATCCATCAAACACGCCGCCCATCTTGATAACTTGGGAGTACCCTTCGGATTAGCAAACACGTAGATCAGGGAGCTATGATCTGTAATCAGGATAAACTTCTTGCCCTTTAGCCAATGCTTGAAATATTTAACACCACAAACAACACTCAACGCTTCCAAATGGTGAATCGAGAACCTTGTTTCACTTCCGTGAAGACCACGAGAACCATACGATAAAACTTGCTCATTTCCCAGAGTTTCCCAGTCATCTACTTGACTCGCAATGAAAGAAATTCCCTTATTTGACGCATCACAAGAGACACATTGTACTGCCGTACGGAGAGGTGAGGATAGAATAGGAGCCGTAGCCAGAGCGTTCTTTAACTGATCAAAGGAGGATTGTTGTTCTGGACCCCATTCGAACACACAATTTTTCTTGGTCAATCTATTCAACGGTTCAGCAATTTCACCATATCGATGGACATATTTACGATAATATCCACTCAAACCAAGAAAACTTCTTATATCCGTAGCATTTTGAGGTTCAGGAAAATTTTTGATTTTGATTACGTTCCTTTCACCAGGACAATTTCCACTAGCACCAAGAACATGACCCAGATATTCGACCTTATCTTCGCCAAAATGACATTTCTTCCTTTTTAATTTCAGATTTGCCTTAGAACACGCCTCGAACAACAACTCCAGATGTTTCTTATGATCTTCCAAATTTTTTGAGTAGACCAAAATGTCATCCAAGAACACAGAACAGAAAACACCAATATATTCACGAAATATACTTGACATCACACGTTGAAATTGGCAACAACCATTCGTCAAACCTTGAGCGAGCCTCTTGTACTGAAAAGCACCTTTACTAGTAACAAAACCAGTCACCTCAGCGCCATCCTTGTCAAGCTCCAATTGATGATAACCACTGGTACAATCGAACGTAGAAAATACCTTTGCATCACCTACAGTTTCTATAAGTTCATTTACAGTAGCCGTAGGAAAGTTTTCCTTAATGATCATTTTATTTGCAGCTCGAAAATCTACAACAGGTCTCTTCACACCAGTTTCCTTTTTGTTCACCAGAAACAAACAACTTGACCACTCACCGTTTGACGGCTCAACAATACCAAGATCTAGCATTTCCTGCACATGAGCATCCACCAATTCTTGATCAGACCAACCCAAACGAAAAGGACGATGGCGAACCGGAACCGCCTTTTCAACAAGTCGTATCTTCGCCGAATAACCCTTGATGCACGTAAGTCCAGAAACTTCAGAAAAGCAATGTTTATATTTTTCAACAACACCTTTCAACGGCTCAATGACATTTGTAGAAATGTTGTTTGCATTGTACTCAAAATTTGCATTCTTGTCATAACCCAAGTCACCTTCTTCAGCATCAGGGATCAAATCATCCTCCAACGTGTTACAATATTTTTGACTTGACGCCACAGAAAAGATCTCTTGTTCTTCCTTGGACCTCTCAACACCACGAATAATTCTCGAGGTACGACCTTGAACACGCACAATACCCTTGGAAGTAGGAACCTTAATCTGCGAATTTTGAATATCCAAAGAAATACCATAGGCTTGGAACCAAGGAATCCCCAAAAGACAAATATCACTATCGGTGTTCATTTGAACCGCCATATGCTCAGGACGAATCTTGCCCCCAATACAGATAGGTACGTTCATAACCACATTTGACATGGAAGGAGTATTATTATTGTTGAAACCGACCAAATGCAAGTTATCACCATTAGGTACCAAACCCAACGAATTACAAATATTAGATCCTAAAATGGAAACCGAAGCACCCGTGTCAAAAACAGCCTCTAGCGATTTACCATTAATTTCGATAAAACCTCTCAAAGGCGAAGTAGACTTCATACGTTGCAGATCATAAGGATAACCATATACGGACTCTAACTCACTGAACTCCAAATCAGACACTTCACCAGAAAAAGAAGACGAATCATAATCAGACCCTTCCTCCAAATCAGAACCTGACAAATTACTTTCAGAGTCGACTTCATTTACAAACACCGTATTATCCACAGCTTCGCCAACGTTCGTTACATCATGGACACCAACATCCATCGCATTATTAAAACTGATATTTGGACCAAAAGGATAATTTGCATCTCCAACAACTACACCAGCACCAGGAATAGCATTAACACCACCAGAAGCACCAACACCACCAGAAACACCAACACCACCAGAAACACCTACACCACCAGAAACACCAACGCCACCAGAAATACGAACACCAGAAGACACCTTCTTCTTTACTTTACTTTCTTTGAGATAGCGAATACCATCAATCATTTCAGCTGCAGCTTCTTTATCTAATGAAAGCCACTCAGCAACAGAAATTCCTGATTCAGTACCCATCAACTTAGCCCAAATTTTTGATCTCTTGAATTTTACTGGGAGACGCCTAGCCTTCGGACGAGTCCTTTTCTTAACTAACTTCTTATTTCCAGTCAAGACCACAGGAACAGAAGGATTCACCCCAGGTTTCTCCAACTCAGAAGTAGCTCTTCTCTTCACACCATTCGCAAGAATTTCATTCGTAACGATACCACTCTTCGCTACTACCGTCTCCACCAGTTGTACTTCTTGGCCACCTTCTTGATTTATTGATTGAGGATTTAAATTTGTAGGAGCAACAGTCACCTCGTTTACTGTTGCTCGTTGCCTTTTCCCGCCTCTTCGGTACTTCCAATGGGAACCGCATTGCTACCAGTAGCAGGAGTAGACGAAACTTGATTTTGATCACGTAAGTACTTGGGGCATTCATATTTCTTATGTCCATCATCACGGCAATAGAAGCAAACAAAATTATTTCTTTGAGGAGCAGAACCATTTCCAACATAAGGAACATAGGGCTTAGGAGAAGCAGGCTTGGACGTAACATTTTCATTCAACTTAACAAGATTGATGCTGAGTTGTTCTAACTTGGCCACAAGAGAAGACATATCCGTGCTGGCAACACTAGCGGTATCCGAAAAATCATTTTTGAACGTATGATTTTGTGAAAAATCGGTTTTCAAATCACCAACAGGACCCGAACCAACAGCACCAAGACGAACAGGATCATACTTCAAGAAACTTTTCTCAATTTGCTTAGCCTTAATCTTAGCCGTTTCGAAAGAAACAGGAGTACCATCCTTTTCGACTTCAAATCCGATATTTGGACGAATAGCAGATAAAAATGTGCGAACTTGAAAAACTTGACTTTTGGTATCCAGCAACTCAAACAACTCTTCCATCTTCAAAGCAATGTCATCGATACTATCTTGCTCGCCTTGTTTCATGTTTTGCAAAGAAAACCACCATTTGTCTTCTTGGTCAACTAAATATTGTTTTTTAAACAATAGGACAAATTGGGACCAGGAAGTAGCCTTAATACCAACAACATTAAACCATGTTTCAGCCTTCTTTGTTAGATGATCACCAACCACGAAAAGAGCTTCTTCATCTGAAAGTTTAACGGATTTCTTATAGCGTTCCATTTTCTTCAGCCAAACATACGCTTCGTTTCCCATGTCTTCACCGACAACTGAGACACCCGAAAAATCCTTTGGCTCGACAATGCGCCAATTTGGTTTCTTGATAATTTCTACTTGATCAGAACTTGGAGGAGCCATTACAAAAATAATAAAGAGTACTATAAAACTTGAATACGAGTCAATAACCTTCTCTGGTAGATCGGACCACTTGATAAGGATCTGACTGTCTTTTATGTTTACCTTGTGTAGAGTACGAGAATAAACAATATATAAAATGATGGTTCAAGGAGACTGTAAAGACTTGATATCAGATTATACAAACAGAGAGAAGAGATTAAAATGCACTAGTAAGCAATGGAAAGCTGCCAAAGAAGTTATGTATCAAAAATAATAGAATATAAAAAATATAAACTAGGAAAAAGATAACCTTTATTCACTATCAATAAAATAAGCTTTTATAGCTGTCAAAAAAAAATATACACAAAAATATAAATACAAGATCAGATCGACCATTGTCAAACAAATAAATCATAAGTTAAAAATACGGATAAAATAAATGAAAGTATAAAAATAAAATGAGGGAATGAAAATAAATCAGATGTCAAAAATTCAAATAATAACATCCAAGAAATATTCAATACGACAATAGCTCCTCTTCTAACTGCGACAACTAGCAAAAACCGATTCTCTGGATTTATCAAAAATAGAAGATGGATTTCTCAAACTTGACGTGACTTCTAGAAAATTCATTCGGACTTTTAACACCAGATCTTCCCAGCGCAACAACAACAAGAAAAACAATTTATTCCTTAGACACCACTGAACTTCTTCCTCGCTCATTTCGACATTAACCTTCATAACACCTTCCAAAATCTTCAACCACCTTTCTCCTACTTCTTTACAATATATACTGTAAAACAAACACGTGAAAGTCACGTGTTTTAAGACTTCAAGCGAAACACAAGACCAAAATACGACCGTATCAGTTATCAGAAAGGGGAAGTGATGTAGTGGTTATCATATCTGCTTTGCATGCAGAAGGCCCCGGGTTCAAACCCCGGCTTCTCCATTCGTTTTTGCTTTTTTTTGCAAAAATTTAAAGTCATCCATTGTTGCTTCTTGTACGTCGTGAAAGCTTTGGGTAGCATGAAATACAAGTTATTTAGTTGAGCGATCGAGAAATGTTTTTCTATTACAAATTTGAATTATTCTATTTTGTATCTAATTTTTATTAAGATACTCAAAAAGGCATGACACTACATAGCTAGTGTATAATATTTTAGTGCATCAAGTAATATATGCAGAACAGATAAGAACGATAACCCGTTGAACAATAACAGGTTTAAAAGTAGAAGTGAAAAATTAAAAACCGTTATAGTTATGTAGCAAGATTTTGAAATGATTATGTTTGCATAAGGGTTTTTTTTATAACGATGATACTTTGCTAAAGTGTCACAAAATCAATTTTTTAACAAAGCATACAAAGATGAAATAATAGAAGTAGTTACTTTATTACAATAGATGACGTTGAGAGTTTAGGAATTGAAGGATTTTTGTGCTTCGCCCTTTTTTTCTTGAGCCTTACTACCAACCTCGCCAAACGTATTACCAGTAAGAGCGTTAACAGCACCTTTGACGGCACCAGTTACTTGGTCAGCAGCACCTTTAACATAGCCTGTAACATTGGCAGCGGTTTCTTCAACATGACCACTGTCGGCTTGCGTCTTGCCTCTGGATTCGAGGGATTCGTTACCTAGAGCATAGCCAGCACTTTCTTTAGCTTGACCAACGTATTGATTTTTTTTAGCTTCGGTTCTTGAGGGAGTAGACATTTTAGATAGAGAGAAAAAAAAAAAAAAGAAAACACCATTTGTGTTGTATTTATATATGATTTTTTTGGAAGGTTATTTTTATTTGGTCGTTTGTTGCTTCTTACAAGAATGTTGAAGTTAACTTTATGTATACCAATCACGTTAGTAGTTTTATTCAACAAGTATCCATCTAGTATTTTACAGAGAAAGCAGAATCATCGATACGTAATGATAAATGAGTACCCTGACAACAAAACCAAAAAGCAATTTGGAAAAGTTGTATGTTGTTTATTTTTTATGTCAATTTATGAAACGAACAAAAAAATATGAGTACTTATTTTCTTGCTTATAAACAGGTATAATATACAAGCTTACAAAGTAGTTTAGTATTTGTACAAAATAATATGATACCAAAATTTGAGTATTCTTCAAGTCACTCAGTGTAGCAAAAACAATATTTGTAATTAAAACAATATTATTCTTTAAAATGCAGAACTTTATAAAAAAAGCAGCACAAAGGGGTTGTCAGAATAATAGCTAACAAATTTTTAACTGATTTGTAAAAAGAAAGAAAAAAAAAAACTAATGGTTCATTTAAGGTAAATGTAATGAAAAGGAATTTATTTTTGGGTTAAAAGAAAAAAAAAAAAAAAAAAAGCCAAATATACTAGAGTGAGTAAATTTAAGCAGTAATACCGTAGGCGAGTTGATTTAAGCAGTGATACCATAGGTAGAGAAAGCAGTGGCAAACTTGGCATCAATGGTAGCGACGTAGGCCTGAGCACTTTCAAGAAGAGCTTCGGGAGTGACAGCAATCAAACATCCATCCAAGGTCTTGAGAAGACCGGCTAAAGCCTTAACATCAGTCTTGACAATGGCAGTAGCAAAAGCAACAGCAGCAAAGTCAGGCTTCTTGGCAATGATAGAGTCAAGAGAACCAGTAATGTCAGGAACAATGTTACCCACAAGGCCAAAGACAGCGGCAGCCTCTTCGTCAGTGACGGTAGTAGTAGTTGCACAACAAGCAGTGTTAGTGGTCTTGAGAAGAGCCTCAAGAGCTTGTTCAGTGCTATGGATGGCAGTGGCACCAGGGTAACCGGCAGCACTAGTGAAACCGTCAACCTATAAAAACGTAAGTATGTAAATTGCAGTGGAAATAACGAGTGGTACGTACAGCGGTCTTGAGCTCCAAGAGTTTAGCATCAGCACTGGTCAAACCGTTAATACAGCTTTGAACATTGTCACTGATGGCACGCTTGTTATGAGAAGCGGCATTGGCTAGAAAATTAAGAGACCTGTAAGCAACTATAATGTACCTTTTATGTTATGCTATTTGTAAAAATTACCAGAGAGAGCAAGGGTGGCAATAGTAGCTAAGATAGAGAAGGCACGCATATTGATTGTTGTAAAGAAGATTTGATGATTTTTAAAAAAAGGGATTACCCAAATATTTGTTTATTTATACAAAAAACCAAAAAAAAAAAAAAAAGGACGCAACCAAAACTCACTTTACGTGATACATGCGCCTCCAATATGAATTCAATATTATTCTAAAATATTTCGGATTCTGTTGATGTGTACATGGGAAAATAATAGCGTCAGATACATTACAAGAGAAAACCATATGCATTCCATGCTGTGCGTTCCTTCCTTCACCTGACTCGCGTAAGAAAAGAAAGTTGGTACCACATCCTTTGTGCGAGCAAAAAAAAAAAAAAAAAAAGTCTGTGCCGAGGGGCTTCTGCTACCAAGTATTATAAGACTCCAATGTCAAAATGTTGCACCGAATATTATATAAAGTTAGATGAATAAAAATCAAGCTATACTTACATTAGATGAAAAATTATACATAAACAAAAAAAGGTAGCCAAAAAAGTATCTAAGAGTTTGTCAATAAAAAGTGTCAATTATGCATAATTTCAAATCAAATATGTCAATCAGCCGTGTTCTTCTTTATGTCTAGAATTAGTTCTAATTTACTGCTTATTGTGGATAATATTTTCTGATTGGAGGTATGAGTGTGTTTCAATGGGAATAAAATAGATTTATTCATGGTTTCAAGAGCTGGTTACATTTCTGACTTGCCTTTTTTTATTAAACATAAAAAATTTGATGAGTAAATAGTAACACGTTGTACAATACCCGCATTTAAGGAACATGCTTCTATTCTTATACAGTATCATTAAAGAAACTACACAAACAAGAAAAGAATGTCACACCTAAGATATAAAATATGTACCCGCGTATTAACACGGTATAATTACTTTGTATTTCCATCTACTACGTGTAACAATTCAATATTGAAATGATCGGTATCACTATAAATCTATTGGCTGATAAATATTATTACGCTCACTTCTTAATCTTACCGATGGGAAGACTCTAAGCCGAAAATTTTTATTGTGAGATTGCAACATATAATTGACTGCATAGTGAAAAAAATGGGAGACAAGGATACGTTTGACATTAGAGCATTCTGAATAATGCTAATTTTTCCAGTCTGTGATTTATTATAGATTATTTTTCTTACAAAATAGAATGATGTTAATTTTAAGTAACAAAGAGCTATCCGCTTTCTTAACAAAGTAATTTTTTTAAAGAGAGCAATTAAGCCCAATCATTGATAAAATTACAAAACGTCATGTGTATATTTTAGTAATGTGCAATAATACTGTTCTATGTCAGATTATATAAAATCTTAGAGCTTTAACAAAAAGTTTAGACACGATAATATGAGTAACGGACGTGCAGTATAAGTTTGTCAATTATGGTATAGGGTAGAGTATCAACAAAAATTAACAACAGCTTGTTTAAATAATGAAATAACCAACTAGATTAAATATTGTTGAAGTCGATTTCTTTTATTTATTGTTTTTTTAGAAAAAAAAAAAAAAAGCCAAATATACTAGAGTGAGTAAATTTAAGCAGTAATACCGTAGGCGAGTTGATTTAAGCAGTGATACCATAGGTAGAGAAAGCAGTGGCAAACTTGGCATCAATGGTAGCAACGTAGGCCTGAGCACTTTCAAGAAGAGCTGCGGGAGTGACAGCAATCAAACATCCATCCAAGGTCTTGAGAAGACCGGCTAAAGCCTTAACATCGGTCTTGACAATGGCAGTAGCAAAAGCAACAGCAGCAAAGTCAGGCTTCTTGGCAATGATAGAGTCAAGAGAACCAGTAATGTCAGGAACAATGTTACCTACAAGGCCAAAGACAGCGGCAGCCTCCTCGTCAGTGACGGTAGTAGTAGTTGCACAACAAGCAGTGTTAGTGGTCTTGAGAAGAGCCTCAAGAGCTTGTTCGGTGCTATGGATGGCAGTAGCACCAGGGTAACCGGCAGCACTAGTGAAACCGTCAACCTATAAAAACGTAAGTATGTAAATTGCAGTTGAAATAATGCGTGGTACTTACAGCGGTCTTGAGCTCCAAAAGCTTAGCATCAGCACTGGTCAAACCGTTGATACAGCTTTGAACATTGTCACTGATGGCACGCTTGTTATGAGAAGCGGCATTGGCTAGAAAATTAAGAGACCTGTAAGCAACTATAATGGACCTTTTATGTTATGCTATTTGTAAAAATTACCAGAGATAGCAAGGGTGGCAATAGTAGCTAAGATAGAGAAGGCACGCATACTGATAATTGTTTTGAATATTTTGATGATTCGAAAAAAAGGGACGCCCACATCTCTCTATTTATACAAAAAAAAAAAAAAAAAAAAGACGCAACGCAACTTAGCGTTACATGTTGTAGATGCGCTTCCGATAAAAATTCAACTTGACTTCAAATTATTTTTAATTCTGCTCATGTGTACATGGGAAAATAACAGCCTGTCTAATATCTTCCAAGAGAAAACCATATGTACTTCATGCTGTGTGTTTCTTTTTTTTTTCACCTGACTTGCGTAGGAAAAGTGAGTCCGTACCACATCGGTCTGTACGAGGCAACAAAACTTCCCTGCCGAGACAAGGAGGGGTTTTCTACTAGTTTTTTTAAAGTTTCAATGGTAAAATACTGTTTCGACAAGTTGATAGTGCTAGATGAATGTTTAAAAAGCTATGCCTATACTAGTTGGAAAAGTATATAAAAGAGAACTCTAATAACATATATCATTTGTAGACATTTAACTCCAAGTCAAATATGTCGATCAATTATAGTTACCATTATGTTCAAATTATTTCATTTGACTAGTTTTCTGTGGATGAGAAAATTTAATTGAAAGCATATGTGTTTCAGTAGTTACTAAATGGTCTCATCAATGGTCTACAATGATCGGTTACATTTCTGACTTGCTTTTTCTGTTTATTATCCATACAAATAGTATAACTACACACAGTAGCACGTTGTACAATACCCCGTATTGTTGAAGAAATATGGCTTTACTTGCTTGTAGTACATCAATGCAAAAATTACTTAAATTGGAAGGTTACCTCACATAAATTACAGAACTTTGTTTTCAGGTACGACATATTAACCGAGTTACAAAGGGCATGTGTAGTATGTATCTACTTGAGGCCGCAACTAAATCATACAAGTGTAGTTGGTATATTTAATTCCGAAAACAAAAGACAAAGTAAAAAAAAAAAAAAACAATATTGTAAACTCGAAAGCCACAAATACTTCCATGGGCAAGAGGAATTTGATCAATAATCGAAAAAAACTATGACGCACAGCCTTCTTTTCGTAATTATTTCACAGAAATTCATTGCGAAATTTTCAATGGAATACACCTGTGAATTCGGGTATTTGATCGGTCGAATATACGATCACCTTATTTTTTTTGTAGCAACTACATTTGTGGTGTCAAGGCTGTACATAATAGGAGAACGTCTGCTCCTATATATGACTAAGTATTGTTTAAGATGGCATCTATTGTCAACTAGTAATATAGTTACTGGTGCGTATAGTTTAAAGTTAAACTTTATTAGGAAGTTACGTTACCATGCTGTATGACGGCATTCTACAATGAGTTTTTAAAAATAAATACAATATAATCCAAAGACAGAGCGTGCTAGATTCCTTTGCTTTCACATTGAACAAAGTTGTACAGTGCTTGGCAATTTATAATTAATGTATAGTCAAGTGAATATGTTTCGAAATCACACAAGACTACGCATGTGTATCTCATAGTCGGGTTCTATGCGAGGCAGAGCATGTCTAACTTAAATTCGGTATCACGCATCAATCAGGCCAATTAAATACAATTACTATGTATGTATTCGGAATTATAAGCAAGCCATAAAATAGGAATGTGTACAAGGATAATGAATGATGCAATAGTGTTTATTCTAAAGATTTGAGGGTTATGTCCAGTGACCCACCTTAATTATACTTAATTGACATTGGTACTTGAATAGTTAAAAGTACATCTGACGTGTACAAAAACATTGCAATTGATATAGAATAATTTAAAAGTGCTCTTATACACTGGCTAGACACTTTCAGTTATGTTTATACGTAACACTGAGCGATAATGTTATTTGCTGACTATTTATGACGATAAAATTAGAGTCTGCACTTGGTTAAAAGCAGCATTAAATCGAGACCACATCAATTCGGTTATCAATCAATCCTTTATTTACACAAAGCAACCATTTAGTACAGTTTCTTTGTATCAAGCGGAAGAATAGCGCTAATTTTGATTGCAACAAAGTAATGTTAAAAAAAAGTGCTCCGGAGACGCGAACAAACCGGATTCAAGTTACACATATTATGCTAATAGGTAAATAGTCTTACTTTTTATTCGTAGCCAGAATAGATCAGTGAAAGTTAATTGCATAGAATCTATTTCATGGTTTACGTTCCAGTCTGGAAAGCTATACAGATGATGTGGATCCCGTAACGTCAAAGGAGCATAAATTTAATGTCCACCTAATTCCGACCAATGATATAGAAATTAGTTTCCAACAAAGTTTGAATTTTCCCCAAAGAAAAAAAAGGCTTTTTTTATACTCTTGAAAAAAAAACAACATTAGTAACATGTCAAAGTTACTCACTTTCTTGGCTTTGGGCACCATGGCATCATATGTATCTGCTGAAGAAAAGACACCAGTTGAAGGTAATAACGCGCCCGCGAAAACATTTTTTTTTTATTCATCATCATCTCATCTTTGTCACGTTTAGCTCCTATTGTTGATGAAATTATGACCAGACGTAAGTGTAAACAGAATGCTGTAAAATGGCGGTGGTATTTATTATAATTTAGCTTTTACTGTCTATGATTTCCAAATGGAAATTGTGTTGAGTGCAACCTTTCTTGTATACTTGTTAGTTTGGTATAAAGGAAAAACCAGCAACTTGGCTTCAGCCAAAAATTGGTAAGAGATAACTATTGGTCGTTGGTAGATATGATGGGGCTGACAGATAGTAGGTTGAATGGCCAAATTGATTACCTTGAGGAGCAATTTTGCCTTGTTGGAGATAAATTGACAAATGAAAAGTCAGTTTTGATGATGGACGGTCCCGCTGATTATCTCTTGTACACCTCTGGTAGACGTAACGTGCAATTTGGCCACTGGTGGCTTAAAATGAAGCCTAGAAACGATATTTTGACTTATTTCTCAACTCAACTTCTTTCCTTAACCGGATACGCTAAACCTGCTAATGATAGAGTCGTAAGTAAATGGAGAGAAGATGGATGAGAGGGCAGGAGAGAGAAAAATAAATGAAATGTAACTCATGTTTTTTTAAAAAGGCTTTGACTATGGCTTTGGATAAGGCTTTGCCTGAAAAGTTTGTTTTTGCTGTCATCAAGAAGGAATTAGCTACCGATTTGCACAAGAAGCGATTTGATTTAGTAAGAGATACAAAAAAAAAAAAAAAGCACTGGGAAAAGATATTAACAATAAGCGTATAGAAACGTTTTGGTAAAATTGCCTCCAGCAATATTATTCCTTCCAACTTGATCATCTATTCAGAATCTCAAAAGTTGGCCGATATCCTTTTGGCTGGTAGAATTGGCGAGATCATTGCTGAAAGCTCTGATCGTCTTGAATCTTTGATTGTTTCCAGTTTACCTGCCGAACAGCCTGAAATGTAATTTTTTTCTTTTGCATAAATCCTAAAACAGACTAACTGATTCTTTTTTTGGAATGCAGGTATGAGTCTGACAGCTTCCTTACAATGTCTCTTGAATTTTTGATGCCTGGAACTTCTGAATTTGACCCTCTTGTTGAGCTTGCCTGTGAACTTCCTGACGTTATCAGCCAATTAAGACTTACCGGTGATGTCCGTTCCAAAATCAACAAGAACCGTGAAGAATTAATCAAGGAATACTCCAAGAAGGCTGCTGCTGATCGTGCTGAAGAAATGCAAAGAAAGAAGGCTGAAGCCAAACGTCTCGAAGAGGAACGCGTAAAGAAGATGAGCCCTGCCGAACAGCGTAAATGGGATGAGAAGGAACGTATTCGTGCTCAAAAGAAGCTCCAAAAGAAGAGAAAGGCATAGAGAAAAATCTAACATGTAATAATATAATAACAACTTTATTTTGAGATGAAATAAGAAAGACGCAAGTTATAATAATGGTAGTGGTAGTGATAGTAGTGGTGGTGGTGGGGGATATACTGTTTTTGATCTACTTGGGATTGGTGCTGTTGAATCTCTTGAGATGCTCATCTGCGATTTCCCAAGCAGGCTTATCTGTTTCGGCAGCCTCACGCATGAGATCCATAAATTGTTGACCTCTTTCGCGATTGAGTACCTTCAAAGCTTCGTATTCCTTTCTTAAAGCAGGATCTAAACGCTGGTAAGGAAAGAATGTTAGGACTTGTGGGGTTTTATTCGGATCACAACAAACCTTCTTAATAGCTTCCTCATCAGGAACAGTGTATTTCATGAGGGCATAACCACTACCGATGATGGTGGTCATGTAAACAAAAACTTTGAATTCGTTTGCCATTATTAATGTAAGGAGGAATAATACAACAATAAACCGGGGTCAAAAAAAAAAAAAAAAGTTCGTGTATTTTAATATTATTTAATCTCCAGCCAACATTGATTAAGTATTTTTTTATGTACAAAGTTTATAGATGTATGTTAAAATTTAAGTGGTATTAGACTTGGTATATGATAATGGATAGTCTTCTTCGTCGTCAATAAGCCATTCATTTCCAGGTTTTAATAATGAGTTATCATTCTGATTTTCCTTCTTTTTGTCTTCTGATTCGAACAATCTTTGCACTAAACCAAACAAGAGTGAGACACGTAGGTTTTTTTTTTTTTACTTTTGCATGATGGATTCAAAAACTTACTGAATGGTTTTAATCCTTTACCAAAATTACGAGGCACAAGTACGGATAAAACAATAGTCGACTAAAAAAATAGAATAAGGTTAGCGTGATTTTTTCTTATTTTTAGATCCCCTTTGTATACTTTACAATACATAGCACAATTGCGAGACAAACTAAGGAAAATTGTAAATAAAAAATAAAAAATTTGTAACGAAATGTCAAATAAATTACCTGCCAAGTTCCAAAAAACCCAATTTCCTGCACTGTCCACTAAAATAAAGATGAAATCCAGACACATGATAACCTGTGTCACCGAAAAGGTAATCATGACCTTTTTGTTTTCTGTGATCACACCATGTCGTGCAAACAGTAAGCCTGGGATTAGTAACACAGTCAAGATGATGTGGATGATGTAACCGATAAACTTTCTCTCTGAGAAAGCAAACAGATAGTATTTTTCCTGAGACATGACGACTGCATAAAAAACGCATAAAACCAGTTGGAAAAACGCATCCACTTTCAAGTTTAATAAGAAAAGCTGAGCCAATCTAAATCTCTTTTGTTGATTTATATCAGCACCGATTCTCTTATAAACACTCCAGCCAAATTGTTTGTATAACTTCCAGCAAAGGTACATGAATATAAACGCAAAAATGGCCATGACTGACACTAGGCCTATTTCGTTTCGAAGTGCGAGTCCGAAATGCCACACTACTTCTGGATCCTCAGGGTTGTTAAGAGCGTTGACGTCGTGATTTCTATTCCAAGTCAGTTACATGACCTATTTATATCATTGTGATCATTGTGATCATTACATACTTTCTTATTGTTCCTCCCACTTGAATAGCTGCAAATACAACGGCCAAAATCTGAAAGAATGTATGGCACATCAGTTGAATTACGCTTTGTCGAACAAGCTGCATATAACAATTAGCATATGTTGTTGATCTTATTTATATACTCTTTCACTTACAGCATCAATGCCCAATACAAGTTGAAATAACGATAACAAGATGAAGAAGACATTTTCGTTCTTCAATCTTCGAAGGCCAAGCGCTACATCACTTTCAGGTTTCTCTTGGCCCATATTTACTGAGGTGACGGGTTCGTTATCAATGATGCTGTCCTTTTTTAATTCATTGTAGACACTGACGTGCGAGCTAACAATGATTGCTTCTAAAATGGTGCAAATCAACATTGTTAGCAGCACCAGAACGGTGAATGCTTTTGTGTGGTTTGTCTCGTATATCCGACTTGTCTATTTAACAGATATTAGTATATTAAACGATAAATTATATATTGCTATTATGTACTGTTAAAGTGGCAACTCTTTTAATCAGATTCGGTGAATTGGGATCAGACATTTTTAAAGGGCAAGAGGAAGAGAGAAAAAGAGGAGGTAAAAGAGTTTGAAAGAGGAACAAGGTAATATTAATTTTATTTTAGTAGGTGGTACAAAGAGGCGGAAATAAACTATTAATAATTCATTTTTTTTTTTTTTTCAGCCATACACTAAAAAAAAACAACCCTTTTTTTTTGTTGTTGTTGTTGTAGTATATACAATGTGTACATTTTGTTGTTATTTGTATGGATAAGTTATTTGTTTAGTCCCATGGTCTCCAACATTTTCTTCTTTCTTCAGTCAGTCTTTTCTCTTCATCGCACCTTTGGACATATTCCGCAGCAAGGGCTAATATGTCAATCGGTCTCATATGCGGCAATAATTGGGGATACAGGGTAGGCGTAGATGAATTTGAAGATGTTACACTAGATTGACTATCATAATGATGCTCAACTTCTTGAAACATTGGTGTAAATTTATGTTGATTATGTTGTTGTTGATGTTGATGTTGATGATGGTGTTGCGGTGGAGTCCAGCAAATAGGATATATAAATGGGTCATGTCTTCTTTGTTCTTGCAAACGACTTCGATTTACTTTGGCTCGACGATTTTGAAACCACACCTAAAAAAGATTTTTTTTGTTTATTATGATGATTTTATAAAAAAAAAAAAAAAAGTTCACATGCAATACCTGTACTTCACGATTCGTCATATTCAGTTTTTCAGCTGTATTTTCTCTTAATTGATAGTTGGGTGTATCAGTACTCAAGAACAATTCAGATAATATTTTGAACTGATATGGTGTTATTCTCTTTCGCTTGGGTTTGTTTGTAGCTAAATTATCATTTTGTTTATATTGTTAATGACATGAAACAATCTAATAAAATAAAGTACATACCTTCGTGTGATTTAATACGGAGTCTTTTGCCTTTATCATCTTGTCCATGAAGGCTTTGTGAGATTGTAATACGATTCATGATTAAAATGTATATGTATATATATATATATATGTGTGTGTGTATAAATGTATGTGCAAAAAAAAAAAAAAAAAAAATATAAAGAGAGAAAGAGAGAGAGAGAGGAAAAGGGAAATAATAAAAAGAAAAAAAAAAGAGGGGGCCAAGTTTTTAAGTAGTCGGAAAACAGCCGCCGAAGTTTAAGTGATACCAATAAGTAGATGCAATCATCCTAAATTAGCTTTTCATTTATTCAAGATTTGATGAAACAGCATCAGTATTTTTATTTTTTAGTCCTGACAGTGTTGTATATCATTTCATATCGCGTGACCTTTACCATCAGTTGTTGTGTATTAATGAATTAATCATTTTAAGATTCGAATTTAATTATATGAAAAAGCACAACCGGGGAGTTTTAAATACGCTTGATTTCATGTCAAAAAATCCACTTTTAATAAATCCAGTATATCAGTGTACCACCATCATCCGCCCCCGGGAATCCCATATTATTTTCCTTCTTTATATATACATTCTTTTAAAAAGTACAGTATCCATCTCGCATTTCTCGGCCAAAAAAATTTAAAGTTTCTATAACGTTGGTTACATGTACACAAGACTTGTTAGATATCGACAGATTATTGTTCAACTGCCATAATTATTGTTACACAATGGCCTTTTAACAACAATAAATAACAACAAAAAGCCGGTTATGTAAAGTTTCATCATATACATCCCCTTTTTCCTTTTCACCCATTATTATTATATGATTAAATCATGTATATTAAAAAAATAAAAGAGATTACATTTTTTATTAAAATTTCAGGTGTTTGATTCTTTTAACAATAATAAACAAAAGAAAAAACGCCTTACCTCGTTTTAGTGCATAATTTGTGTAACAAATAATCATCAATTATGACCAAAAAAAGACAAGATGTTTAATTCAATTTTATCCTGCAACAGCCAAATCTGCGTCCAAGAAAATATAGGAACATTTGAAATGCAAAATAAAATAAAAATAAGAACGTTTAATGAGAAATAAAAAAGGAGCAAGAAACGGAAAAGGCAAATAACTTACCCTGAAACAATACGAAGGAAAACCCGGATTATCTAAATTTGTAAAAAGGAACAAAAGCTTTAATTCCCGAAATTTATTTCGTTTCATAACAACTGATCGTTTGTATTACTTGTATTGAATAATAATAGAAAAAAAAACTCTCTCTCTCTTCACTAGTGTGGTCTGATTTACAATAAGAAATATTACAACTAATCAACTTGTATAATAAACTATCATAATCAAGCGCCGGCATCCTAATGCTTGTCTTCAATGCACCCTATCCAAAAGATAAGGCATGTGTGCATTCGCTTTCATTAATCTATCAAGCACATTCGTCGATCCTTTCAATCTTTAAAGGCTGTGCGAGAAACAACAACAATCATTAAAATAACCATAATAGATGGATCCAGAATAACGGTTCCGTATTACGTGAGAGAAAAAAAAAACATTATTCGCTTGTTGATTCTCTTTTGTATATGCCTCAATTAATGCATTGTGTATAATGAAGAAAAAATAAATGTGCTTTGGCGGGCCACATGCATTGTGATCACATATGATTGTGGCATAGCCTGAGCGCGCTAACCATTATCGCAGTTTCAACTTAAATTATATATTCAAATTGACATCCCATGCAGTTTAATCAGAAGCTAATGCCTTGATAATATCATTAGTATACATCCCTTTCTCTTATATTTATGCATGGTTGTTCGATATATGTAAACTTATATGTGTCATCTCGTCAGGTACACATTACCTATATCTTTGGTTATATAATCCTTAGCCCATGGGAATTGATAAAATGGAATGCATCATTTTGTCTGCGAGAGCATCTATGCAAGTATTATAGAAACGCTAATGTTATGCATAAAATGCAGTGTCACTAAAGACCATTCCATTCGATAATTCTTTTGAATTGCTAAATAGCTTTTATTCCGCAGACAGGTCTATTTTTTATTTTGACATGAAAAAGCCACAGCACCTAACATCATATTCTTGTCTTTTGTTGATCCGTGTTTAACAAAAAAAAAAAAAAAAAAACGTCACCCATGGCTTGTGCGCCCGATGGGAGACACAAAAATTACGTTCAGGCTTATTAATATTCTCAGATGCTTTTTTGCAACCAAAAAGAAAAACGGAAGAAAGACGGTTCCCGTGTCCTTGTATGACTCCCATTCATCAGATCATGATTGTCTTTTATGTTATTTTTATCGACTATTATTATCGTTCTAAGGGAAAAACGTGAATCGCACACTTTCCCATGGCAACCTGCATTTCAAACTATAAAACGGCTAGCGGATGTAAAACGTTTGCAAATATCAACTTGTATGCAGCAAGTCTACATCATTTACAAACTAGGTTACATCGCGATTCCTTTTTGCGCATTTAACACTTCAAATTTGATGCTAATCAAAACCTCCATTTCTGATTTTATGCAGAGGCTTTTTTTGCAGTAAACGGGTACCTTTCTTTTCTTTTCTGATAATAACCAAAGTAAAAAAAAAAAATTTACACTGGCAGTAAGGAGAATTCAAGTAACCTTGTAACCAAGATTCCCTTTTTTGATATATGTTTTTATATCCTACTTTTTTATCGAACAAGCAGTCTATTCAAAATGTATTCTACAGCGCAATTGGTCGCGTCTTGTGTTTACCTGATTCGTAAAAGAGAACAATATATAGCAACAGGCTAATTTCAGCTTGTGCTCGAAGGATATTGTAACTGCTAAATGCTCAAATATAAATGCGACCTTGAATAGAATGGGTACTGTACTTGGTCATACACACCTACAAATAATTGTCCTATTTTTTCCGGAAACCGCTATTTTGCGCGTTGTACAGTTCAGCTACTTAAATTGTCTGACCGACAAATCAAAATACGATTAAAAAAATAACTTGATAGATTGAATGATTGACGCTGGATCACTGCTAATTGCAGAAGCATGTCGCATTATACGAAGATATACATAGATCGGAAATGTCAATTTTCACTCACTTTATTTAAAACGGTTGGCCTAATAGTTGATATCAGGCTGTTAGTAAATTGAGTAGCGTATACAATATGATACTCCTGTGCAAGCTGGAAGCCGTAAAGGAAATACTGAAATCATACGAGTGATAATGATGGAAAAATTAAAAAAGAGCCAATCTCAGTCTATGAACAGTTTGTAGCAAACCAAATGTTACTATAGGCAGATTTAGCTCCTCTTATTTTAAGAGTTTTACCCATATATGTTAATGATCAATATATGAGGAAAATTTGTCCCGTTCGGTTGCTAAATTTGTAGCATTGGTTCAAGGGGATGTAGATACTGCTCACAGTACTATGCACATTATGTTTTTCATTATTTTTTAAGGATTACTGATAAGTCTACACATCGTATGCTTATTGAAATCACTTACTTATTTTAGCAGTGAAAGACACTATATGCGGGGGATTTTTGTAACAGCCTCTATAAATTATAAAAAACACGAAAAGATATATGACTGTTTTGCATGGAGAACAAAATTCAAGTAAAATCAAAAGTGATACTGTTAGAACTTGGATGCCACTTTATTATGGACGAAAAAAATCAATAAATTAAAAAACGAATGATGGTTTATGAGAAAAAACTATGGATATTTATATGAAGAACTGGATAGTTCTAGGGAGAATATTAAGCACCTTATTGGATCATGATGTAATAACCTGGTGATAATAAATAGTCAACATGTCTTTAAATTTATCCCTTCCATACTGAGTATATATATATATTAGTCAGAGGGACCAACAGTAATAAAACATCAAATGACAAGAGTAATATTTGTGCTGAGGATCTATAATTCCATAGTCCAGGCCAATTCGATTGCATTGCTTTCTGCGGAATAAGTATTTACTCGCCACAGGGTTATGCCCTGTGTACAGACTTCAACGTTAGGATGAGAACAAGCCGGGTATTTATTAAAATAAGCTTAGCTCCATGATATCCTTTTGTCTTATGTCAGATTATTTGCATTTATCTAGTAAGTGGTAGCAGTCAATGTGTGTTATTTATTCTGTTATGGGCGTGGTATGTACCTATTTGCCTTTTTGGTGAATAACACGCTATCATATGTCACTATTATTAAACGCTGACTATAATCATAAAATTTGCCATCATTTTTGTACTTGCCGGTTAAATGTGAGCATATTATTAATATTTCTGACAGATCAGTCTGTTGAATTTTAGTAATAACTTCAACGCCACTTTTGTGAATGTTAAGTTGGTTTGATATATTTCTCATCACTGGAAAGAAGTTGTAATCTCGGCTTATTACCATAGATGGCATACCGTAAAGATTAAGATAGTTTTATAAAAGTCTCTTGTATGTTTCGATAGTTTTAGTAAATATTTATCCATAGATTGGCGTCGTCCTTTAAAAAGGTCAAAATTTAAGCACCTTTGAAATTTGCATCGTTATACGCGCTGTTTTTCATTTGATACCAGTAATGGTTACAAAGACCAACGTTTACATCGATGATATGCTTTACTGAAGGCTGTTATCCCTATTGTATTTGATGAAAAAAAAGCCAATTCCAAATTTAGATAAGTTAAATGTACGCATTCTAAAATTTCATGCAAATCGAATTGAAGGGGATAAACTCAAGTGGTTGCATAAATCGCATTCATGCGGATAAAAAAAAACCAAAAATAGTTTATTAAATACTGAAAGTTTTAAATAAATAGGGCAGTTTTGACATATAATTTGGTTTTAACTCACCGAGATACCAGTCTACTAAATTACTAGTTACCATGCGATTTTTTCTTATTATAACAACTGCTTTAGCCTTCTCTTTTTCTGGTAAATATAATAACAGTAAAAGCGTGATATATAGATCGTGTGTAACTCGTATCATTATGTAGCTAATGCCAAACATCACATAAAACGAGCTAGTAAAGTTCAAAGCTGCACTGCTGGTTTAAAGGATGCAAACGAACAGTTCCTTATTCTGAAAACAATTGTAAGTGGAATTCAATGGCCCAAACTCTGAAGAGATGAATTCATAGCAATTTTTTTTAGGCTCGAAATCAACATGTTTCTTTTCAAGCTTATCATTTTAGCGAACCGCTGCTCGAATCGTATGTCCAAAGTGCTATATCCAATTGCTGTGCCTCTTTGGCTCTGCCAGATGAAGAGGTTGATTCTGTAGTAAGCACTTTTGGCATTACTACTACCAAAATTGTAGATCTATATGATGTTTTCATTTCAAAAGAGAGCCCATCATTTTCTGCTGCTTCTGCCGCTACTACGCTTAAGGATACCATCCGGTCATTATCCGGTGTCATTAAAAACTTGGATGAATGTTTACTTTCTGTCACTCCAAGTTCTCGCCAGCCTGAAATACAAACCTACATTGATACCATTAAGAATAAGATAGATACCACTTTTACAACGTACGGGATGACAGCATAACTTTTTTTTTTAAAAAAAACTTCAATAAAAGCGGGTTGATAGTAATGCGATTAATAAATCAAATGTTTACTCTCACTAAAAATAACTGGGGGTTGTGGTTCTTGATCTTGGCCTTACTACGCAAGTTAAATAAATGTACCAAAAGCTGTCAAGAACAGTGGTAACGTAGTTCATAATGTTGTAAAAGTAAAAATCCGGCGCCGTATCCTGTCAGTTAATAAATTTGGGATATTTAGTTAAAAATAAACTAATGACATGCAAAAAGTTATTCGGCTATAATAGATATAATATGTCATTGACCTATAATTAAAAAAATCTTATCTTGATTTGAAGCATTTACACCGTTCCCAAAATAATTGCATAATTGCATTAAGGGTGAGTCAAATCCCTGATGGTTCTGCACACGAAGTAGCAAGTTACTGCATTAATGAAATATCTCGGTTTAGTCGAGAATGCTTGGTAGATGCATTTTATGTAAACTTTTTTTTGACAAAAGAAGAGGTTTTGTGTATGTGTGTCTCTTTTACATAATGTTACGTTCACATCAGCTTCTCACCCGGCAAAAGACCTAAAAGAGAAATCCAGGACTGGTTTGGCATTGACGTTAGTTCTTTTATAAAATGATAATCCGTTCGCCGCCACAGCTCTAAATACCACGTAATCTTGTTGAGAGACATAGAAAATAAATTTTGTGATTTATTTATTTATACTTTTGCCACAATTGGTATTGCAAACTTCTGTGGTCGATTATTTTTCATAATAAGTCATAAATCAGCCTTTGTAATTCTAACCGCCAACATTGATACTGTCCTTAGGAACATTTGTGCTACTTCGATTACTCCCCAATCTAGAGATTATTTTCTTTGTAGACTATCTTTCCTTTCAGATAAGACTCTGATTTTTTTTTAGGTATAAAAAAAAAGCACAAGTTTTTATGCCTACCCAAACAACCAGGCCAAGTAAGCAATTACATCGAGAGTGAAAGAGGTAACTTTGATCTCTGATTGATTTAACATGACGCATACCAATTTTTATTTACTGAATGTAGACGGCTATTGGTAATATAAAATACGGTCCTGCACATGATCCGATACGTTCACTACATCATTTCAGAGGAGCCATTTAACTGCTTTTCAGCAATCCTAATTTGAGCCAGTAAGTGGTAGCCGCTTTTGAATATACCTATTTAATGCCGATTGCACACAGATTTCGTCCCACCTTTTTGAAACGTGAGAATTTATAAATATTATACCAAACGAAACGCATGAATAGTAACATGATTTCCCATCCAGTAATGTCTCAGATTTTTTGTATTTATTGCAATAGTAGATATAGTTACCAACTGCTAAAAAAAAAGACACATAGATTGTCAGAGGTTCCAGTTTAGTTTGGACTTACATCAGATCTATTCACCGAAAAGAAGGAGATGGGTGAAAAATATAACTGATAAGAGCTAAAATGACCATTTGCCAAGGTATACCATATGTACTGAGTATATTTGATATAAAATATAGGTATGTTTTGTATCACATCCAAGATAACAGCCTCCTGAGTCACATCTAGTGAGTCACACGAACGGACTTTTTTTTTTCTAAAAAACTTGGTTATAAAAAGCAGCAACTTGTCTCGCCGTTGTTTAATTTTTGGGTGGTTTTATCACCCCTTATTTTTTTTTTCAAATAAACTACATATTTACATAAAAAATGACCACTGTTGAACATATGAATGAAGCGTTTGATACTATCTTGATCCTTGATTTCGGATCTCAAACCTCTCACTTGATTGCTCGTCGTATCCGTGAATTTGGTATTTACTGTGAGCTTTTGCCTTGTACCCAAAAGATGGCGGATCTTCATTTCAAGCCTAAAGGTATAATTTTGTCTGGATCCCCTTACTCAGTGTATGACTCTGATGCTCCCCGTGTGGATCCTGCTGTTTTCGAGTCTGATGTTCCTGTATTGGGTATCTGTTATGGTCTCCAAGAGATGACAAAACTCATGGGAGGTAAGGTTGAAGCCTGTGAACATCGTGAATATGGTTATGCCATGTTAGATATCCATCGTTTCCCCGATCATCCCTTTGCCGACAAATTGTTGCAAGGTATTCAAGGTCCGGCTGAAGTCTGGATGTCTCATGGCGATCAAGTTACTGGCGCCGCCGAGAACTTTTTGGTGATAGGCACTACTGGTACTGCACCCTTTGCCGCTGTTGCTCACAAGGATAAGCCGTTTTTTGGTATTCAACTCCACCCGGAATTAACTCACACTGCTTGCGGTAAGGATGTATTACGTAACTTTGTTACAAATATCTGTCAAGCCTCTCCTTCTTGGACCATGGAATCGTTTGTAGAAAAAGAAATTGCCCGTATCCAGCAAATTGTCGGTCCTACAGGTCGTGTTATTGGTGCTGTCTCTGGTGGTGTTGATTCGACTGTGGCAGCTAAACTAATGCATGAGGCTATTGGTGATCGTTTCCATGCCATCCTTGTGGATAATGGTGTTATGCGTTTAGATGAATGTGCTAATGTCAAGAAAATGTTGGTGGATAAAATGGGTATCAATCTTAAAATCGCTGATGCCTCTGATTTATTCCTGGATCGTCTTGCCGGTGTTACTGATCCCGAGAAGAAGCGTAAGATTATTGGTAACACATTTATTGAGGTTTTTGAAGCTGAGGCAGCTATTGTTGACAAGGAATGTGGCGGAGAAATCGAGTACTTGTTGCAAGGAACTCTATATCCTGATGTGATTGAATCCATCTCTTTCAAGGGCCCTTCTGCTACCATCAAGACTCATCACAATGTTGGCGGACTTTTGGAGGATATGAAGCTTAAATTGATTGAGCCTCTTCGTGAACTATTCAAGGATGAGGTGCGTGAATTGGGAAGAATCTTGGGTCTCGATGATGAGTTAGTTTGGCGTCACCCTTTTCCCGGACCAGGTATCGCTATTCGTGTCCTTGGTGAAGTGACGCGTGAACAAGTGCAAATTGCTCGTTTGGCTGATCATATCTATATCGAAGAAATCAAGAAGGGAGGTTATTATCGCCAAATATCTCAAGCTTATGCCGCTTTATTACCAATTAAGGCTGTAGGTGTTATGGGAGATAAGCGTACTTACGAACAAGTTATTGCATTGAGAGCTGTTGAAACTACCGATTTCATGTCTGCTGATGTTATGATTGGAGCAGAATGGTTCTTGACCCTGAAGCGTATTTCGTCTAGAATCATTAATGAAGTCAAGGGAGTCAATCGTGTTGTATATGATATTAGTTCTAAACCTCCTGCTACCATTGAATGGGAGTAAAAAAAAAAAAAATTTATAAAATAGAAAATAAAATATATAGAAAAACAACAAATTAAGTTAAGTTTTATTGATGCAGGAATATGAGTAATTTGTTGTACAATTGGTAGTGTGAGAATATTATTACTGCCTTTGGAGGCTTATTATTTACATAAGGACAAGGGTATAGAGAATAAAGAGGGAAGCAAAGTTCACCAATAACCGTAAAAGGTATTCTCGAGACCATCAGAACATGATTTGATACTTGGATCATGCGAAAAACCATAGTATAAGGGTTGTCGTTCTCTTCGTAAACATGCTCTCAAGCTCGTTGATAATTGTTCGTGTTGTTGATATCTTTGTGCAACAAGATTAGGATGGGCCAATCGGGTGTTAGTTTCATTTTGAAGCATATTTGACAAAATAGAACGTTTGGCGATAGTACTAATTGGGGGTGGGGATCTTTTTCTGAATTCTGATAGAAAGGCGATTTCATCGTGATCAGCATCATTATTAATCTCCACGTTGGTTTCTACAAAGTCAATACTGTTTTTGGGTGTAGCATCTTCATCCTCGTCATCGGATGACCATCCTTGTTCCTCCTCTTCCTTGATAAAGAACTTGCTTCGTTCCTCTTGTGGCTTCTTGACTACCTGATGTTTATTAGGTGTATTGGTAGGCTGAGCGTTGTTTGTTTTAATAGTTGATGCATTTTGGCCAGATGATTGTGAAACTCTAGCGGCAGAAGTAACATTCATAGCCGAATGACAAGTTTTAATGGTAGGTTGAGCCTTTTGGGGATTATTGATAGAAGAATTCACTTTTTTAATAGGATTCAATGCTGGTGCTGTTGATGGTGCTAATGCTGATGATGATGCTGCTGGTACTGGTGCTGATGTTGATGTTGATGCTGATGGTGTAGGCTTTTCAAATTGAATTAAAGTTTGGTTTTCATTATTAAGGCAAGACTTCGTAGGTTGGGCGATAATCTTGTTTTCATTCAATGACGAAATAATGCGTTTGAATGATGTTGAAGATAGGTGCTTATCGGCTTCGTTTTTTGATTGTTGAATAGGGATGGGACAAGTGGATGCTGCGGTTCTCTCGGATTCTTTCAAGGAAGATTCACGATACCAAAGTCGCCAGCTCATATTCTCCAATCGTCTGCCATTTTCCAAACTATCTTTACATTTAGAAAATACTACCGTAAAAAAAAGTAAAAAAAAAAAAAAAAACCATTAATACAAGCCATGAGGAAAATAAATGAAAAAATTTACCTGTCCACATGCAAGACAAATCGTCTGCATTGATCGTATTTAATTTCTGGATATTAGGAATGTCTAACGAAAGCACTGGTAAATCAAGTGTTTGGAGCATTTTTTTAAGAAAAAAAAAAGGGAAAGACAATTAAAGAGAAAAATTAAAATGGGAGATAATGGCTGTATTTATATATTAATTTTATTTATTTATTTACATATAAAAAAGAAAGGAGAGTCTGGAGAGATAGTAAAGGGCCGGTTCCACAACAATCTCGACCTCCCCTTTTCCAGAAATTTGACTGGTCGATAGGCCAAGATTTATCTATTCGATCAACGTGATACGGCTAAATAATATAGGCGAGGCCTTTTCTTTTTCTTTGCACCTACACGCCTTCCGAAGGGTCTTTATTAACTTGATGACTCAATGGGAAACCATTCACGACCATTCATCTCATATTTCTCCCGTCCGACCAGCTCGAATAAAAGACTATTCAACTGATCGAGGAAACGGTATATTTGAAGGTAATACGATTACAAACATTTCTCAGATGTGTTGATCTAATCGCATCTCTTTTTAAAAAAAAAGCCGTGAGCAAGTCCTATATACCAACAGCTTCAAATATGTCACAGCATCATATTTTTGTAAAGGTACTGTTGTTGTATTAGTCAAGATACTTTTCTCCCACAGTTACTTAAAATCGAACAGCCCACAAACAAGCACAAATCAACCTTGATGAGATTGGCCGTCCATTTTTTATTACTATCTATACCTGTCTTTCTGTTTTGGCAATACTATGCACAGAACATGACCGTGAACACACATAGATTGCATCATGTTAAAAGAACAATACAGTCCCAGGTTACACAACCCTTTCTTAATGCACAACAAGCCTCGATTGACATGGCACGTCATTTTATTTATACGCCATCACGCATAATTCATGATCATTACAAGCAAACAATCTCGCCAATCATAACATCAAATGAATTGATTATCAAACATTATTGGCTGTTGTGGAAGCAAGATTATGATGCTTATGTAAACAGTAAAATGGACTATACCTCAACAGAGATTATTCTTGATCAAAGTGTAAAAAAAACTGCAGAATGGATCCGTGAATATATCCAAACGCCAAGGGAAGGGATGCGAAAAAAGGATGCTGACGAAAAAGCACAGCAAATTGTTAAGAGCATAGTGCGGACAACAAATGGTTAGGAAAGAAAGAAGGGCTAGCCTTCTATTTGAATTATGTAAATACACTTATAAATGGTTCCCATAGGAATGATGGGATGGATGGGAAGTTTATGCTTGTGTATGTGTCACATTATCTATTTTTATGAGGCGTAGTCAAATTCAATAGTACTCCCTGCGCACATTTTGATTATTCTCCACCCATCGGCATAGACTAAATCAATAAGGCATGCCTAAGCATGGTCACCGTAATGTAACTGTAGCTTATGAGTCGGATCGCTGGGTTATAAGAATAAAAGTCGGTGCTCAAGTATAATATTGCTAAGTTGTCATTCTTGTCTTTCCTATGCTTCTTTTTGCCTTGGAATATTTCTTTAAGATAAGTGGCTTAGGATGAAGCAACATAGTCTTATTCTGACAGTCTTGGGCTGTGGCGACATTCATTACCAGACATAATACGGTAGTGAAATAATAAATCGACCTTTATTTTCTTACATGAGAGTGAGTTTTTTTAATTCTAAATATTTCAAGTACCTTTTATCATTTTTCTCAGGTAGTAGAAATTAAAGGAACTTTACTTAAAGGGGGGCAATGGTCCAGGTACAAAAAGCATATCTCTCCAACGCCGACTTCATTCAATTTTGGGAATACACTAGTGGGGTAATTGACGGAGCTTGAAAAGAGCTCTGCTGTCACGATAAATTCACTTCTTGTGTACCCTTTACCCCACAAAGTTACTCGAAATTGTGTTTATGACAAAAACAAAAGAAGGCAAAGAATGTATAGTTCAATCGAATAATTCTAAAGAATAAACGTGTTTATTGTGCACAATGTAGGAAGGATTATGTCAACTTAAAAAACTTGCCAGTGAGGTCCACAGTATCGTCAATGAAATTCATAATTTCTTTGAAGACGGAACTTCTATTTTCAGGTTATTCTCCGGACCCTGTTTTTTTACGTACAAAAATAGAGTTTGTCCATAAAACTACTTTAGCCGAAGAACTTGCAAAGTCCAAATATGACTGCAGCAATATGAATGATATTGAATTCAACATAAACATCTTGGTAAAAGCTTTGATGCCTCTTTCGCGATAGGATAGTGGGTTACAACATTAACATTGAACTACGAGCTCAAATTCAGTTTCTATTTGATCTGATTGTGTAAAAGCTATAATTTCAAATGGAGGGTGATTTTTTTCTTCGTTTCGTAAATCTTAACAAATCCTATGTCCTTTGACAATATTGCGATATTGATCGAGCCTAAAGGGGTTCTAGCTTATTTAAGAGAGTACACTTCAATTCTAGCCTTTTCGACAGTCTGCATACTCCTCCTGTTTTTGTTCCATTTTCAATATTATGTAATAGTCGTGTAAAGACTCCATTATTTCTATTATTGCCAACTATCGTACACTTTACCCATGCTACCGAGCTTGCTAGTTACTGATGCACAAAAAAAAAAAAAAAAAAAAAAAAAAAGCGCATTAGAACGTTTGATGAAAACCATGTTGTTTGTATAACAAGTGAAATTTGCCATTTAATTTTAAAACAAATGAGCCGAGTTTTACGTCATAATACCATTATTGATATATTTTTTGAACACAATATTTGTACTTTACATAAGAAAGAATTACATAAAACGTTATATGATGACATTTCATATCGATAATGTATCAGTTACAGCCACTTCCCACACAGTGCTAATTACGTAATTTATAATAAGAGAGGCCTAATAGATTCTCATTGGTCGCGATATTTACTCATTAAAAGTGTTAGGCAGTTACGTTCACGTGTAAAGACGAACGTCAATTTTTTTTCTTTTTAGGGAAACGTAATGCATATAGAACATTAATGTAATGGAGGATACCGTGTAATAATAATAATAAAAACTTTAAATAAGCTATATACATTTTTGGTAAGCGCAAAAAAAAGACAGAATTTACTGGAGTCTTCCAAAAGATAAACTATACAATAAGGAACTTTTCTTATCTTTAATTTGTCATGCATACGATGTTTGATCTTAAATTTACATGTAATTATGTATGTTAGTCAAATAAGCATTGCATTTAATACATTGAATCAATCTGCTTATTTAGCATTTCTTTCTATGCAAACTTTGTTGGTAGTCATTACATTCTTCTCCATTTATTTAATATTGATTGACATCTAGGTAAGTAAAAAAAAAAAGAAAAAAAAAGGTTCACACATTACAAATCCGTTCCGTACCCGAATCCGTTTCTAAATTAGACATACTTTAGACAGGTTAGTGTTTCCAACAGCAACCAACGTCGTACATACCGAGGATAAAAGTTTATTTCAAGGTAGCTGCCGATCCTCAAACTCACGCGACCTTCTTAATATGCTCATCCGCGCTTTTGAGGAAACAGAACCGTTCGATGGAAACCAGATTCTGTTATTGCCCTAAACAAAGAAAAGAATGCTACAGCGTTTTACACGTAAAATCTTTCTAGCTTCTATTCAGTCTCGGTGATTAGACAAATATGATACAAGAAAGTATTGTTTTAGGGGCCCGCGAAGAAACAAGAACGATAAGCGTTAAGCCACATTTGGAACGTAAATATACCTTTCTTCCTCGTAATTCCGTGGAAAGGAGGCAAAGTGGGATAAACATAAGCACGCCAATGTATAAACACTAATAGTGGGTTTTTAAGCATTTTCTTAAAAATAGTAATTTATGCGAGTAGACACCTCTCTTCCCGCCTAAAAAAAACAACAATAAAATGTCAGACAACTAGGTGTCACACATGTTTTAAAAGAATGGCATCTCCCAAAGACCTTTACTTGTGTCACTAGACATAGATAAGGATGGTCCATCTTTTAAGATGTAGTTTATCTTTTCAAATAGTATAGAATACTAGAATTACAATTTCTGTGAACATTCTCGGAACAATTAGAAAAGGCTCTCATTGTTTACTGAAATAAATTTAATCCAGAAAATTCTTTTTAACCGGGAAAAAATATGAGTGGTTTTTATAAAATATCTAGATATTACGCACAGGGCACCCTTTTTGTTGTTAATAGAGTTGATAGTGCTGCTAGTCAGCGTCGAACCCTTTTTAACACTATTAGCAAACAAATGACAGAAACTAAGAAGATGGGGGAAATACTTATATAATGACTTTCGGATTCGCCCCATAATGGAATTTTTTGTTTTTAAGTCGGCATCGAATTTACCTTTCGAATCAAGTTTTTGTTTAGACAAATATTGTTATAGGGTAGGACAATTCATGGCAATATTTGTAATAAACTTATTCTAAAGAACAAAAATAGGTTACACCAGTAAATCTAGCCAAGGACCAGTTTAAACCAAGCTTCAAAAAAAAAAAAGTGTATAATTTTCAGGCCCTAGACTCGTTTAAATGCCTCAAAGCCTGTATGACAGATTTGACAAAAAAGTAGAGAGGGGATACAACAGCGTCGCTCCAGCCAGTGAAAAAGGCAAAAAGTACCCACGAGCACAAACGCGTGTATGCTATTGGGTAAAAAAAGAGTGTAGCAACAAATAGGCCTTTTATCTTTCATGGTTTATACTTTTGGGGGGTAATTTGCAAATACACACAAATATACATGTTGTATATGAAGCACATGGGGTCACCTGGTTTAAGAAAAAGGTTTGTTTGGCCTGTGTTATATGTTTTTGTTTAGTGATTGATTCTCCGAAGCTTTGTGTTCCAAAATGCCAGACTATAAAAAAATAGACTAATTCTTTGTTCATTTTTTTCGCTTCTTTTAAACCTTCTCTAACAAAAAAAAAATATGCCTTCTCTTTTATTATCTAACAATGCTGTTTCCTTGGAGAGAAACAATGAAAAATCTCCTGTCATTACAAGAGATCGATCAAATCTTGAACGCCAACTTGAACTTGGTTCAATTGAAGCTGCGTGTCAATTGGCCTCACTCACTGAATACAAGCACGATGAAATCCACGGGTGCTATAATTGCGATTTGATCGCCAAATACTATATTTTGGGGTTCCAATCTGTAAAGAATAGCAAACAACTTGAATGTGATTCAATTTTGCTTGGACTTGTGCAACAGGTGATCCAGTTTATTCAATGTCATTTGGATATTTCAAGAATAGAGCATGTATCATGGTTACCAGTTTTGATGAATAATCTGCGTGAATTGGGTAAACAAATCAAGGATGAATCTAATGAAGCAGATAGATATGTGCCCTTACCACCCACATCCAGTCAGATGGAAACAGTGGGCACGGATATAAGTATGGATAATTCAGTGAGTGGTGAATATGGTCGTGCTATTCGTATATCCATTTATTATTGTCGCGCTGCACTCTGCGAAGAGGTTGATACGGCAAAGTCTGTTTCTTATTATCGTAAATGTGTGTCTGTTCGCCCAAGTCCGGTTGAATCACAGAACTTTCAACAATCAGCAAAGCTAGCTCTCTTACATTTAATTGCCGATCATGCAACAAACCGTCCAAGATTACCTTCCCGAACTTCTTCTGTCTCCAGTGGCGCTTCATCTTCTTGCTCAATGTCTTGTTCTAACTGTGGTGTTGAAAAGCGAGGTATACCAGTCTGCTCCAAATGTAAATCTCGATACTATTGTGGTGTACGTTGCTTAAAGGCACATAAGCCTATTCATGACGCTGAATGTGGTAACAATCTTTAATCTTTTATTCCCCTTTTATATCAAACACATTTTGTATATTCCCCTATTTTTAAAACGAGACAAATATTATTTTGTTTATTATAAATTACTTTTTCCATGGTGATTGTTGTATTTGCCGAATTTTTCTCGTTTCAATACTTCCTCACTCATGCTTTTAAACTTTTCTAACATTGGGTTCTTTTTGGCACTGGGTGTATATACATCGGCTTGGCGTTTACGCATAGCAGTGAATTTAGTCTTTATCTGAACATTGTCTAATTCGGATTCTTTGATTTTATATCGAACTTGCCAATGATCCTTGGATGGCTTATCCATTTTAAGAGGACCTTCTACTAAGACACCATTCACTAAGGATTGAGTGTTTAATTGATAGAGAGAGATCTGATCAAAGGGGTCCAGTACGGAATCTTCAGCTTCAGTCTGAAAGAACTCATCCATATTATTATTGTCAGTGGTTGCAGCATCTGTGGGGACAGCTTCCACGAAAACATTGGTCGTTGCATTTCCCGAATTTTTATCAGCATGTGTATCAAATGAAATTCTCAAAGTTTGTTGTGGATATTTTTCTGTAGCCTTGTCTAAAATAGATTCAAACATAACGAGAGCATTACGAAACACACTATCTCCTACTTTGGTTGATCCGAAAAGACGAGAGTCCATTTCTTCTCTCGAGATATATTGAAAGCCAAAAATCTTGCGTGTATTGTGATACGCAACCATAATGCCATCCATGTGTCCAATGCGTACCTGGAAACTGTATTTCAAAAACGCTGATCGTATCATATCGTAATATTCACGTTCAAATGACTCGTACAATCCGTGAGCACGCTTCAAACTATAGCCTAAATAATCCTATAAAACGTTAGTTGTAAGAAAGTGAGTGATTATCATAATATTTACTGAATAATTCTGAATATCCAAACGAACTGGTGTAGCCGCTCTTGTCTTTAAATCAAAAGTGCCTCTTGGCAATCTAGAGTCGTAACAATCGAGTTGTGATCTTAACAAGAATTTACCCAGCTATTTGTTTTTTTTATATTTATTTAGTTAAACCATATAGAAAATAAATTTAAAATAATACCTTTCCGTAAGCATAAGATTCAGGCTGGTTCTTTTCTTGTTCAGTAATTTCAGAAGAATTTTCTTTCAAGAATCTTTCGAAATCATTTGGTTCTAGTGTCAATACTTTCTCAAGTGACTTACCCTATAACAAACGAATCAGAATAAGGACATATTAATCTTTTTTTTTTTTTTTTAATATTTACCATGATGGATAAAACTGTTTCATCTACATCATGAGACTTATCTACGTCCACTGCATATACCCCATCTTTCCATCTTAAATAAATAGAAGCTGCTGTACGTGATCCTCGGGTAAATTTCGTCGACTGTTCATAATAAATAATAATAAATAAATAACACTCAATTGATCATCCACTCCTATTCCCCTTTTACCTCTTTATCAAAAGCACGTGACAAGCAAGATGTGTTGACCTCTTTAAAGTTTGACATCACAAAGTAGAAATGAGACAATACTGCAGAAACAGATGAAGTGGATCCAATATACCGTTGATTCATGTCTTTGGCTAAATCTATTAAACTCTGCATCACATCTATTTAGTTACCATACTAATTTCATGATCTATGTGCAAGTTTCTTACATTATCTCTGGAAGAAGTGATATAAGGCGTGAGTGCTTCATAATCAAAATCGACTGGCTGTGTAATATTTTCGAGGTAAGGTGTAAAGTTAAATTCTTTGGTGCGAGGGTCTTTTAAATAATGGACACCAGGGCTTTTGATCCAAAGGTTAGAAAACGTTCTTCTATATATAAAAAAAGGCTTACTTACTTGAACAAGACTTTTTGCAACCCGTGTGCAAGTGTGGCTACAGGCACATTCTGCGGTGGTTTCACACCTATATTTAACAAAGAAAAACAAAGGTGTCAAGATCTGAATTTTATAATTTTAACGTTAGATTACTTACGTTCATATTGTGCCTGGGTAGGAATGCTTGTCCATTTCTGATCCCCTTGGTTGGTCGGTGTAATTGGTACATTGACATTCTGTGCTTCAGTCGTTTCGGTCTGGTTTGCTTTGGTCAAGTCATGGAGTCTCTTTGACAAGGGATCCTTTCTCTTTCCATCTTTCGATCGACGCACAATATAAACTTCGGTAACGCCGTCTTTGTCTTCGATCGACTTTACTGGTTGACATTCTTCTGATAGCGTAGCCTTCGTAACAAAAAGTCTATTTAAACAAGGTCTATAATGTCTTTGCAATACATGTCTATATCTAAGCATAATAATATAAAAAGAAAAGAACAAAAAAAGATATGACAGGCGGAGTCTCTTCTTGCATGGGCGCTCACACAAAGGGAGCAAAAAACAAAACGTGACTTGTTTATTTCCATTTTGGATTATCCCAAGGAACCTGGGTGTGCAAGCCCTTCTTTTTTTTACAACTAAAAAAAAAAATGCTTAGAATCAGCAAGACGAGCCGATTAGCAACACAACTTGTTCAAACCAGAAATGCGTCTAATTTGACAAGCGCGAAACCCGAAAAGTTTCTTCAAACCATTGTTTTGAGTAATGGTGCCACTTATACTGTCAGAACAACTTCACCTACTCGTGCTCAAATTCGTTTAACAAAAGATACTCGTAACCACCCTCTTTGGAACCCCTCCATGTTGAAGGAAGGTGTGAATGACGAAAGTGAACAATTGACCAAGTTCCAAAAGCGTTTCGGTGATTTGGATTTGGGAGATATTTCTTGGATTGAGTCTGACGAGGCACTCTCTGCAACCATGAAGAAGGTGGCTGCTAGTGGTGGAACTGTCAAGAAGGCTGCTGATAAGAAGAAGAAGAGATAAACAAACAAACAACAACTAAGAGACTGAATAGACTTCCTGTATCATAATATATTCAATAAAGTATTACATATAAAAATTTATTTTATTTAGAGTCCCATATGAATGGTTTTGTTAACAATATAATCATCAAGTCCCAAGTGAGATCCCTCCTACAATGAAGAAATATGAGTTAGAAATGTTATTTCTTGCAGTAAAATAATTACAAAATGTATACGTACGATGCCTAATCCACTTTCCTTGATACCGCCAAAGGGAGCATAGCAGTCATTGATGAATGGAGTATTAACACCGACCATTCCAGTTTGGATCTTTTCGGCTACGCGCCAGACTCTACCAATATCACGCGAATAGAAATAACCGGCAAGACCAAAGGGGGTAGCATTAGCTCTCTTGATGACATCTTTTTCATCTTCAAAGCTATATAACGCGGCAATAGGACCAAATGTTTCATCTGTAGTAATCACCATATCATCAGTCATACCAGTGAGTAAAGTGGGCTGGAAGAAATGGTCGCCGACTTGTTTACCACCAATCTTGATTTGTGCACCTTTTTCAACAGCATCCTTGACGTGCTTAGTAATCTTTTCGATGGCGGCATCATTAATCAAGGGTCCGTGTGTAGCTTCTTTATCAAAACCATGACCAATCTTGAGTTCAGAGATCTTCTTTGTTAATTTAGTGGCAAATTCATCATAAACACTCTTATGGATGTAGAAACGATTGGCACAGATACATGTTTGACCGGTTCCCTTGAATTTACAGGGGATAGCACCTTCCACCGCTGCGTCGATATCCGCATCATCAAACACAATAAAGGCTGCATTGCCGCCAAGTTCCATAGATACCTTCTTCATGGTGTCAGATGCTTGAGACATTAACAGTTTACCAGTGCCGGTCTATGGAATGGAGTTTAGAATTAATTTTTTTTAGTGAAAAAACTTGAGACTTACTGAGCCTGTAAATGAAATCTTTCGAACAATAGGGTTAGAAGCTAATTCTAATCCAACATCCTTGACATTTTCGTGTGTAGTAACCACATTGATGACACCAGCAGGGATACCGATTTTCTTTGCAATTTCACACACGGCCAAGGCAGAATAGGGTGTTTCAGAAGCAGGCTTGATGATAACAGTACAACCAGCAGCAAATGCAGCACCTACTTTACGAGCAATCATAGCCATTGGGAAATCTACAAATCATTTAATTAGTTATCAAATCCAAAAGAGTAATGTTTTATTATCAGCTTACTCCATGGACAAACGATACTGACAACACCAACGGGTTGAGTGATTGTGACAGTACGTTGTGTAGGATAGATCTGGGGCAAGGTAGTGCCGTTACTACGGACAGCTTCTTCAGCAAACCATTCAAAGAAGGAAGATCCGTATTCGACTTCTCCTTTTGCTTCTTCGAGGATCTTTCCGTTTTCTCTTGTGATGATGATACCGAGGTCTTCTTGGTTTGCCATAATAGTTTGATGCAATTTGATTAGGTAGTCATGACGTTCTTTAGCGGTGGTTTGGGACCAGGTTTCTAAGGCTTTTTCGGCTGCCTTGATAGCCTTGACAGTGTCTTCCTTTGTACAGTCGGGTGCATTACCAATGATTTCGCCTGTGGCAGGATCTATAGATTCAAAGTGTCAGTTATATTACTTGATCAAACATGCTTTACTACATTCTTACCTTGAACATCGAAAGTTTGTCCGCTAGATGAGTCAACCCATTCGTTGTCGATGAAGGCCTTTTGCTTTAAGAGCTCAGGGTTGGAGAGCTACTTGAAAGAATAAGTACATCGTTATAAAAAATCCTGCGAATTTGCCCAATTTACCTTGGGAACGGAAACGAATTTGATGTCTGACATGTTGTAATATATAAATTATAATTTGGAAAATATAATGAAGATAAGACGTTTGTAACAAAAGTGTGGGCCCTTTTATATTTTGACGTAAATGCACTAAATCATTGAATTACGTTGTCATGACAGCAATTTAAAACGTTAGTCACATTTTTTTTTTTTTTTTTTTTTTTTCAGGCGGTAAAAAAATAATTCATTTTTTTATTTTTTATTTTTGCATGAAAAATGATCAAATAAGGGTGATCGCTTTAAACAATCACAAGATATTGTTGTTGTCATGAGACGAGAACATACACCATTTTGGCAAATTTTATTGTGACTTTAAATTTAACATGCTTTTAATTTTGAATTTTGGTTTCTTTGTTCCTTTTTTTTTTTTTTTTTTAATTTTATTTCTTAAAAAGTAATGTTTTTTGTAAATGCAGCAGCCGTGTCTGCAGAAATGAACATTCAGTCTGTAAATGACTTTTGGCTATTTGTTGTTTACTGCATTGTGGTTATTGTGGTGGTCATCTTTTTCTTGTTTTATTTCAATCGAGTACTTGGACAAGTCTTGACGTTTCTTGTCAATCAATACACATGGAGAACATACAATGCGTACCTTGAAGTTGGTAAAACAATATACTTGGACTGCTCCATTTCCCTCTTGTTAAAGCATTCTTTATCATAGATTCTATTCGAGTTTCTTTGCTCGGAGGCCGAATTCTATTCAAAAACTTGCGATACTTGTCAACGAACCAATCCGTTTCAATTGTCAAAGGACATATTGATTTCAGGTATTGGCTAACAAATGTTCGAAAATCTGAGGATGATAAAACCGGTATGTGATTTATATCTGAAAACCTGTTACTGATTTAATAGCTAACGGAATAGTAAAAAAGGTAAAACAAAAGATTTACCTTGTAGAATAGCATGCAGCATGGAAGGACTAGAATATTTTGTATATAATAATACACCCGCTTACGAAAAAATGAAGGACGTGCTTGGTCTCTCCACCACAACATCGACAACATCGAGTGAGGAAACATCATCAGAAGAGGTTCGCGGAACCCTGGATCCCGAAAGTCAAACCCCGATACATGTTGATAATTCTTTGATGGAAAGATTGATGCCGTTCCAGTTCGAGTGTACAACGGGTGCTGTAATGATTGGAAACACAGAATTAAAGTCAATGCTCGTATGGCAAGTGTCAAAAGCGGATGGCATCTACAGCATTACTAAATCAAGATCAGCTATGGATTTCTATAAATCTGTGTTTGATCTCGTCTTGATCAAACCCCAAATCAGTATGAAGGATAACATGGATTTTACTAAGGTGGATGAGTTTGCCGAAACGGTGATACACCCATTACCCAGAGCAGGGTAATACAATTTTATTTTTCTTTGGCCCGTGTTATTCACATTCGGCCTTTTTTTTTTTAGCTTCTGGGCTGGTTTATTGAGACCCTTTCGATTCTTACACCCATCCAAGCACTCTAGAGAATATGGTAAAATGTATCATATGCGTGGCATTATGAGGGAAGGTCGATCAAACTCTACTTCAGATTCAGAAAGCATTACATATCATGAAGAATATGCCAGAGTGATAAATGTAATCGAATGCAAAGAAATGATATTGACTTATTACCAAGATTATGCTGGTAATTTTTTTTTTATAATCATTGTGTACTTTGTGTGACTCAAATGACTGGGAAGGTCCTGTACCGACACCCGAAGCATCCGATATTTTTCCTGGCATAGGCATTGATGTAGGTAATGGTGGCTTGCCACCAGAATGGGGTATTCGTATCTCAGTGCGTGACGCTGCAACGCATTATGGTCCTTGGACCGATAGACAACGGTCTGCTATTCAAGACTACTTTTTTCCTAATGCACATCGTAACAATATACCAACACAGAGGTTAAAACCTGGACAGTCTAGGATACCAACTGCATTCGAGACGTATATTGAGTTTTTGAATGATGGTAAAATAAGGGTGCCGACACGTGAAAAATCAAAGGTAACACAAACACACATTCTCTTTACTGCTTTTTTTGCATATGTGTAAACAAACCAAAAAAAAAAAACTTTCGATTAGGATTGGAAATATGCTTCGGGATCGTCAGATATAGATATCGCATCGGATGGCTATTATTCCAGACCTTATGGCTGGTTAAATGTTAAGGTTGGTGAAGGATCCTTTGTGAAAATAGTTACTCCATTTGTTGTCGGTCCCAATGGTAGTGAAATGACGTTAGATGTTGTGATAAAGGACTTGGATATTACGACAAGTGTAAATTATGCTTCCTTTATCCAATCCAATCGAATTGAGATTGGAATTAAAATGCCTTCCCCCTTGCAATGGAATGGTTATCGTAAATGGCTCGTCAACATTGTACCAAAGAGGCCTACGATCTTCTTATTACGTGACCACATCTTCTTAATTCAGGATCTTGTCAAAGACTGGGGCTCAACACCACCTGCAGACTTACTACATTTCACTCCGATTGATTACAAGCTAGAATGTGTACTAGAAAACCCTACCATCTATCTTTGCGTAAATGAGCATAATGTCATCAACAACCCTAATTCAATCGAAGACAATGGTAACGTAATTCAGGTTTCATAAATGATTCTAGTGAACTCATTCTATTTTAGCGTTTTTGAAAATTCAAACTCATCGGTTATCTGTCGACGTAATTCTGCCATTTACAGAATTTCAATCTGACACAACCGCCATTAAATTTTTCGTCAGCGCTGACCATTGTACAGCCGGACTATCACTTCAGACATCGCATACACTGAATGCTTTTATGCGTGAAGATGATGCACATGCAGCAGTAGCAGTCACCTTAACAGTCGATGGTTCGTACGAGTTTTATAGCTCGGTGGATATATTACGTCATATTGAATCATGCAATCTTCATATCAAGATCAATGGAGCTACGGTTAAACTATTTGGAACATTGATTCGTTATTTGTTTTTACTCAAGGATAATTTCTTTGGTGCATGGAATAATTTTTCAACCATCGATGAGTATCGAAGACATCGAAGTAATCATCAGGAATGGATAGAGCAAAAGAAGAAACAAGCCGACTCAAAGGTAAGGAAAGTAAATAAGGGACTTGGGTCAATGTAGTTAACAATGCTTGTATAATTAGCCTGTGGTGGATCCATTTGAGGCATATGTATTAGTCGAACTTCAAGATGGCGTTTTATTATTGCCCGAAAACCTATACGAGTGTTCCAGATACTCTCAATTCGAATTCCAAGAACTTCAAGTCGAGCTAAGAAATCTGGATGTCTATATGGATATGTACATCAATTTTAGTCCAATTACCCTCAGCAGGGACAGTAACCCTAACCCTCAATCCAAACAAGGATTTTTCCGTATTAAAAATGCCCGTGATCCCAAAAATTATGTTTACATCGATGGTCTCAATGTCACCAGTCATCGTTTATTTGGCCCTCTTCCTGAATGCGCTACCTATGTCTGTCAATGGGAATTTGATATTGGTCGAATCTCGGGCGAAATCAAACCCTCCTTTTTGTTGGGCCTCGCATGTTTTGGCCAATCTTTCGCGTACAATTTGATTGATGAGGACAATGCAGTCCCGCAAGAAATGGAGTCCAATGACCTACCAGATGTGACCTTTATGAAGCTATACATACAGGAGGTAGATGTTTGTCTGATGAGCTTAAATAGTGCCACCAATATTTGTTTGAAGGAAGGCGTATTACTTGAATTTGATAATTTAATCAATGCCAAATACAGTCAGAGAATCAGCATTAAAATTCCTGCTATTTTAACAAGGTGTCTTGCAAATCCAGATCAAGCACGCGGCGATAGGCATATTGAGGTAATTACACGTATGCACATCCATACTTTATATTTTGTGTTGATTTTTTTTTTCAAATACAGGAAAACGAGTATTCATGGGTGGAGGTAGCAAGAGTAGATCTAGGATTAAACATCACGGTATTTAGACACACAGCTACTTGGAAAAAATCACGCCACGAGCAACAAAGTTTTATCCGATCTCAAGATTATCTAACTCGACGTTGCATTCGACTTTACGAGGATGAAGACACTGTATCGCAACATTCTCAATCATCTTTGCGGTCAACCAATGGACATCACGTAGGCGTGTTGTATGCACCGCCGTTTAGGCCATTTATGTTTGGCCGTGTTGAGGATAAGTCAGTACTTCATAATAGTTATTCCCCAGATACGCCTTCAGGTAGATACAGAGGGTATAGTAACCCAGTAAGTTTGACTAGTCTCCATTCATCCGAAGGTATCTTTAGTGAATCTGAAGAGGAGAACACAGAGTACATTCCAGAAGAAGAAAAGCAATCCCTCCGAAGCTCCATTTCCAGAGACAATGATTCTTTTTACACAGCAAAGGGTTCAGATGATGAGGATAGAAACTTTATCCCTGATGACTATTCCATAGAGTCCAATTCGTGCAGCGGGTACACCAGCGATGCTTCTTCTTCCAACGAGCAGCGTCTTGAGGATCAACGAGAGCTACATGAGAGACATGATGCAGAGGAAAACAATTTAACGTCGGCCATCCCTCCTTCCATCCCGTATAGCGATTATCTGCGTCGATACAAAGTGAGTCGCGCAAACTCTGAATTTAACCATCACGGCAGTTTCTTTCATTCATATATTCCCCCGTCAGGACCAAATTTTATCCCTGAGAAGGTAAGGCACATGTCATGTGTTTAAGTATCTTTTTTCGTTGCTGACGTATTACAATAGGATTATGAAGAGAAATGTAGACCAGTTTATGCACCTGACAAAGATACAACTACAGATTACTTTTCAGGAGAGGATAATGAGGAGTATGAGAATGAAGACATGGAAAGAAAAGAGACCAGTAATGGGAAAGGAAATGAAGTGGTTGCGACGACAGTGATTGAGGCCACACGACCTGTTATTATCTTGGTAACGCCCATTCTTGTTAAAATCGTTCAAGAATTAGCCGAAGAAATTATCAAAGATGTAAGTTCTACTAAGAACGTTTATTTTTTTTTTACAAAACAAAAACAATCTGACCTTATTTTTTAGGATTGGGATCTCGAAACCATGTTAGATGCTCTTCAAGTGGAATATATCGGCCAACTTACTCGCTACTTAACTGACCAATATATATGTACTCGATTTGCTGTCATTTTACCACAAGCCTATCTTCATTTTATCCAAAATGTCACTATTCCTGATGATTTAACCTCTTACAATAACGGTGAAAACTATGTTAAAACGCAATATAATATCCAAGACAACATTTTGTGTTCTGCCGATATATTTCTGAATAACTTTAGAATGATCGGTAGCGTCAAATTTGAAGACTACGCATTCGACGAAAAGAAGAAAAAAGTAGTCGAGTCTAATATGGTCCTTCAAGAATCACGCGTCCATATTGATGTGGGTGACGTTGGATCAACTGTGCAATATATCTCAAAGCAGCATGAGCGACAATCGATGGCGTTTGGCATCCCACACAAATCCCTCAGAAATAAGAATATATATTCCAACGGAGAGGAGGATGATAGTACATTAGTGGATGAGCTCGTAATGTTGGATCTTGCCGTTAAGGGATTCAGTTTTAAATGGTTAGGAGCAAGAACACCCAATTATGCAGAGATGAACACAAAAAGCATTGATATTGTCATCATAACTGAGTCAGTCGAGATTCTTGTGGGTGCTATTTATACTTGGCTTGTCTTTGTTGATGATTTGAAGGGTATCCTCGAAGGCTTCCAAGATCAGCGTGCCAAACAAGTCCAGGTTTTCATTAATGAAATAGCTGATTTCTCAATCACTACTGGTGTGCTAGGTGATCCTATTTTCTTGACCACCCCAACGACCATGCTACGATTGGGTTCTCGTAACTTTAGAAATGATGTCGGCTGGAAACTACTGGCTCGTATGCGTCATTGCTTACGTTCCATGCCACTATCCAAACGCGAACAACTCCAGTACAGACTTACTTCAGGAGGATCTCTACAAAATATCAACTCGGACCAAATGTTTGAAAATGTGGTGAGGACCTTTTCTCGTTGGCGTAGTTGGGAGATTGGCAATTGTGATATCTCTCACAGTCGTCTTTTCACTTTACCATTCAAGCAAAAATCAACCGAAACTGGTGTTGTAGATAAAAACATGACTGATGAAGTAGTTAAATTTCTGATATCATCAGCTAACTTTGCAAAGCTTCGATTTGGCGAATTCAAATTCACAATTTATGAAGAGGAGACAGCAGACATTTATAAAGAGGAAAACAGTCTTTTGATTGGACCCTTTGAATTCTTACTTGAATGTCTGTTTAACGCTTCTTCCATCCCAGCTGTACCCGAAGGTGGTGGCAGCAGCAGTGTTGATGGAGCACGTCGATCTGTAGCCATGTTGGACGGTTACTTGGATATAGTCACAAAGATCAGCATAGGTGATGTCAAACTTTCTGCTAATCCCATCATTTTGGCTTTCGCAAGACATATGCTGCTCGTACAACGAGTCTTTTCAGCTAAATTACGTAGTCTCTCTCACGGAAACAACAACTTATCCACAGAAAATAATGATTCCTGCACAACCATTCATGCTAGAGACATTGGTTCATCGAAACAGGAAAACCTAGACTTTAATTTTGACACGCTTTTAAGTAAAGTCGATGTGGTCGCTCAAGCTTTAGTAAGTTTAGACAGTGTTCAGATGATAGCGCATGCCCAGGAGCTTCGTATGGACTCCATTTTATCCGGTATACAAGGATCTGCATTGTTCTCGAACCCTAAGTTAGCGCCACTTCAGCTACCAGCTCACGATCGTGGGGATTCAGACACGGGGTCTGGTAAACGTAGTTCAAATCGTGCATCACGAAAAAATGCTCAAGCCGAGCCTCGTCTTATCCTGGAAGCAGCAGGGGGTATCAATACCATTGATATTAAATTTAAGGAAGGTGTACAAAGAAACAACAGCACCAGTTACAGTACGTTGCTAGCCATCTTATTGGAAAAAGCCAATGTGAATGCGAATATTTCCCAAATTACGAAGGTTTCTAAAAAGCACGGGAAGTCCGACATAAGTACTAGTAAAAGTGTATTGAATGTATTTTCCAATATCCACAAGTTTCATATCCAAGCTCCTCAAAGTTTATTGCGATTGTATGGATTCATCGAATCATGGCAAGCAGAACAAGGCAGACGATATCATTTTATGTTTCAGAACCTTGTAAAAGAATGGGAAGAGCAACGAGGAGACGTCTTATCTGTTGCACCCTCTATTATCTCTAGAAATTCAACACCTGCTATTCCGACATCCAAGAAATTGGATATCAAACTTCAGTTTTTGCTCAACGAGTTTTTAGTTCGATCAGATTTACTCCCTTCGCTCAGTGTCGAATATCGTATACTTGATTTTTTTGTTATGGTCAATGAAACTCACCAAAAATCTTTCCCTGTGCACATGTATACCTTTCAATTATCCGAACAAGTGATTCATCTGATCACAAGAGATGCCAAAAAGAATAAAACAAATCGAGTAGCTGAGAAAAGTTCGTTTAGCATACCTGGTATCCGTAGTACAGGCTCTCTTCGTACTGAGATTGTCAAGGGTGTCAGCCAACTAAAATTAAAATCCATGATCTCTGTCGATTTGATTTCTATGTCTCTGGATGTCAGCTTGATCGATTCTCTTTTAACTGCACAGTCTTTGTTGGGCAATGAAGTAAGTGAACTAGTCGAAGTTCTGTCCTATACAAAACCGAGAAAAACCTCAACTGTAGCCCCCACCACGGAAACAGTCGAGCTTCCTTCAGTGGGCAAGAGTGTTTTCAAGTACACAATTGATATATCTTTAGATGGTCTACGTGTATCTGCAGCCAGTCCCTCTGCAATAGGTATGTTTCGCTCCAACGTGCTAGAAGCATCTATTTCCAATGACGGGGAAGATGCATCGGACCAACTTACGTGGAAACTTCAGGCACGTAACTTTTCGCTTTCATTGGATCACAATACAATGGCACATGATAATGATACCTTGCTCGAGGATGAGATATACAGACCGAATTGTTTGGCTTATATCTTGGTAGATTTCAGCGTTCAAAACTATTCACAGGCATGTACGGATACAGATTGTACCAAGGGTACACACACCCATAGTCATGATAAGGACTTTGACACACTGTTTATTGATTTTGCTAAAATTCAAACGGTCATGCAGCCTATTGCCCTGGGCAAACTTGCAGAAATGTACATTTACTACGATGCAGAACTACGCAAAAAGAAACTTATCAAAAAGGATGAGATCGATCAGCTTTCAGCCAATACAAAACGTATTGTACAATCCATCTCAATCAAGAACGAATGGCCTAAAGTGCTCCAAGAAGAAACACAATCGCTCCTGGAAGGGAAAATTATTTGTTTGCGTGTGCGTCGGTTGGGTGTTGCAATTCCTTTAGGTGATTTATCTGAGATGCCACAAGCGTCGGAAGCGTCCAGAGGGGTTAGTGCACTACTACTCTCAGTAACATCGATTGAGTTCATGTCAAAGAATATAGAGAAAGGTGCATTGCAACTGGAGAATATTGCATTACAGTTTGTGAAAAGATTTGATCAAGACAAAGCTGAACATTTTGTGGCAGACAATCATCCTCGTATGAATCAAGTCAGTCTTCCTTGTATCTCTTGCAATGTCTCTGCTGCCAACGTAAAACCCCTACAGTCTGTCAAAATCGATGCCCAGGTCCGTGGGTTTGAAGTGGATGTTGACGGCACGATTGCAGATTATATCAATACCCTAAGCATCATTTATGTAAAGAGTATGGATCGTGTGGAGAAATTTACGGCCAAAACAAATTTCAAGGCCGCATCAGCTAAACCAAATACACCTGTTTTGGAGTCTCCCAGTACATCTGAAGTTGTGCATCTGGATATGGACTGTAAATTTATTTGTGATAGCGGTACTATTCGAATGTATCCTAAGCGACATTCGGGAGACGCTCAGAGATATAAGAAGAGAGCAAAGTCGTTACGTATACGTACAGGGTTTGATCCGAAAACCACGGATGGAAATATGGCTACTGTCGATCTTCCAGGTCTTAGCGCATGGCTTACGTATCAAACACCCTTAGGTGCGCATGCTTCTGTGGCGGATGCACCCAAGCGATTCCATGCTGATATTTTAATTAGAGAGAGCAAAAATACATTACACCCTGCACTTGTCCAATTTTTGCGTGAAGTTATTACGGGTCTTAAAGTAGGTATCCAGCAAACAAGTGAACGCAAAGCTGTACGAGAGACAGGGGCCGAAATCGAATCCAACTTGAACGCCTCCCTCTTTTTACGTCTGTCTAAAACTCAACTCGACTTGAGCTGCCAACCAAGTTCTAAGGTCCTATGCTCTCTTGGTTGGGAAGAAAGTGAATTTTTAATGAATGCGTTCTCCAATGACACAACATCTCGTACTATGAGCTGTGTAGGTTCCGTGCGTGAGATTACGGCGGTGGTAAAGCATCATTTCTCTCCTGAAGCATGTCTTCATGTCCGTTTAGATCGCATCTTATTTAATGCAATGCTGACCTCTCAACGTGAAGGTGGTGACTCCAACGACGATATTTCTATCATTATTGAACTGCCAAATATCATGGGGGATATTAATATGCGACATTTACAAGATTTATTGATTCTCAACTCATGCTGGTTTGACCAGCCTATTGTCTCGGACGTTGATACCAAGTCAGCCGGACATGCGTTGAAATCATCTCCTTCATTAAGTGTGATCACAGACTCACCTGATCCAACGAATAGTGTGAACCAAGCTATGACATCGTCTCCAGCACCCTTCTCTAAACATGTTGCCATTCGTATGCAAAAAATACAATTCTCTGTGGATATGGGACAAAGTATCGGTAAGATTAGTTTGGTGCCCGAAAACGCTGCGTTCCAGCTTCATCATGTACCCAACGAGTCCAAAGGCATGAGCTTAACCTTAGATACCATCAAGGTAGGTTCCGAAGGCAGACTATCGGGTACTGCCGTCTTCGAACGTACAGTGGTTCAAGTACGTGTGGATCAATCCGTGGATAACCAACAAGAAAAATCATCTATATGTGTACGATCTGATGGATTTAAAGCCATATTTGAATACGAATATCAACATATTCTAGATGCCATTCAGCAGTCGTTGGAATTCAATGTGAATCTACAAAAGAGTATGGGAAATCAATATGATTTACAAGTATCGATTAATTTAGAGGCATTGATTGCCCGACTTTCCATCAAGACAGTGCCTGTAATTATTACCATGGTTCAAAAGTTTGAAGAGTTGCTTCAAAAGAAGAAGGCAGAAGCAGGGATTCGGTCCGAGAGTGAACCTGAGATCGTCGTACCTTTTAAGAACAAAGACGAACATAAAAATCTCTATGAGAAATCATCTGTGCGTAGTCATGTTTCCTTATGTATTAAAGCGGTAGAATTGGTGATTTATCCTAGTCAGTTCCAAGATTCAGATAATGTCGACATCCGTGCTCATCACTTTAGGATTGCCTTAGAGGAGTTACCACGCAATGAATTAGGTGTGCATCGCAAGCTTGTGATTACACTAACAAGTGCCGCTCTAGCCAAAAACGTGCCAGGTAAAGAGCTCATGTTACTCTATAGTGCACCGTTGCCTCCCATCGCCTCCAAACCGAAAAACCTTGGTGGAACGTCAATATTTGGTATCCCTGGTACAGAAATCTCGATGGAATCTACACAATTAGAAAGGCGCATCGCGCATGAATTTAAGGCGGTATTTGCGGGTCGTGTCAGTGTCTCACTCAATTTGGGTCTTATCAAGTATTTACAAGAAATGATCAACATGTTTAATATTCAGCTGTCGCGTGCGTTAGAGAACAGTGCTATGGATTCCAATGAGCCAAATACACCAATAAGTGTTTCTAGCGCTTTTGACGATGCAGAAGACGGGGGCATTTCTTTTAGTCGCAAGTCGTCCATGGTCCCTGATACACCCACCACGAAAAGAGCTGAGTCAAGCTTAACTGTAACTACAGTGGATACATCGGTGCCTAAAGAACCCGTTCCTATTGTTGAAAAATATGTGTATACATCCATTAATTCTGTAAACTTTGACCCTCAGTTGCAGGTTATGGGAGATGCTACACCCCCTGTGGAATGGCTCGGTCTCAAAAGAGAAAGAATTCCAGGACTTGTTCACGAAAATATTACCTTGCATCTAGATCAGTTGGTTAAAGTGATATGGAACGTTTTAGAGTCTCAAGCTGACCAAAACGATGTACAATAATAATGATAATAATAATAAAAAAAAATTGCTACTAAAAAAAAAAATATCTGCCGAGCTGTCTTTAAATGATAAAATCAGTGCATGACGACTTTATTTATTTTCACGCTAAAATTATGCAGATTTCGTAGTAGCAATCATGGCTGCTAACGCTGCACCTATACCATTACCATCGCGTGTAATCTACGAACAGTTATTAGTTCCTGTTTTTTAGTTCTGTTTTTTTTATGTAGTTAGACTTACACCAATGTTGATCCTCTCGAAATTTTCACCGTATAACTCTTGCAGTGCCGTATTAACACGGTCGGGGAAATTAGGATAGAATTCATAGATAGTGCCTTCTACACTGATACTCAGGCCTACTTCCAACGCATTTCTCTTTGAGATAATAGCACTCATACCTGCCGCAATTAAGCGAGCAGCACGTTTACCCACCATTTCACAGATTCGCTTGACCATTTGGCGGTCAGTTAATGTGGTGGATTCTAGATTCATGACATTTTCTAATAAATGTTTGGTGCTTTCTAATTCTGGTGTTTCGTCACTTTCTATCGCACTCATATAAGTGGATTCAAATTGGTAGGCAGTGTTCATTTCGGCCGAGTACTGGGCATCAAAAAGAAGACGACGGTCAGTCAAATCTACCAAGATCAGACGCACGATTTCACCGAGATAAAGGCCAGCCACCATTTTTTCAAATACATGTACACCAGGGTTTACAGATTGTCGGTTAACACGGATATCATAGAATGTATGTGGGATAGTTTCTGATTTAGTATCGCCAAATCCTCCCCATTCGGTAGTGACAATCATTTCGGTTTTCTCCTCACTTTGCACTTTATTCTTAAGCTTGCCCACATTTTCGAGTTTTTCCCAGTAAGCTGCATTAGTGCCGGAACTGACCGTGCACGAGAGTAGCGTATCCAAACTACGATAAGAATGTGCTAAAAGAGAACCAGCAGCTCCGTTTACTGCCGCTTTGATAATAACTGGAATATCACGTTTTCGAAGTGCGGTCTGTAATAATTCAACAATGTTCTTGTTATCAGCACCTGTAATAGTAAAATCCTTTGTCCATTGAAGTACGTAGGCGTTGTTTATAGCAGATTGTCGTAGTGGGAAAGCAATACATAAGCCCATATAAAGAGGATTGCGAGAGTCACCCTTATTGACAAACGTCAAGAAAGAATCCACACATTCTGCCATAAAATCAATTAGGTTACCAATAGGACCATGCTTTAAATTATTCCTGACAGCGTATTTTAATTGACGTGTGGTGATGCGGCCTTGACCATGCAAAGTAACCAAGTATACACGAATATTGGAACCTTTATATACATTAGTTTTTTTTTAAAGGTGTAAATTACTTATTTTTCTTACCACTTAAATCTAGTCCAATGTATTCACCCTGCTCTTGACCGGTTGGGTGACTAAAAATCCATGAGGGAAGCATAGGAACATTACATTCGATATCACATTTTTTGAGGCCAGACTTCATTTCATTTTGCAATAACAAGGAAAGTTTTCGAAGCTGATCAGTGCTCAAGTCGAATTTGGACTCCAGGTCCTGGATAGCTTCTTTTTTAGCTTTATCGTCGGCTACAAGGTTAGCAGCAATCATATTTTGTTAAGTGAAAGAGCGATAGAAGAGAGAGAATTAAAATAAACCGAGTCAAATAGAAATGTTGTGAACGCGGGATTAATAAAAAGAAAAACTCAGCGCTGAAACATGTCGTGTTAAAATGAATTTGTTTGTTTGGAGGAGGAGGAGGGGGGGATCAAAGGGAAAGTCTTTTTTTTTTATTAGCCTTTGTAAGTGAGTATAAGAAATTAGGGTTAATTGTGATTGGTTGTGTAGTGTGTATACAGATAAGATATGAGGATGTTGAGGGATGCAGTGAGAAAAGATAGATAGAAAGAAAGATTAAAGTTCACCTTTAAATACCCAATTTCCATTTCTGTTTGTTGCATCATCTTTATATTTCACAACCTGACTTAGCATTTTTCGTAATTTATCAACTTGAGGTTCGTTATCGACCCATTTAAAATACTGAGGTTCCCATTTGAGACCTTTATCTTCCCGCTCCTTTTGTTCAGCTCTCTTTTGGTTTTCAATCACACTTTTTTCTGTACCAGCCAGTACCATATCGTTATTACGAATGGCTTCAGACACTTTTTGCCAAATACGCCTGGTTTCCATCTCACCCATATCTTGCAAAGGCTTTACTTTTGCTTTTGCAGGTTCCAACATATTCACATCTAAAAAGGGTTCTGTCAACTTTGTTGTGTAATCGGTAATGGTAGATTTTCCACTCCATTGTCCTTCAATGCGATACAAGATCTCCTTGGGATCTCCGTCATTCTTTCGAATCACGCATCGAAAATGATTCTTTTCACCTGATATCCAACCACGAGAAGAGTATTCAATAAAAGCATAGTAACCAGTAGATGCTTGAATGCATGTTGTACCAATAAGCTCTACATACGGTGCTGTAATCAAATATTATTAATTATCCCCCTCGCATGAGTAACAACAAATGGATTCTTTTTACTTTACCTGCGTACCAAATACCGCGCACTGTAAGCGAAGGGCTTGTAAAAAGATAGGTTTCATCATTACGAGATTTGAGAGTAACGACTTCATGGCCTGTTTGATCACAAACAAGTGTAGCATTTGATATACGAGTACTTTGACCTGAATAACCATTCAAGACAACACCGGCCTTTTGATTTTTAATATAAAAGCCTGTGACTGGTGGATGATGCGAGACTTGTTCACATAAAACTTCAGTTTCTCCGCAATTATCCACATCGCACCAGGTCATGAACCATTGTTCACCTAAAGCAGGGTTGAGAGGTTTCTTTTCCCATTGTCCTTTAGGAACACGTCTTATATAGGCTGCGTTCAAATAACTGATGAACCATTTAATGAATGCCAAGAGTCTCTTAACTTCGTTATCACTTTGAGGGATGGCTGCGAAGAGTTCCGGTTGTGCTGCCCAATAGTCTCTTTAATAAAAAATTTCAACACAAAAAACTTTTTTTTTTTTCTTATTTCGTTCAGTGAATAAAATCTATACTTACGAGTATTCAGTAATTGATTTGGGTGCAAGTAAGAAAGTAGGACATGTTAAAGCAGAGATATCTCCAGTAAAAGTAGCAAGTGATTGAAGAAAAGAATAAAATGCGTTCTTTTGTTCACTTGGAATCCTATGTATATTATTCATTTCACCAGCTGCACCTGTCGACATCATCATTTTCTTTTTTTTCTTTTTATAAATAATAATACTACAGGAACAAGAAGCAGAAAAAGATAAAAAAAAGAAAAAAGCCGTTTTAAATATGATTCGGAATCAATGTCCGACCCTCCACACTTTTTTCATAGGGATAAAGGACACGCATGTGCTTTTATGTACACTTTTTATTTTTATTGTTGTTCATTTGACATGTCCAATAAGCTATTCATTGAGAGAGAATTAGCTTCCGGTTGTATCTACGTAAAAAAAGAACACTCACCTCTCAATGGTCTCTGGTAGTCTTCCTTCACTGGCTTGCAGAATCATGAAACACACACCTGGTTCAATATTAGGAAACATGGACACGATTGTACTCAAGTGTTCATCAAACTCTTTACGAGACTGATCATTATCCAATTGATTTTCTATAGCAGGTAACGGAGGCAACGGTGCCTCTAAATTAGCAGGAATGGGCAATTCTTGTGCTAATGAAGACGGATCCTCTGGCACAAACTCATGCTTAATGTTTCGTTTTGAACTCGATTGCTCATTGTCGCTACTATTGGCGCTGTCGGAAAAGAAGCGTTCCACAAAATTCATGGATTTTTGTGCGATATCTGTCTTCAGATCGAGCAGCGGTTGCTCCTTTTGTGCTCGCTTCACATGCGAAGGATGCACGGCATTTTCATAACTGACCTTTTTTTTATCCGCTGCTATTATCTTGGGTTGTTCCTCATCTAATTCTCCCATTGTTTTTTCAATGTTCCTATGATACATAAATGTCAGCTCAATCAGTAGTATTCTGCTTTCTTATTACACTTTACGCTTCAAACTCTTCTTGTGTGACAGAGAGTGAATTCACATCCATCGTTTCAATGAACTCTATTGCACCCATCTAAGGTGTATAAGTTGCGACTTTCCAGATTTATGAAACAATTAAAACTTACTAGGTTGGTCAAGTAATAACCTGCTTCAGACCGGAGGAGGTCAGGATTTCTGAACCGTGAAATATATCTAGACATGGAGATATTTTAAGTTATAAAAGCTATAAACGTGTGATACATAGTCATATATCAGGGTACATACTGAACATTGGATATTAATCGAGGAGGATTAGCACGAATAACTACATAGATCAACATGGGTAAAAATACATCGGCACCCTCATCTCCTTCCATATGCTTCATTAATCCTATATTTTGATGAATTTAATATCTTTTTCTCCTTTTCTGAATTTTTCTTACCAAAAATAACCTTGCAGCAATTTAATATACAAATTAGTTTATCCCTCGGTGCCTTATAGTTATTCATCTTGAGCAATTCTAATTCAAGTTGTTAGCCACTCCATTCATTTGTATAACATGTACAGCTTACCAGATTCAGCAAAGACGAGAAAAGAATCATTATCCTTCGTTACGGGTATATCGAGATGCTCTTCTCGGATCCATCGAAAGATATTGATCTTATGATGTAAAATCTCGTCCTTCTCCTTATCATCCATTGTACTTGGTGAAAATGTGCTACACTCGTGTCTCGCTTTAGTATACACTTCTTGTTGATGGACCAACTAAACTTACACATTAAACAGTCGATTCATCACTAATTTCTCCATGCCTTCCTTGGCATTTTCAAACTCCTTTTCACTAACGTCTCTCCAAACATCACAATCTCTCATTTTTATGTATGTAAACTGTCAAAAAAAAAAACTCATTCAATGCTTTTATTTTTTTACCCATTTCTACTAAGAACAACTTACATTTAAGAAATCCTGAATAAATTTGATTTGTTCATTGACTGTCCAAACTTCTCTTCGATGAAAAGCAGCAATAAAACTAAAAAAAATTGAATGATTAAATAAGGTTTTTCTTGTGACATCCTTCTATTTCTGTTTACCCCTTTATGTAACGAGCAATCAGTGCTGCACTAGGTTGTTTCAATTGCTCTAGGAATCGATGAAAGTCAAATGTTGGCATATCCGCTTGAAATTGATTGGTCGTATTATCTATCGAGACAACTTATATCAGTACGATGACCATTCGATTATCTGTATCCGTATATACCTTTCTTGGCGCTTTGAGCGACATCACTATTATATAAAAGGGTAATGAGCAACTTGGGTACTGATAAAAGTGTAATATACGTTACGTTTGTACCGAATCGTTTGTTTCATGTGTTGAAGCTTCCTCATCAATCTTTGTGGTTTCAAGCGTTTGAACTAATTCTCGAACGTCTTTTGACATGATGAGTTTTAAGAAAAAAAGAGAGAAAGAAAAAAAGAGTTAAAAATAGAAAAACCGTGACTTTATTTAATATGATATCTATTGGTGCTTGGCCTTGAGTTCTTGAACCAAAGCAATGTATTGGGTCTCAGCTTCAACGGGGATCATGCCTACATACAGAAAAAAAAAAAAATATTTAAATACCCCCTCCCTCCTAAAACCTTAATCAATATAATGAGTACCCTGAAGGTCTGCCCATGCCATCCACTTAAAACGGGCTTTCAGATCAAACGTTGGCTCAGCTGTATTGTTTTAGTATTCATAAAATTCATTCTATTTCATTCGGAAGCTTACTGGTCTCGTTGTCACCTAAAGTAGCTTGCTTGAATAACCCGTACAGCTTTAAAAGGTCATCGTTTGATGGTTTGCTCGTCAATTCACGCACTCCCTCCGAGGCTTTAATGAATGCCTACAAATAACAATTAAGTCTTCTAATCTGCCTGTATAGTTTTAACATGTCTTACAGGAGATGGCATGTTTTATAGATGAGAACAATTTCCTTTTTGCTGGATACCCCGCAGCATCTCAAATACCCGGAATTTAAATGTTTTTGTGTGCCCCCCCCTCACACCCAATAGCCTTATGCAAAATGTTTACTTCTTTTCATAAGACTGCCTCTTCAGGTTCCCTAGCATCCTTAGAATTTGATGGTGTTATGGTACATCATCACCGTCTATGGTAACTTGTTTACGCTCATACATTCTCGAAATTCGCGAGTTGGTGTCGATATTTTTTTAATTTCGTCAAGTCGAAGGTCACTTAATTTATAAGATTTAAAGATTCTTGATGCTATGTTTTGTAGCTTGGGATAAGAATTCTGATATATAAGAATTGCGATACAAGACTCCCACAACAGCCAGGAGATAAAGTCATATTCTAAGAGGTTTTTTTTTTCTATTAGTATATTCTAAAAAGCTGTGCAAATCAGTTTCACACTAATCTACTCTTCCTAGGTAATTTAGCCTCACTAAAAAAAAAGGTAACGAACGTATAGTTTTGCCATGCCTTCATTCCAAAAAACCTTCGACCTGCTTACGTCAATAGTGAGCCATTATACCAGATCCGGTAATGTCCGGATCAACGTATTTTTTTAAGCTAGTCATACTACTTTAAGCTGTATGCTAAAGTTTCAACATACATTACACCCGTAAGACCGTTCATAACTCACAAAAACCTGAACGCACCTTAGATTAAAATAAGGAAATTAGATATAAAAAAATATGTATTCATTTAGGTAACTACTAACAGATTTTTGGCTTTTAGGAAGCAATAACATAATACTTCAGCATTCATGTACCTTTTCCTAGACTTGGTGCTTTCTATAAATGAAAAATTGAATGGAAAGAAGGAGGGTGTGAGAGTGTTTCCGCCGTATTTTAATGATGAAATCGATATAAAAGAGGCGCCTTGGTTACGTATGTGTTGTGAAAATGGTAATTCACACTGATTTAGATGATTTTGGTGTATGACTATATTTGACAAATTATGCAAATAAAAGTCCCAATTAATTTATTACCAAAACATGAATTTGTGCCCCCTTCTTTTTTAATGCCAACCTTTCATAAAGAAACAAATTTTATTATTATTATTATTATTTCCTTTTCTCTTCCTCTTGTTTTCAACACTCTTAAATGTCAAATCATAAAGCTCCAGTCATCAACGTCAAACTAATCTTTAATCATCATAATGAACCTATCCTTATAATACAAAACGACGATAGCGATTCTGCGTCTGATTACGAGGACAACAATGACACGCTACAACCCTATTATGAAGTATCGTCTAAACACGGGGTAGATCTCATTCATTTACAGGAACATCAAGATGCAAGTCTCCGGTGGCAGCAGTATGCTTATGAAAACCAACAAGCCAAGTTTTACAGATAAAAAACACAATCACATTATACATATATCCACATTTCTCTTTTTAAGCATCACATAATAAAATAGTTGGGGTTACACGCTCATATTTCTTTGTTTGTCAAACATTTTGACAACAATGATTTGATCCCACTTTTACACATTCTCTTTTAGACTCACAGACAAAATATAGGAATATGATGAATGCGATATTACAGCACGTTGCTTTTAATAACTAGGCCTTTTTATTTGTATAAGTAATGCGTCCATTGTGTTTAAAAATAGATTTTTTTTTTTTTTGTTGATGTGTTAGTCTGCCAACCATGCGCACACGGACGCAATATTTGGAATACACTTAAAATAACTGGTTCTGCCAAGTAAGAGTGCCTCAGTGGTAATCTGACAATTCTTACAAGTAGAATACACCCAAAGTTTAATTCCTTTGTGCTTTTTTCGGGAATTTATTGGGGTTTTTTATTTTTTGGGAAAATAAAAACAAAACGGTGCTTTAAAAAGCGGACCACCCTCTTCCACATTTGGACAGGGAATAATACAAGTCCATATACGTTTCATAAACAACATGCAGCCATATCTGTATTAACGATGATACTATCAACAAGTTCACCATTTACAAAGTTGGCATATGCACCATAATCACCACAGTACAGTACTAATCCAGCATTCTTGTTATATTTGATATGGAGTAAACGTGTATTTAATGTTTCATTACTCTGGCATTCTTGGAGTAGTTTCAGTGTAGCTGGTTTTAAGGCAGTCGGATTTTCTTTGGTTTTATAATAATAATTCTCGCATGTACCGTACTTTAATTGAACAAATAAATAGTCTGTTTCCCCCCCTGTCAGGTACAAATCGTTAAAGTAAATTTTCTCCAAGTTTTTAAATGCTGTAAAATCTAATTGAATGTCCTGCATATGAGACTCCGCATAATTTGAGTTTGCGCAATATACAAACTCTTTGATGTCGGGCAAATACATAATTAGCAAGCACATTAGATGATCAGATATAATAAAATTTGAGGTTCTGACATGCGTTAGGTTGCTTTTTGTACTTGATAGAACATGATTTTGGGATTTAAACTGATCCGTGTAAATAGTGTTGGATATATGTAATGAGCTGTGTGTCGAATAGTCAAACGTTAATACAATATTTTCAAGTTGAGGACAACTAGATAAGGCATATTTTGCAAATCTCGAAATGTACTCCGAATTATGATCAGGCATATATAATTTGATTCGATTCAGCAGTGCTGGTCCTACCGTTGAACTAGGCATATACCCCAAACTAATGCTAGGCATATGTTCTCTAATCGATTCTTCTTGTAAGCAGTAGTCGTCTAACTTTAGTCTACATTCTGAAATAATAACACCATCCTTGCGACAGTACATCGAATCATATGATAATAAGCTCTCGCTAAGATCTATACAACATGGAGTACTTCTTCCCCCTTTAAAACCATTTAAAAGCTTGTAAAAGTTGTCCAAATTAGACCTGTTGTTAAGTTGCTCTCGGTTTCTGGCTGAGTGCTTGTAATCAAACCCAATTTTAAAACCAGACTCCTTGAGGCCACAAAAGCTTTTAGCAAAACTTAAGGCATTGTTCATCCCAACATCGTCAATCCAGTTAAAGAAATCGATACCAGAAATATTAATATTCATCGTTTTGACTTGCTTGGAAAGATGATCCGAAATAAACTGAATATAACATAGTGGAATTGTAGGAGCCTTCAGGCTGAAGTTTTTCAAATTGTCCAACTGACTGTAGTTGGTCGTATTTTGTAACCACTTTCTAACTTTTAAATAAGAGATATCATATCTGCTGTTGAAATGGAATGAAATCAAATGTGGTAAAACTGCATGAATATCCAATGGCGTCAAAAAGGGATCTGAAGTGTTGTGCATTTTTAGTTCTGTTAGGTTTTTAAATTGAGCTAAAACAGTAAGAGGATGTCCCAATTTTTCGTCTGTCCAGTCCTTGTAACGAATACTAAGCGCCGTAATGGTTTCTCGAAATTTGTAACACATTGAAAAGTTGAAACAATTAGGGTTTCCAATGATAGCGTGTATCCCTTTCAAGCAATTACTTGTATCTGCATCACAAATAAAGCGAAAGTACTCTCTACAATAACGACTGTACGTTAAATCTAGGGTGGTAAGTTTCTGGAAATACTCTAAAAACAGTATTAATTCAGGCATATCAAACTTGTTTGACAAAGATCCAGAACCTCCTTCGAGTTGTGTGACATGAGTACGGCGCAGACAATCTTGGTGAATCTTGATCTTTTTGACCAAACTGCAATTTTTAAAATAAGCCTCACGTTCTTCCTCATTTAGTCTCAGCAATCGTTTTATGACGCCTATATCATAACCATCCAACACCAAGTTCTTGTAAAGACATTCAAGTGCATGCTCGGTCCACTCTTTACAAACAAGGGCAGATTGGAGGTAGTTTTCAGATTGTTGTATAATTAAATTACGAATTTCTGCGGGGATATTAAGGATAAACATGTTGCAGTGAAAATATACACGACCAGGTAAAAATTTAGAATTTAATTAAAGAAAAAAGAAAAAAGAAAAAAAAAGACTTCTTGGTTTTATGGCTACGTTCGGTATTTAAATAGAAAGTTAAAATAATAAAATAGGATACTTTGTATACTGCAAATGTGATAGGTATACGCGTTAGTAAGTGAGAGTGCTGCGGTCTTCATACGAAAATGGGAAGTGGCTTGATTGAGATTCGGAGTTCATAGGATTACGATAAAATTCAGATAATTGTATGTCTATTCAACCATTAATGTAATACGACATGCTTTTGACATATAATTTTGTGGTCGCAGATAAGAACGCGATGTTTTATATTCTTAAATTGGTGAGAACGTTGAAAAGGCATTAAGTAGATTTTAACTCATGTTTTGTATATATATTCCGTTAACGACTTAACAACCATCACCAATAGTAGGTCCGCTAGTGTTTCGATTGAAGAATCAGCTTGAGAAAGATATTTGGAAGAGGGGTTTCTTGCCTAAAAGCTAGGAAAGTTGTTTTTAAAAGCAACCTCACTAAACCAATAAGTCAAATGGCCAGGGCTGACAATACATCTTTTCCTTTGTAAGATATCCGTTTGTAACTCAAATGCACCGCGAATTGTAGCACATACTAGTTTTACTGACTATCCGTTTTCTTTAGCTATGCAGTTCGGCTCAAGTTTTTATATCTTCCGGAAAACAACGAAAATAATGAGGGGGGATCAGTCTTCAAAGAAATCCGTTTACCAGCCGTAGTCAGGGGAGTGATACTTACTGTAAACTTTGATTATCCACAAGCACATAAAACATGGTTTGCCAGAACAATTGGAACTTGATACAACAGCAATGATCAATCTTTTTTCCCGGAGAATATATGGCATCAAAAATTATAAACTCAAAACTCCAGAGGCTGTATATCGATTAATGTATCTTTTGTTAGGTCATGATTTTTCCTTGATTTCAAAAAAACCACGTTTATCATCGCCAAAACCAATAGTCTTGATCGTCTTTCAGATGCGCCCGGTGTGGTATCAAGAGATTCGACTTCCGTCTGTTTTACTACCGTTCATTATTAAGGCATCTTGAAATTACCTCAAGGTTGTGTTGGTACCTCTCCCCCGTTTGAGATTCATTTCAAATGTATCAATTTGAATTCGATTCCTACCAGCAGGCTTTTTATATTTGCTGCGGTTTTTGGTCTCTATCAAACTGAGCCTCAAAATATTTCGCTCTTCTATCTTCATTTTTAAATAAAGCTGCAATTTTTATATTTTTGTAAATGATGCTGCCACTATGTGGAGGGATGGTTTGTGTATACACTCTCTACTTGTTAATTAAGATATTTCCCTTTGTTTTTGCTTGTCTTTTTTGAGTTTTGGGCTCTTTTGTGATGCCAGTTGAATAGTTAGTGAAATTTTAATGAGTTCTTATTGCTCCTCATATCTATTCATAAAGTTTGTAGAAAAAACCTAATAGAGAAACTTGCGCTACACACACACACACAAGCAAGAAACCTTTTACTTTTGGTGACCCAAAACATCAACACAGGCCTTATGTATTGGCTGTCTGTTCAATGTAAATTTGAAAGCACCTCTTTGACCAAAATAAGTGGAATATATCAGCTGTTAATAAGTCATATTAATAAATTCCCGTATTCTCTGTTGAAAAAAACCAGAGTCCAGACAACGTTTTGATAGTGGCGATGCAACACTAGTAATGTAGACTTCAAACATAAAACCAAGCATCATACTTGATAATTCAGCACCTTCTGAATTAACAAGTGAAGTACTCGTATAATTTGGAACAAGAAAAGTTTGATCATTCATCAACGTGAAAGTTTGTACAGTTGTATTTTATAGCTTTTAGTATAACAAGATACCTTTTCGAATATATCGACTAGATGTTGCTGGATATTATGAGCAATACTTCTACGCTTTATCACTAAAACTAAAATAATGCATTGCATTTGAGAAGGCCGAAAGCAACAACTCACTGTCAATAGAGAAGTCATGTAGAAGTATTTTAGTTAGCTCGGCTTTTTCAAAAAGATAGGTATACGCACATACCTACAACACAAAGAGATTTATAAGAATCTGGTGTACGTTTTCGACGGTATAATTGAAGGCCGCGACAGGCTCAGCTGAGCATTTTTACTGGTGCATTCATGTCACACTAGACCCCACATATTCAGAACCTGCTCGGATAGTAGTCTACGCTGCAAATAATACACATTATAGCTGGACGCAACCTTTTTTTGTTTTTGTCTTCATTTTTTAATGAAAGTGACGATTAAATAACATATAATTACAATCTCAATAATGTAGGGATCCTTCAATATATATAAATCTTGAAATCAATTATAAAGCTCAGTTTATGGGGTAGAAATGTTTCAATATTTAGTGCCGGCAAGGCTTTCCTTTTTTTTCTCAGAGTAGTGGCTATTTAGTTACAAATTGTTTTAAATGATATTACGTCTGACTTATACTGAGAGGGGGTTTCAGATAGTTTTTAACAAAAGACCGAATATGCATGATCTTTCGCCTTATTAATTTTGAGTCGCTGTGGGGTGGAATATGTTAAAATTGTACATACATAAACCATATTTATGGAGTGTTACACACACCAGTTCTAACTCGTCTTGTACCAATTCTGGAGTTTCTTTTATCGCTGTGTGAATACGCCACTAGACACATAATATCACCTTAACTCCTCCAGGGCTGCCTTCTTTTCGATCTGTTTTTTTTGCTTGAAACCTTTTTTTATAAAATTCAACAATTATTCTAACACATTCTATTGTAAAATCATACGATCTTCCATTATGGGGAGGTCTAGTTACTCACTGATGCCATGAGAAGGGAACGGTATATAATCTGCATTTCAAATATGTGACTAGCTTACAAAAGGGAAAAATATAGACATTTAAAAAACAAACAAAATATAACCTTTTTCTCTCTCTTCCAAGATAACAATGACCAACACCCCTGATTACACTAGAATCCAACAGGAAGACTTCAAAAAATCTTCATTATACAAATCTATTGGTAAAATAAAACATAAACAAAAATTGCTCCCTTTTTATTAAGAAGTGTGGTATAATTTAGATTTGGCAAGCTCCAGCCTCGGAACAAGTATTGTTGAAGTAACAGATGAATTTTTTGCACCCGCCATCATGATGATTAATCCCGAACCAGCTATCTCTTGTCCTGACAAGTTTATTGGTAGAAAAAAGATATGGACCTTGTTAGCTTATTGTTACTCATTTTTATTTTCAGATACCGGTCTCTGGATGGACGGATGGGAGTCTAAGCGTCACAATCCTACTTACGATTGGTAAAAAATTAAAATTAAACTTCCTTGATATATTACTCAACAAAGCTTATTTTTTCAGGTGTATCCTTAAGCTCGGATTTGCTGGTTCTTTCATTGGTTTTGATATCGATACCAGTTTTTTCACTGGAAATCAAGCGCCTGCCGCCTCCGTTGAGGCATGTTATTGTCCTGAGGGCGATATTAAAAATGCTCAATGGACGGAAATTCTTCCCAAAGTTGACCTTCCTCCCAATTGTCATAACATATTTGTATTGAATAAGCCAACTGGAATATACACCCATCTTCGTTTAAATAACTATCCCGACGGTGGTATCGCTCGTTTTCGTGCCTACGGAGAAGTGCATCCCACTTTCCCCAAAGATCCCAGGTAAACCGATTTCCTTGTTCTATGTGTGGGTGAACTCAATTTGTTTTCTTCTTTATTTAGTGCTTTAATCGATTTAGCTTTTGTTGGTCACGGCGGTCGATCTGTGCAAGTGAGCGACGAACATTACGGACCTGGTGACTTTTTAGTTTTACCTGGTCGAGGTAAAAATATGGGCGATGGATGGCAAACCGCCCGTTCTCGTGCCAAAGGACATTCTGATTACGTGATTCTTCGTTTGGGAGATAAAGGGCATATCTTACAAGCCGAAGTTGATACTTCTCATTTTAAGGGAAACTTTCCTCATCAAATCAAATTAGAAGGTACCTTTTCCGAGGCTCATATACCTGAACCAGAAGCTACATGGTTTACACTTGTTGAGCCTTCCAGCACTGGCCCTCATGGGGTCTTTTATTTTGATACTGCTTATACAGAAAAAGTTTTTACACATGCCAAAATCTCCATTATACCTGGTAAGTCCCTTCCTTTTTTTTTTTTAAAAAAAAAAAATATTTTAAAATGAACTCAATTATAAATCTGCTATCCAGATGGTGGCATTAAACGCCTTCGTTTGTATGGTATCCGAGCTGGCGGTAAAATTCCCGCTTTGCCTATTATTGCCCCTTCTGTTCCTCAAAACGCAATCATTGCCGAACCCTTGACTTCAGAAGCTTACGCCCCCTATGGCCAAGTTATACATACCGGCTTTACAGAATTTGTGACTAGTGCCAATCAAGGTACAGCAGAGAAACACCATGGAGTGGCCCAAGTTCAAAATAATTTCCCTAACGGTGCAGGTAAAATTAACATGTGTGTGTTTCATTGCCGCCCAACCAACGAGTTGCCATTTACTGTAAAGTTACTGGAGAGACATCCTTATTCTAGCCAGGCCTTTATTCCGATGACTGACGGAAAGACACGTGGTTATCTTGTTATCGTCGCTCTTAACGGCAAGGATGACAAACCCGATATGTCCACATTGAAGGCTTTTATTGCTACCACAAAACAAGGTATTAACTACGGTCCTGGTGTTTGGCATCATCCTATGGTTGTCTTGGAACATGAAGCTGATTTTGCTTGTATTGTTCATGAAAGTGGAGTTCCTCAAGACGATTGCAATGAAGTGGATACACCTCATGTAATTGTTCAAGTGCCTGGTTATCATATTTTTTAAAGTTATAAACATAGCGTCATTGTTTACATAATAAACATATATGCAACAACTGAGAAGAAAGTTATATTACTGCATTAATTCCTAAACATTTTACCAAGGGGAAATATAATTCCGACAGGCTAATACATAATTGGCATCTGCATAAAAATAAATGTTGCTTTTTTTTTTATTGTCTAGGTGTACGTATATATATAATTTCTCCTACAACTTGGCTTGAGGTTTAACGGGTGCCTTGAAGAAGACATCACAAACCTTACGACGTTGAATTTTACCCGTAGCGGTTTTAGGCATGACATCAGTGACGTAAAAACGCTTAGGGACCTTAAATTTGGCAAGCTTGGATTGACAATAAGCGATCAATTCACGCTCGATGGACTTGGGGTCATCCTGAACACCTGATTTCAATACGACAGCAGCATGCACTTCTTGACCATACATTTCATCGGGTACAGCGAAACTTACTGCTTCAGCAATCTTGGGATGACTCAACATGACTGAATCCAACTCAATAGGTGAAATCTTTTCCCCACCGCGGTTAATCAATTCCTTGATACGACCAGTCAAGACCAAATAGCCATCTTTATCCTTTTTACCTTGATCTCCTGTACGAAAATATCCGTCTTTTGTAAAAGAACTAGCAGTTGCTTCAGGATTATTTAAATATCCCTTTGTCACGTTCTTTCCACGAATACAGACCTCGCCCAATTCGGCAGGATTTCCTGCATCATCCAAAATAACCACTTCCACGCCTTGACCGAGACCGACAGATCCTGCTTTGTGGGGACCGCGATGAGGAAGTGGGTTGGATGTCATTTGATGAGATGCTTCGGTCATGGCATAAGCTTCCAAAACGGGTGCCTTGAACTGTTCTTCAAGATGATGCAAGGTAGCAGGTGCAAGACTGGATGAACAAGAACGGATGAATCGAATAGCGGGTACTTGCTTAGGTGGACTGCGAAGCAAGATTTGATGGATAGTGGGTACAGCAGTGTACCAATTGCAGTTGTTATCTTGGAAATCTTGCCAGAAATGAGATGCGCTAAACTTACTAGGAATGACAGCAGTTCCGCCTGAAAGTAAAGTCGACAACAAACCACAAATTAAACCATGCACATGGAAAAGAGGCATGACGAGTAAAGTACAATCCTTGTCATTCAATTCATAAGTTCCCACAATGTTGCGCATGGAGGTTAATAAATTGAGATGAGTCAATGGCACACCTTATATGTAAAAAAAAAAAAGAGGATAAATTATCGGCTATTAGGAATACGTGAGCTTTCTTTGACTAGGCTTACCCTTAGGTCTGCCAGTAGTACCACTGGTGTGCAATAATAATGCAGGCTCATCGGGTTTAGGAGCAAATGTACCAATCACACGGTGAGGTTCCTTGGCCAAAGGAGAAGGAACCCGAGCATCGACCTCGATGGCCGTACCGTTCCAATGGACTTCGACCACAAGTGCACCTTGTTTTTGGGCGGCCAAAACAGCTGGGTTATTTTTGTTGTTTAAAGCTCCTCTTGGCAAAATCATGATTGTGCTTTTTGCGTCCTCCAAATAAAAGTTAAATTCGTCCTCGGTGTAGGCAGGATTTAAAGGTGATGCAACCAAGTTCATGAAAGTAGAAGCCAAAAATGCAACGGTAAATTCAAAAGAGTTGGGGTAGCTGATGGAGATGGATTTACCAGGAGCTAAGCATCCAGCAGGTACTTGTGCTGCCAACTTTCGGGAAAAGTCATAGAGAACCTCCAATAATTGACTGTAGTTGATGTTGGAAGGCACCTGAGCTGATTTAGGAATAGTCACAGCGGGATGTGTGCTATTTTGTTTGCCTTGAAAAATTTCAAATAAAGTGTCAGACATAGTTACAATAGTGAAAGAACAATAAAGATAAAGAAATACAAAAAAAAAAATTATTGCGAAAAAGAAACATTTATTGTCTTAAACATCTTGATATGACATCACGCAATATCTAACTTCGGCTTGTAGAATTTTTATCTTAAACAAACTCTAATTATTGCCTTTTTTAGGAGCCTTGGTTATTTGTTGTCACAATAACCTGACCTTGATGGGTCAAGACCACCGGCCTTGTCATTGGACTTGATGACGCCGCCGGTAAATGTTGTCTAATTACATCGTTATGGTGTTGATGAGCAGATGCATATATACCAAGTCCGACGTTTGTATATGGATACGTATACCTCTGATGCTGTGGTTGCTGTGGTGGTTCAGGTTCTGGTTGTTGATCGGATAGTAACGAATACAAAAGATCTTCATTATTATTGTTATTATTGGTTGGAGTAGATGTGGCAGTATTCGTTGTTTCACTGGTATTACTACTAGTGTTACCATCCTGGATCTGAGCAACCAAAGCGGCAATATCTGATGAATGTGATAACAATTCAGCTGGTGTATGTTGTTTGGATGAATCCTCTGCAGATAAAAAGTCTAAAGGTCTATTATATTGAAATCTATCAGGGGTCATGGTTGCACGCCAAGTAGATTGAAACAAGTTATTATTATACATCATGGATGGTGGATGATAATACATGTTTGATTTGGATTTCACAACGGGCGGAGTAACAAGACCATGACCAAAATAATTAACTTCCTCTTGTCGTGGATTCAAGCTGCCGAGAACAAACGGGGTCATCATATCATCATCAATGTTTGCATCATTCAACGCTCCATCGAGTGAGGTTAGAAAATTGGTGATGGTTAATGTGATTGAGTTTTTGTCTTCATCCAATATTAATAAGGATTTAATGGCCTTCATTGACTGCTGAAACATGTATCTTGCATGCCGCGCCAAGTTCACATTGGAAGATGCACAATCCCGCAAATGAATTTTGATCGATTCAAATAATGCAACCATGACAAGATTAAAATTAAAGATCCAATTTCGGTTGTCCAATAAGGTTGCTATGATCACAGTAAGGTTTGTTGCTATCGCAATAGATTTTTGATGAATCGATTTTACTGTCGAAGACAAATAAGGTTTCAAAACCAGTAACTCAATAAAATTATACATCAAATGGACTTGGCAAATAAATTGACTGGAAGGTGGATCGGGTATATGAGGTGTTGTTTGTATAATTAAGGGTGTCCATTGTAATTGTTGCTGTAATGAACGTAACCAGTGTATTAATTCATTATCGCTATTAATGGACACAATTGGCTGATTTTGCTGCAACATTCTTTCCGCAATTTGTAGTAATTTTATCATACTAACAAACACCTGCAGTACTTTTTGTTCGTGAATATCATCCCCTGGCTGTAAAAGTGGCATATCCATTTCAATATCTTTGCTTTTAATGATCCAAGGTTTACCGGATTGTAAATGTATAATCTTATCTAGATAGTAACATGACCAGCAAATTCGCTTCTTTAGCTCCATCAATTCACCGTGATCTTTCATTAAATCCATATCTATGCACATTTGAAATGCCATGGCACTGTACATTGTATTGCATGTGTTGATCCCACTTTCAAATAAACTCATCAATGTTAAAGCAATTACGGTGCTCTTAGTGGGGTAATTCATTTCGTACTCTAATAGACTTTTAGCTTGGTTAAAATAAACATCACCATCTAATTTATCATGGTATTGTGATCCATGAGCGAAGATCATTAACAGCAAGATAGGACTTGTCAATAATTTAGTTGTGTTGGATTCGAAATGTTTAAAGAATAATCGTTTTGGTATAATTGGAAATGTTGGATAGCAATGTTTGAAATACAATTGGATCAAGTCTTGCTGAATTGTCTTTGAAGGTAAGTCCACTTTAGGCTGCTTATAGTCTAATTTTCGGTTCCTTGTCATGATTAATTGTTGATAATTAAATTCCCATTTGCCTTCTTTTCCTTGTCCTGGATTTAGTTTACACAACCGATTCAAAATTTCCGTTGCTACTACATTGTTTGCTCTTGTTCTTTTCACAAGAATCTCAGGAGGCGATACGACAGGCACAAATTCTTCTTCTTCGTCTTCTTCCACTCCGTCTTTGGAGAAAGAACAGGGCCTATTTCTGGCTGTCAATAAACGTTAGTTTATATATATACGTATATTTTTCAATTGAATATTACTGTGTAGTTTACCTTTACACTATTTTTGAAAAGATTAGTCACTTGATTATAGAGCTGGAAATCATAAATATTTATACCTGCATACAAGGTTGTAACCCATCACACTACAGATACACAGTAAGCTTCTTTTTTTCTTTTTCTTTTTCTTTTTCTAAACCTACTTTTATTTTCTTTAATCGACAAGTGAAACATGCTTTTCCAACTTTGTATCTCTTTTGACGGGGCTGTTCAGTCTTTTCTTTTAAGTGATGTTTGACGACAGATGTGGTTGACATTAGAAAAGAAGAAAAAAATGGAAAAAGAGCAGAGGAATCAGAAATGCGCCTTCCTTTTATAAACAATATAAATGGGAGAAATTCAATCCCCGCCAGTGACACCCATAAAAAAAAAAAGTGGGTAGAAGCAAACCCCGCGGGAAATGGGTGTAGGGTCCATTGCATATTCCGCGGTTTGTCTATTATTAGTATTGATAAATCCCTGAAAAAGAACCAGACATAACAAAGTACAAAATATGATTTTATTTATAGTAGTGGTTTAGCTGTCGTCTATTTTAGTCACTTCCTCTGATCTTAGTATAAATTCCTGTCTATCAAATGTATCATCATCTTCTTCTTCTTTATTATTAGGTGTAATAAGTTCTTTATTATTAGTATTATCTCTTTTTACATTTTTGTTGGTAATTGTGTCTGTCGATGAATTATTTGTCAGTGTGTGTTTCAAACTATGACTGGATTCGGACACAGTGGCTGCTCTTCGTAACGGATTCACTGGATAATACTTGTCATCAGGTTTGCTGATACTGGCAATGGATTGCATTGGATGATGGGTGGGTGTACTGGCTGCTCTTCTAATCATTGAATCCGAGGATTCTACTGCCTTATCTTGTCCCGAACTGACTTTCGACCAAGGCGACGGTAATAATATAACCGAGGAAGCGTTGGTGACCACTGTGGTAGATGTATTAATCGTGTCAGACCGTGTGGGACCACCACTATTAATTTGCAGAGGATGCGGAGTAGGTGCTGACGGCCTTCTTGATTGGTACTCAAACGGTTCGGTAGAAGAAGGCCTATCCTTAAACGTAATCTCTATCATTTCATGACGAACATGAGGACTGGTCACACTACTATTGATGCGATTCACACGGTGCGATTCGGTGGCTGGCATAGATACATTGGATGACGAAGAATTTCCACTCTTATTGTTTCTCCTTTTCTGATGATGTGAATTCAGAAAATAGAATGCCACCAAAATTAATATAAACACAACTAGTCCACCTGTTACTGCTCCTGCTACTATGGAAATGGAGGGAGAACTCGGAATATTATCACCTTGACCTCCTGTTCTATTTGGTTTTCCACCAGATCCAGATGCATTGGGTGTATACACCGAAGTCCAGCTCCAGGTCGTAATATCCAATACTTCAATATCTGCCATCACTGTAAGTGCCGTTGATACTCCTGTAAATCCAAACGCTACAATCATATTGGTATTCACCAATGTAGCTGTTTTTTTTTTTTTTTTTTTTTTTTTTTGTAAAATTAACATACAAAAAAAAAAAATAGTTATTATTATTTTATAATTACCTGTATGCTAAGGATAATAAGTAAAAATAAAAATAAAATCTTTCTAGAACGTAGCATAAAACTTACATCAGCTCTTCCTTGCACAGCAGCGTTGGTATTTTTTACATTCCATGTCCAGGTGCGCGTGTCGAGAACAGCAACATCGTTATAAACATGATATCCGTCATAGCCACCATATCTAGTTTATAAAAGATAATTAACACGGGACACATAGACATATGAGGAGAGCCTACACTAGAATAGAAAATCCATCCGGCATTAGTAGCTGACTATGACTACTTCTGTTTGCTGGCTTGTTCTCCTTGTCTAATCGAGCGTAAATCTGACTCCATTTGGACGCAGTAATATCAAATACCCAAACATCAGCCAACGACACAGCATCACCAGTCGCGCCATCAAACCCCCCTAATACGACAATGCGATGTTCTGATATCAAGGTTTGTGTATGTGCATATCTTAGGGGTGGATATAATAACTGATCTGATACAATTATTGTTGAGTTAGCAGGATAAACAGAGTCAAATCGATATATGCTAGCAGGTAATGCAGGCCTTGTCGTATTCACTGCTGCAGGTGGTGGTGCTAATGTAGCTCTTTTACCACCCCATATCTATTAATAATTTGCATTAGTTTTTCGTCACTTCATTTTAACTTTTCCCCCTTTCTCTTTTCTTTCATACTGTACATAAGC